CCTCGCCATCCCTCTTGGAGGGAGATCTTTAGACGTTCTTGAGTGGAAGTTAGATTTGTTGGATGAGCCACGCCTGTTTGATAGTCTTTATACCAGTCCATATGTTCCATATTACTGTTGAAGAACGTTCTAAGGCTCAAGTTGTAATTACACAATCACTGTGAATTCACCAAAGTGAACTCTGAAACCCTTTGGCCGCTCTCACCAGTAGTACATTTAATATTAAAAGAGCTGTGACAAAAGGAATATCATTGTTGGTGTTTTGTTGCTACCACAATGACGAACTCTACTAATTAATAGACATTCTGAGTAAAAATTTGCGTACTGTACTTTGAAGCTTGGCTTTGGTGCCTGTGTTTTGAGGGCAAAAATGCTTTAAAGGGCGCATATCCTACATCTTGTATTTATTTTCTTTGGAATCTGCATATTATGTGTGTGATGTTCATTTTCTGTTTATTCTTACATGATATTTTTTCAACCTCTCTTTAACCCTTAAAATTAAAAAGACTTTTTGTTTCTGCATTTCTGTTGGTCCACTCATCATGCCATTTTTAAACAATGTAAAGAACAGCTGTGTTCAAATGATGCAGGAAAATAAAAATCTTAGCGTCTTTATATTTTTTTTTTCAGACAGCACCGATTGAGCAGAAAATTACACAGAGCCTCAACTAAATATCAAATTTTTCAGCATTTTGTGTGTCCACCTTTTGCATTCGTTGCTCCTTCCATTCTTTTCCAAGACTTGCATTCAGTTTTTCAAAGAAATCCACAGAAATATTTTTCCACACCTCCAAGTTCAGTCTTTGAAGTTGGTTCAGTGATGTTGAAGTCTAGACTTTAGGGTGGTCAGTCCACCAGCTTCTTTGTTTAATTTGCAGATTTTCTACCTCTTTATCTGTTTCCTTTTCTCAGTAACAGCTTCTTGACAGCTACACATTTTTTCAGACCCAGAAGCGCAAAGTTGTCTTCTCACAGTGGAAGGATGGACAGAAACACCTGTGGATCTTTTCAGATCTGCAGCAAGAGTGGAGCTTGATTTTCTCCTCTCTCTCAGAGATGAAAACATGCAAGCTGTTAAACAAATTCAGAGTAGTTTTGTGAACACCAAGACGAAGTCAAACACCATGGTGTGAGGCTCTCTTTTTTTCTCTCTCATCACCTGCTTCGGTCCACTGCTGCTCCCACAGCCCCCGAAGTAGGACTGCTGCCTGTCTCATGAACTCAGCAGAACTGGGACCCACATAGAAGATACATACTCATATCATGACAGTGCTTTAAGCTTAGAAAGCATTTTTGCAGTAAACTTCCAGCAGTTCAGTAAAGTCCTGCTTAGAGCAACAAAATATTTCATCACACTTAGCTGAATGAATAACCACCATAAAATGAACAGGCTTGGTATGTTTTTAAAAAGCACCTGTGAGGAGTGGACGTTCCATGCTGTCCAAGGAACCACAGCTGAGTGCAGGTGAGGCTTCCTCCCTCACTCAGTCTGATCTCAATATTTTACTGTGTCACACTCATGTTCCGTCCTCTCTCGACTGATTGAGATTTTAAAATAGCAAATAAGACTTGATGGCATTTCTTTTAAAGGTGTTTTTTGTTCTGTTTTTCTTTTTAAATTTGCATTTTTTTATTTGTTTGTTTTTGGTGGGTAAGAATTTCTTAATGTATGCTCTAAAAATTTTGCAAGTAAGTGTATTCTAAATACTACACACTTAAAAAAGATGGTTCTTCAAGGGTTCTTTAGTACAGAAAATGGTTCTATATAGAACTGTGAACAGTGAATGTTCTCATGTGCTTTAGATGGTTCTATATGGAATCTTTTTGAAAATGGTTGTATATAGCACCAAAAAGGGTTCTTCTGTTGTTACAAGCTTGACATAATAACAATAGAAGATAGATTTCTATATAGAACAATTTCTGGTGCTATATAGAACCCTTTTCAAAAAGGTTCTATATAGAACCATATACAAAAGATTCTCCATCAATCTGAAGAATGATTTGCAAAGAACCCTTTAATCATGCAAAGGGTTCTTTGAGTGCTTCTTGTTCTAGAACCATTTTCTTTACCAAAGAACCCTTGAAGAACCATCTTTTTAAGAGAGTACCTTTAAAAATAGACACTTAACTCCCATATTCTGAATACGTTTTCTGAATACTTGCATTTTCGTTATATCCCAACCATAATCATACAATCTTTATTCAGGAGGAGTATAGCCTTACACATCCTTTATCCCATTTCAAGTAGAGTGAAGCTGTTCTGCAGGCAAAACACAGCCCTGCTATTTACCTTATATTACAGTTTTTCCTTATTTTGGTTAAATACTGTGACTGAATGAAAAGTAATCTGTCCAGTACGCCAAATTCCAGCTCCATATACCATCCCTTCACAACTATAAACATATTCTCATCAGCTCCACACACTTTCCATTTCTAGTGTACTCTTTTTGCACTAGCACAGTTCTCATTGGGAAGACACGTGACTCAACACTGGAGACACCAATCAAACCTTAAAAAACACACACCTACACACGTAATTATCTACTCAGTTCTCCTTGTCGTTTAACACATTAAACACAAATTAGCTCATCAAAAAACTGAGAACAAGAAAGACCAGAGGCAGGAAGAGGAAGGCATTGAAATACATCTAATGAAATGGAAGTTTTCACCTGTACATGATGTCCAAATAAATTTCACCACCTATACACACACAGGGAAGGATTACTGACCAGGCCACTGACTTCCAGAAGCTTTGGGGGGGACACCACAAGGCCAGAGGTGGCCAGAGGGTTTTCAAAAACTTGAGCAGTCCACTGCAGATGGAAAAATAGCCTTTCAATATGTATAAATGACAATAAATAAAGAAATGTTATCTGTTCTGAGAGTTTTCTCTTATTATTCATTACTACTGGGATTTTGTTGCTGCTATTCAAATGGGATATTTAAAGGGAACCCTGACTGTTAAGACTTGTATGCCTTAAAACAGTCTACATGTCCACTACTATTAAAATATGGCATATAAACCAAATGGAAATGGTTTGTTTATTATAAAAGACATGACAAACAGGCAAAATGTTTCTCTACTAGTAGGCCACCATTGTCACATTGTGATATCATATGATTGCAGTTGAGTCAGTCCCGTGGAAAATAAGTCAGTCAAAAATAGTTTTCTCTTGAGTAGTCACACTCTAGCTACAGTTGGAAAGGCTGAATGATATATTTGAGTTAAATGAGGTATTTAGCTTGCTGTTCCTTACTTAGTGGACATGAGAGAGCAACCTTTTGATGTGGCAACAAAAGTGGCAGCCTACTAGTAAAAGGATTTTTGTCTATTTACATAAAGTATTTTGCCTGGTTTATACAATATATTTGAATGGTATTGGACATGTCCACCATACTGGAGCCTATTGTCTTAACAGTCAGGGTTCCCTTTAAGATGAAGCGTTTACCTTTTTGTGTGTAGGACTACTTCTGTTTTGCATTATGACTGGCTTTGGCGTTAAAGAAAAGAGTAATTATGATTCAAGTTTGTCTTTAGGTGTAAAAATTACCAAAAAAAAACACAATTTGTTACAATATACCAAAGTGCACATAAACATGAACGCGTGCAATATTAATCTGACTTTTTAGGTCTTGTTTTGTGTCTTTATTTGCTACTGTTAAGAATTTGGGGGGCCTCCAAACATGGTTGTGCCTAGGGCCGTGCAACACCATGGTCTGGCCCTATTCACACCTGAGTCTTCTTGAGGTTCTACATGGGACCTGTGACAATGTCACTCAGGAGCCATGGCAGGCATGATTCCATCATTCCAGGGGCAACTTCACAGCTGTAAATGCTGTCCATGAGCTCTACATGACACAGTTTTTGGTTTGCTTTTCACTTCTTATACTATAACACTGCGTTGCTGCACTTTTTACAGTACTATACCATCTCATTTGAAGTGTGATTTTTTCAGAGAAAGGTAAGTTTTTCCCTGTTGGTGGTTTTGAGAACTATGTACAAATGGACTTCATATTTGTATTTTTGGAAAATGTGCAATCAATTGGGAAAAACTAATATATTACGTAAGGTGTATATACACCAATCAGGCATAACATTATGACCACCTCCTTGTTTCTACGCTCACTGTCCATTTTATCAGCTCCACTTGCTATATAGGTGCACTCTGTAGTTCTACAATTACAGACTGTAGTCCATCTGTTTCTCTGCATACTTTGTTAGCCCCCTTTACCCTGTTCTTCAGTGGTCAGGACCCCCATGGACCCTCACAGAGCAGGTACTATTTGGGTGGTGGATCATTCTCAGCACTGCAGTAACACTGACGTGGTGGTGGTGTGTTAGTGTGTGTCGTGCTGGTATGAGTGGATCAGACACAGCAGCGCTGCTGGAGTTTTTAAACACCTCAATGTCACTGCTGGACTGAGAATAGTCCACCAACCAAAAATATCCAGCCAACAGCATCCTGTGGGCAGCATCCTGTGACTACTGATGAAGGACTAGAGGATGACCAACACAAACTGTGCAGCTGCAGATGAGCTACTGTCTCTGACTTTACATCTACAAGGTGGACTGACAAGGTAGGAGTGTCTAATAGAGTGGACAGTGTTTAAAAACTCCAGCAGCACTGCTGTGTCTGATCCACTCATACCAGCACAACACACACTATCACACCACCACCACGTCAGTGTCACTGCAGTGCTGAAAATGATCCACCACCCAAATAGTACCTGCTCTGTGAGGGTCCATGGGGTCCTGACCACTGAAGAATAGGGTAAAAGGGGGCTAACAAAGTATGTAGAGAAACAGATGGACTACAGTCTGTAATTGTAGAACTACAAAGTGCACCTATATAGTAAGTGAAGCTAATAAAATGGACAATGAGCGTAGAAACAAGGATCATAATGTCATAATGTTATGCCTGATCACTGTAAACTGGATAAAAGGTTTAATGGTTATAGATTCTACAGCCAAACTTCAGAATGATAGTAAATAACACAAAATTGATTAGAAATGTATTACAGTTATGAGAGATATACTAACAAGTTATGTGATTAATAAATAAAATTACATCATTTTATCATTAATAAAATTTGTCTGTTAAAAAATGTTTGTTACAAAGTGTCCTTTTTTCACACTGCAAATAAAACCGTCGACTTTACAATAAGATTATCTGCATTCAAGAGATTTAAGAGTTTGTCCCTGTTAATGAATTAGCAGTTTAGGTCAGTTCTGGGTCTGTCCTTCAGCAGGCTCTTGAGCTGGAAGTGTTTTCTCTTTACTCCTGCCTGCTGCTCTTCTGCCCCCTGGTGGAGATTTCTGGAGTTGCGTCTCTGTGAGTTGTGTTAGTAAAAGGTCCACACTCTGCTCCAGGACAGAGCTCAGAACGTTCTGTTCCTCCTTAGAAAATCGTCCTAAAACATGCCTCTCCACTGATGTTTTCCCTGAAGGTCGGCCAATACCAATTCGTAAGCGTGGCATAACCTGTCAAAGTGGCACAAATAAGAGGAAGACATCAGGGCTCTACATTAACCCCCTACAATCCAAGCTTATCATTCAGGTGTTAATCTTACTGCTTATTACTCAGTAGTTGCTATGAATTACTCAGTAACTACTATGAAACTACTATGCAGCTTGTTTAGTTTGAAAAAGAGGGACTTAAGTGTGAACCTACATATGGATCCCTAGAGTTTAAGGAGGATTTAAATTGATTTATTAAATAATAAAAATAAGACTTACATCAGTATGAAGACAATCAACACAGGATCGCACACCATTGTGACCCCTGTCAACAAAGGAATGAGAAAGGCTTATATAAATGGCTAGCATACATACAAACACTGTGCATTTCACAGTCAAAAGTCCTGCTATAGAAATAAATAATTTTCAAACTATGAAGCTGGACACAATTGCTGTTTTTCCTTTGAGCGAAAGTGTTCCATTAAAATGAATTATGTGATCAGTAAGGGTTATATTTCACTCTTTGTTTTTTGAAAATAACCTTGTTTCAGAATAATTTACATACCATGACAGATTAGCTCCAAAAAGTGCTTAGCGTGTGTGCACATGCCTATTTTTCATGCTGAACAAAACCCAACACAGCTGAGCCCTGAACTGTTTAGCCCCCACCCATTCATCCTGAAGTTATAAAATGTGTTTTGGTCCAGACTGCTTTTTGAATGAGGCACAATATAGTGCAGCCAATCAGGACAAAGGTCATTTACATGTTAAATCAGGACAAAGCCCTGTCATTACATAAAGGCACAGTAACAAAAACTGAGTTCTAAGGGATGAGGAGGGTTTAAAAAATTGTCATATAAACATGAATCAAGAGTGTTTTTGGTACATGAAACCACACAAACATTATAGTGGGGGAGGTGGGGAGGTGCAAGAAAATTCAGGATATGGGTCCTTTAACTAGATCAAGCTACATAGAAAAGCATGTAGGCATGCAAATGATCTTGCTTCTACACTAAATAATTTTGGAGCTTAATTAATTCCTCAATCATTAAAGGATTTTATACATTTTTCATAATATAGTTGCTCTTCCACATTACCAATACAAGGTGGAGCAATTAGACCAAAAATGGCAATGTCTCGCTCATACAACGTTGTATGAGGAGTTTCTTCATCTGTTTGTTTGTTTTCCTCTGGATAGGAAAATATTCACAAAACATGGACTGAAGGTGTCTCTGACCTTGCACTCCCACCATGTTTGATGCCAAGCTTCCCAAGTGGTTTGTCAAGTTCATCGTGAACCAGGACAATGTGCTCAGGCTGAATAGAAAATTTGCTGGCTGGAAAAAAAAATAAATGAATAATAAAAAAAAACAAAATATCCCATGTAAACTCCTCATTTTTTCACGAATATAGTACATTGTGGAACACAAACCTTATTATAATAATTATTGAACCTTTCGGCATGATCTTTCATCTCACTCACCTGCCTTTGCCACACTCACTCCATTGACGTTCATGAGCAACTTTGGACGGAGAAGCACAAGCTGGGTGTCCTGGTAATCTGAAACTATGACCTCTCCTGACACCTGTCTGTCTGACCTCCACTGGTCAGCCACTCCAAGACGCTGTGCCAGTGCTGCAATCACAGCCATACCGATGCTGTGTCGTGACCCGCTCATGCCAGGATTACCGAGCCCTACCACCTGAAATACATTAGGCATTTATAGATCAGTCAGAGAGGTACTGCTTTAGAACCAGCTTCCTTTATACGTTTAATGCCTTAATCACCACTACGTAGTGATACACAAATATCAATTTCATATATGTATCAGCACATCACTTAAAGTTAGCGGCATCAGACACTGCAGCAATTTTTCAGAATTTCTGCATAATTAAATTTTAAACAGTAAATAGTAAACAGTGTCATTCAGAGTGATTTGATGTGAAATGCTCCATTCTAGAGAAACGCACCCAGTCAGGACTGCTCACAGTGGTGGTGATAGGAACCAGACGTCATCTAAAAGCTACCCCGCAGAAAGCCATTACACAAAAGACAACGAGACGCTGTTGTAGCATTTAAAGATAAGATTTTGGCCTAAAGTGTGTTGTAAAAGCCATTCAAGGCAATAGTCCCCAAAGAAAATATATTTTTGTTAGATTACCCACTATTTTACCATTATGTTTAGGTTTACTGGTGGTTTTGGATAGTAAATAAAATGACTGTATTTGCATTGTAGGCAACCTGGTTCCTATTACCAGCATTATAAAGAAATCTGACTTGGTAAGTTTCTGTACAATGAACCATTTCACATCAACTACTCTGAACAACTTCTTTCACATCTCAATGACTGACTCGAACAGAAAATGTGAAAATTCAGTGGAATCCCCCTTTAAGACTTGAATGACATTTTAAATCAATATTTGATAATGCATGCATTTTACAGTTCTCTGTAGATTTAGTTCCAATTTCTACATTATTTTATAAATGCTTATGTATCGGCATTGTTATTGGCACTGGCAGATATGTACATGAAAAATATCAAATATTGGCATTGGCCCACAGTTCCCATATCGTTGTATCCCTACTATAAAGGAAACAGTAAACTGGACTCAGGGCAGCCTGACTACACCATTAAGACAAATAATAAGATACTTTGAGACATCCTGTCACTAATAGGGCCTTTCTAAACCTTTTACAGCACTTACAACTCATTTGTCCTGCCAATTTATCTGCAATGCTAAGTAACAGTGAACTTAATCAACATGGCAGCATTTTCAGAAATTTATCCTAATGTAATATTAAAGGTAACAACAATACAAACCAATTTTCTCCTAGAACTGCTGACTAGATCACTTGCCATCTTCTCACAGGGTACTGTGCCCAAAAGCACTCGGTTCATCAGTTTATTTATCATCCGCCTCAGAAGCGCCATTGATAATCTACAACACTGTGACAGAAATGCCCAAACTTTGACCATCACCGAGGCGTTTCTCATCAGTGGAGATAAACTGAGTCACAGGTACATCTTTATCATCATGCACACACGGAGGCGTAGCCTGCTAAAGAACCTCTTCCTGACTGTGTCCCAGCTTTGTCATTCACATCGGAAGTTCACAGTCTTCGTAAATGTCTCCTATAAGACTGAACACTAGTGTCTCTCACACGAGGACAGACAGATGAGATAGCATGCCTACGACATGCGGGTTGCCAGATCTCTGTACTCTGTTATTCTCAGACTTTTCAAATCAATGCCCCACACCTTTAAAATGTTTATTCTTAATTCTTAATGAAGATTAAACTCTTGCTTTTGTTTGTTAGCTGTTCTTGTTGAGAGACCGTCCTTAAATCGTAAGTTCACAACAGCTGCCTTCCGCAAAACATGGCAACCCACAAGGGATCTGTAACGTCAGATGTGATACAAAGAGACTAAAATGCCGATACCGCCATCTAGCGTGGCGGTTCTGTTAAGGCAAAAAAAAGCACAGAATTTCAGAAAAATTGAACTCTTATAAATCATATAACCTTCGATATTATGTCGCTATAAATGCTTATTATTATTATTATTATTATTATTGTATTACAATATATTGTATTAAGCATTTTTATACTACTACTACTACTAACAATAATAATAATAATAATCATAAGAACAAAAAGAAGGAAATTATTAATATAATAATTGTATTTTATTATGCTATAATATATTATAATAAGTATATTATACCACAAATATTATACTAACAATTTAATAATAATAAAAAATAATAATATAAACCATCATCATCATCATTGATTATTTTTATTATTACAAACCTGTGAAACAAACAGAAAACATTTGTTGTCATTGTTGTTTTTTGTCATTATTATTATTATTATTATTATTATTATTATTATTATTACTATTAGAGTTCTGACAAATAAGCCCTGAGCAACATGACTTATCAAGTTACATTTCAAGATGGTCTCTGTCCGAGGAGCAGACTCACTTCAGAGCAGCAGGTGGGCTGGACGAGGCTTAAAACATCCAATGCTTGCAAGTTGGTCATTTTATGAGTAGTGAAGTTACAGCAAGGTCAGCATTTCCTGCACTGATTTTAGTGAAAAGGAAAAGCATCGTCAGCTGCAAGTAAGCAGCATTTACCTGGACGAATGCCATCTCTGCATGCTGTTACAGAGGGAACGCTATTTTAGGCTGTCAACAAGCCGTTCTAAAAAAGCTGTTAGACTATTTAAAAAGACAGTTTGCTTATATTATAGGACACTGTTTTTCAATCACAAATAATGAGAATCTAGCACTCTAATTTCTCTCTGTTTTAAAGGGAAGTCTGCATGATCAAATTTGTACTGCATACAGGTTGTGCTTCCACTTACAGTTCAAGTGGAATATTTACATACTGTGTAAATGAATGAGTTTTCTGTTTACTGCTTCCTTAAAGTTATGAATATCTCCAGTCTAATGTGACTCTCATTTTGGAGTTGCATTCAAACAGCTTCTCCAGTGCATAAATGGCATCACCTCATCTGCCTACACCAAGCAGAGACCCCTCCTTACAGGCCGAAGACCCTCCCAGCATCAGCCCAGGGACTTCTGGGATATCAGGAGTGGAAAATTACACTCAGCCTGAAAACTACTTCCAGCCAATTAATGATAACGACCCCCTCAATAGTGAATATGCTTCTATAACAGCTGGTTCTCCGTCCACTATCGGCCTTCAAAATCCAGCACCTACTGAACAGCTGGCCTCTTCTCTTGCAGCACAGCATGTCCCCTCCCCTGATATCACGCCACAGACCCCTTCTCTACAAACATGTTCAATGACTGTAACCCAGTCTCTACCAAACATTACTACATGTGCCCTCACCACTAAAATCTCTTCAGTTGATCCTTCGGATCTTGGTGGTCTTTCATCTTCTACCTCTTCTCCTACCTACTCTTTGCTTCTGCACACCAAATCGGCCTCTAAAACACCTTCTCCCCAACTTCTCTTAGAAGCACTGAATGCTGTCCCATCTTCTCATATCGCTGAAACCCCAGTTCAGCTTGGCCAGAGTGCTGGGTACGCATCGTCTTCATGTTCAGAACAACTGCATGAGAATTCTGAGGTAACTTCTCAGCTGTCCCATCAACAAAGGTCTACTTCACAACAGTTTGATAGACCTTCTGAGGCAGACCAAGCAAGTGATATGAATGCTATACAGCAAGATGCAAAGGAACTAGAAAAATATATTAAACAGGACAGAATGGATTGCATCTCAGCAGATAAGCTGCTTCCAGGAGATGATATTCTCATACCCAGTAATATTTCTGATCCATCATCCTCGTTCAATGGTGGCATCAACCCAAAAATTCCTGTAGAGGAAAATGATAGTAGTATCAATACCCAGGAATCCCTCAAAAGCATCACTACACTTCCTGGTTTGTCATCTGCTAAAGCATCCCTTGAAATGTTATTGGTATCTGAGATGCCCCAACTGGTCTCCAATGTTAGTATAAATCAGATTCAGGTTGAGCACAATCAACCTAACCCATCAGATCTAAAGCCACATGTGCCACCAACAATACCTGAAGCTAAATCAGGAGGATCAGCAGATTACATGCCTGTTTTATACCTGCAAGTCACAAAAAAAGTGCAAGAGGAAACTCAGAAAGCCACTGATTCTAACCTGTCTCGACATCCAACTGTCTCCACAACCTCAGTCCCAAAGAAATTAAGATTTAGACCATCAGAGCCTTCAGGAGCTGCAGCTCATGTATTGGAAAGTCTTAAAAATGAGGATGTCCAGAATCTCCATGGAGAACAAGGGCATGATGTATTGGATAGCAATCAAAAGAACCCACCTGTGGTACGGGGTTCCACAACCGTAGAGCAGAGGAACTCTAAAAAAGTTTCAGCAACTTCAACAAAGATCCATCAGCCTATATCCCCTGGTCTGGAGACAAGAACACACTGGTCACCGCAGGAAGTGTCTAGAGCCCACTACAATAGCTATTATGGATCTATCTATCCCAATTATCAAAACACAGATCATCAATTTTCAGACAAGTATTCCATGCATTATTCCAGAGCACATCATGCCTGGATGGATCTAAATGGTCATTGGCCACAAATGGGATCTGAAGCACAGCTTAACAACCAGGTATCAAAAGTAGTTTTTTTTTTTTGTTCTGACCAGTGCAGTCTATTTAAATGAACTGATCAAATAAAAGACTTGTATTATTTTAGTATTTTACTATTCTGATGTTACTGGATAATAACATGGGATATGTGTGCAATTCATTGCAAAATACTGCTCTTTGGTGTCCTTTTTGACAGAAATATCAAAAAGAGGAGCAGAAACAACTTGAGCAGTCCAGTTCAGAACACGTCCACAACTCAAATCAGCTAACCTTAAGGTAAGTTAGATCTTTTTGGCTTTGCCTTCTGTTGCTTTAATGATGGTATGTGATTGAATGAATAATCAGTCTTTTGCTTCCAGAAACCATTATTATTAGGAGCAGTAAACAATTGACTTGGTAGTAAATGCTTCAGCTTGTATGCTCACTGTTTACTGTTAGTGGTTAAAGTAGCATTCCAGCCTAAAACTAGAGTTTAACCCCTGAAAATCACAGGTATATTATATTATATTAAGGCTTATTATTCAGTAACTACCCAGACTACAATGCAAATTAGCTGAGTTATTCTTATTACAGATTACAGAAGTGTACAGTAAAATTTTGGCTCTGTCGGTGGGCCTTAGCCATTTAAGGGGTTACTATGTTCTTTGAATTATGTGGCACAGCTTTGTACCTCACAGTCTCATTAGTTTGACAGAATTCATGATTTTATATAATGTGACCTCACTACAATACCCAGCATGCATTTCACAAATATGTCAAACAAACCTTAAAGAATCCCTGCAGTGCCAACCAATCCTGACTGCTAGCCTAGCCACTGATCTAAGGTTAATAAATACCAATAAAAACCAAGCAGCCTGCCCCCAAAAATCCACTCCAAAGCTGACGTAGTTTTTCAAAAGTTCTTCCCGCTTTGAGGATACACAATCGAAGTGGGGTTTTCTATCTTTAAACTGGAAAATCTTGCTCTGGATACTCCTACGACACCACCGTAGGTTTATAACAGATATAGCAATGGTTACATTTTTCATGTTGGTTATAGCACCCCTTTAATGCATTCTACAAGATTATATAATTTACAATTGCACTGTAGAAATGCTCACATTTTGACAAATATGGAAAAGAAGCAGGCCAAACTGAAAGCAGCTACTTTACCTATAGTAAGGCATACACTTAATGGCACTTTACAAGTGATTTTGTGAATAAAATGGGTATTAAAAGAACTTTTAACAATAAAGCTTATTTGTGTCTTCTTTAAACAAACGATGAAATGTCAGCTCCTTCCAAACAGGCAAAAGAGATCCAAAGACAGATCTGCGAGGGTTGACCAGGGCAAAACGTCTCCATACTGGTATTATAACTATGGAGGTATAAAATGCTGACATTATTTGCATCAGCTTACGTAAACAACTAGGATGTCAATATTCATGAAAGTTGTTTGATTTTCAATCATTTTCATAGGATGGGATCCTCAAGGATACTACTCCAGTGCCTACTACCAAGACTACTATTATCCTTATGATTATGGATACCGAGCAAAAGTCTCCACAAGCAACAGTCAACAATGTAACACAAAGTAAAAGCAATTTAGCACTCATCACTAATAAGATTGTATTGTATACTATTGTACTGTGTTTATAATTTTAACTGCCAACCTTATTCAGCAAATCTGAAATGACTGGACTGTTATATTGTCTTTTAAGGCCTGACAACTATGACGACTGGTGGAAATATGACCCCCGTTATGATTCAACCTTTGACCGTGATCAGTTTGCCCAATACCAGCAGTCTTATTGGGATCAGTGTGACAGGCAAAGTAGCCACAGTGGCTACTCTACTCAGAGCATGCCTAGCACACGCAGCCAGCATAGTCGCATCAGCTGGCATTCAGAACAGGTAACAGATTCCAACCCATTATTTGTCTGTACTCTCCTAAAAACACTGGTTTCTAAAAGGTTCTTTGCTTGGATGTAAAGTTCTAAGAAAAGTCTAATACAGAATCTTTACATTGCATGAAGGTTCTTTAAACTTTAAAATGGTTCTTTACCTTCCAGATAAATGGTCCTTTATGTCCTTAAATTAAAAGTGGATTATCTATGGCAGGACTGCCCAAAGTGTGGCCTGCAGGCCAAAGCTGGCCCACAAGGTCCTCTTTTTTGGGTTGTCAGAAAGTCACCCTAGGCCTCAAATGCATTGTTCTCTGTATAAGATGTGTTAACTTATCTATTCTTAGAAAATCAATAAACTGTAATAAAATTAGTTGCACACAACTAAAATTTATCAAAGGCAAAAAGTTTTGTATGTTTAAAGTTTTTTTTGTAACAAAACATAGTGTAAATATAGCTCAATTTGAAATCTACCTACCTTATTCATGTATATATCACCACTGTTTGAAAATGTCAACTGTCCTTTTCATTGTGTTAACAGTTCATGTTGAATGGACCACTGGAAGTGGCTGAAAATTGTCTTGTTACATTAATTTCCATAATTCTTTGTCTGTAAAGTTAACATTTTTTTTGGCCTGCCCCAAACATTGTACTTTGCCCCCCTCCCCCTCCCCCTATGGCATCACTCCAACTAACCATTTTTGGCACAATATTTTTAAGATTTTATTAGTGATATAATGGACATTTTCTCATTTTTAAATTATGTAATGTTGAATTATTTGTCCTAGAGCTGGGGATATCCAACCCTGCAGAACACTGACTATCCACCTTATGATGTCAGCATTCAGTCTCCAGCTCATTCTGAGGATCGTGGTCAGTTAGAGAAGGAAACCAGCAATAAGGCCTTCAATATTTCTTGCTCTCCAATGAGTGAGATCTCATAGTTTTCAGTTTCACAATGCAATTTTACAATACAAGTACTAAAGTATTGTGGCCCCCAAAAGTATTTGGACATTTGTTTCCATGAAAAATGCATTTAGCACCACATCAAACTGATGGTAAACTCTTAGTGTGGAAAAACATCTGGAGAATAGTTTCAGCCAGACTGCACTAAGGCTACTGTAAGGCAAGTGTCAAAGTCTAGGACTTTTTCTTACAGTGGTGTTGGTGAGCTTGTGTTCACTGATGAGATCATAAACTCAGAAGTGTATGAAGGTATTTGGGATGCAAACCTGCATAAGTCTATAAAGAAACTGCTCACTCCATGAAGATGATCAGAAACACTTCAGCCATCATTTGAAAGAATACTACCAAAATCTAAATGACTTGGAATGATCTGGTTAAATTAATGCAACTTGGTTTGACATTTTGTTTCCTAACACAGAGAACATAATACGTTTTAACTATGACATCAGTGTCCAAATACTTTTTTAGGGCCGCTGTATATTTCAAGAACAAAGTCATGTTCTCACCTTCATATGTTCTCACTGTAGGTCCTTCCATCCCAGAGCAGTTCTCCTTCCCTCACTGTTGTGCACAATTTGGGCCTGGTGGACAGCTCATTCAGGTGCTCCCAAATCTTCCTTCCGAGGGGAAGCCAGCGCTGGTGCAGATCCACAGCACTGAGGTCATTTCCTGATATTGATGTTGTTTTCAAATGCTCACTTGCACAGTATTGGTGTGGTGTATTTATTTCTAGATGAGATATTTTACTGGCTTTGCATTATATTCTACCATTGCTTTAGCTCTAAGTGAATTGACTCCTCAATAGATGCTGCTGCAAGGCTGCTGGGATCAACCAGAACTTCAGGCTTTTCCTGGACCTCTCACAAAGTAAGGGCTAGGTTTAAGTTCACATAATTAATAATAATAATAAAAAATATTATTAAAATAATGCATTATTTTAAAACAACAATAATGAATAATAAAAATAACAAATATATTCTTATGTAGCACTTTTTAAATGTATGTTAACAAGTCTGATTAGAAGATTAGATTGGTTAGACTGAAATGCTGAAATGATTGGAATAAACAATAACATTTTTAACAATAAAATATTTAGCAATATACTAGAAACAAAAAGCCTACAGCTTTAGTGAAAGTGATGAAGCCACATTAGTTGGCTTCATACTAATAAAAGCAAAAGTAATATTAATTATACCAACAAAGGGGACCATATATACAGGAAAAGATAAATGACCCGAATGTTCAAGTACCCAGTGTAAAATATATAAGAATTCAAATACTAGACCACTTATTGAGGATCTGAACTAGTCTAAGACTGATCCAGAGGCCAGTCCAGTTTTACAACGTCTAAGCAATACAAATCAAGGCATATTTTGGGCTGTATAACCAACTTTTTTAATGACTTATACTATGACCACTACCAGGCATGGAATTTGCGCATTGTGTTTTTTTTGCTTTTGTTTTTTTTTCTTATAGAGACGAGACCCCTAAGTCAGAGGTGCTGGATTTTGTAAGAAAGAAGTACCAAGAATGCCTACAGAATAATACTTTGGCAGATAAAGAAGCATCTTGCCTTATATGGGAGCTCCTGGAGTTAGTGTGCAAACAGAATGGCGTAAGTTTTTAGGTGTTCTTTAGTTTTTTATGCATATGTTATACAAATGATTATATATGTCATTGTGAAATATGTTACAGAAACTGGTGGGAACTGATATATCTCAGCTATTGCTGAGAAAGCAGAGATCCCCCGCCACATCAGAGAAGGCTACTTCTGATCTTATTGATTTTACAAATGAAGCAATCAGCAGAACTGCATGTAATGCAGAATTAACCACTGAAGATACTTTTTTGGCAATTCCAAAAGATACTGAAAGGGATTTGCAGTGCCTCAGAGAGCTGCTCATCTTTGGAAGGAAAAAGGTACGTTTAGTGTTTTTATTCTACAGCTAACTGCACTGAGTCTTCTAACTCAAACGATGGAGTTAAACTGCTCTTAAATACATGGCCAATAGGATGCGCTGGAGACAGCTATAAGCAAAGGCTTGTGGGGACATGCTTTCATGCTTGCCAGTACAATGGACAGCAGGGCTTATTCTCAAGTAATGAGCAAGTAAGTTATAACAAATTACAACATCCTTCAGTCTTAAGTGTCCAGTTTCAGCAACATGCATTTTAACTCTCTGGTTAGGTTCATTGATAGTTTACCAGAGAATGATGCGTTGAGGACCTTTTATCAGCTTATGTCAGGAAGGATACCATTATCTGCAACTGTGAGTGTGTATGTCTTTATTTTTTGTTGATATGATTTTTTATTTACAGTTTCACATACCAATAACCTATCTGATACAACATGGAGTAAGGCACAATGGGCCTCATTCACCAACCGTTCTTAAGAAGGAATTTCTTCTTAAAACCCAATTACGCAGTTTTCACAAAGATTCTGACATTCAACAATGCTTTCTTATTTGAGATTCGTTCTTAGATATGAATAGAATCTACACACACTCAAGAACTCAAAGGTGTGAACAATTCTGCAGTTTGAGAACACATCATGAATCTGACGTAGACTTTTCTTTCTCGAGAACAAATTTCAAAAACTTAGGAAGATATTGGTGAATGAGGCCCAATGTTTATGTATATTGTTACAGAAATTTAACATTCAATGGGATCACTAACTAAAAATTTTAATGTTTCCTCTAGCATTGTGGGATTAAGGAGTGGGGAGACTGGTGCACCCACCTGGCCATGGTTTTATCAAATCACACACGTTTCAAACTTCTACACAAAAAAACCATAACAAGAATGGGAGATGCATTAGGTGAGACTAAGCACATACACTATAAAAGTTGGAGTTTGAGTTAACGTTTGAGTCAGGTTGAGATAACTCAAAAAAGGTGTGCAGCTGGTTGCCTTTTAATTATTAATCTACGTTGACTTGACTATTATATTTTCTATTGTATCCACTGCATGCTCATGCACCACTAAAACAGTTTTTAGTGTTGAAGTCAGACATGTAAAACTGACTAAGAGAGTACAGTCATATGCAAAAGTTTGGGGAAATTACATGTTTTGTTGATTTTCGAAGGTAACACATGCTCTACAGTGACCACACTTCTGCACATTTTAAGGCACGATTACTGTTTATTTGCTGAACTTGATATTGAAAAAAAACAAATATAAAATGTAAAAATTATGGCTTATTTGATATGTTATGTTTTTTTTTTCCAACTCAGTCAATAAATAGAAATTGTGCTCTAGAATTTGCAAAACAATGTCTTATTGAAGTTTGTTCTCTGTAGAAGACATGTTAATGTTCTTTCACTTAGAAAATCAACAAAACATATAATTTGACCTGGGATATTCAAACTTTTGTGTACAGCTGTGTTTTACTTTCATTCCAGCTTCCAAAGGATGTTCTGATGCAGCTAGATTCTGTTATGTGGTGGCTCAACTAGATGTGGACACACAGAGTGACAAGTCAGACATCTTTCTGTTTGGGTCCAGTAGGTAAGTTGGTACTTATTGACTCCTATATAGGGCTTTCATGATTACTTAATTAAATCTGATTAGTTGATTAAAATAAATCACTGATTAACAATTAGCTGCAAATGTGCAATTTGCATAAAGATTAAACACAGAAATGGTTCTGCTGGTGTCTCTACAGTATGAAACAGACTATGATGGACACACCTATTATATTATATTATATTATATTATATTATATTATATTATATTATATAGTTTTTGAATTAAATTATTTTAAAGTCTAGTTTTCCAATAAAGTATTTTGGCATCACTGACTGGCTCTGCCTTTTTATATTTATTTACCTAAGTCTGTTTTTATTATTTGGCATTTAAAAAGACTGATTACTTGCTTAATGGTGAAATAATTGGTAGAGTACTAGATTACAATCATACTCGATAGTTATAGCCCTACTGTAGTGTGTACATTTGTAGTCTTAACTGAACAGTGCTTTATATGATTAACTTTCCTGAGATTTATTCCAGTTTACCCCCTCTGGATTTTGCCACCAATGAAGCAATCCAGCGTACTGAGCTGTTTGAATATGCTCTTTCTCTTGGCTGTGATTCAGTTTCTCTTCCACACTTCCAGGTCTTTTTCTGCTTTCTCATTACAAATCCATACTTGGCTTAAATTTGTATGTTGTGACATTTACAAAGAGAAAAGTTCATTGACCATTCTGTGCTCTTCAGATCTTCAAGTTCATTTATGCATGCCGGTTAGCAGAAAGTGGGCTTTGCGCACAGGCCTTTCAGTACTGTGAAGTGATCTCCAAAGCACTGCTAGCCTCAGTTTCGGGACAGTCTCTGACCCTAATAAGCCAGCTCATTGAGGTACACAGGAAGTGACAACACACTTCCAAAAATAATAAACTTTGTGGATTTTTTATAATCTCAAAGCTGTCATTGATCAGAATCGCAGGTTTAATTTTCAAGTTATGCTAATTGTGCTGTTACACATCACCTTGTAGCTATCTACAAAAATGAGACACTTCGACCAACAGTTGAAAGACATCCCAGATCTTGAATTATCGTCTGAGCCAGAATGGCTGATCAACCTGCGGAGGCTTCATGGCCAAATTATTGTAAGCTTGCTGTATTATACAACTATGTGTCCAAAAAATTGTAGACACCCCTCTAATTAGTGAAATAAGCTACTTAAAGGTGCTGACACAAATCAAACAGTTCAACTACACACACACAGTTTGTACAATCTCCATAGAAAAGCATTTCTAAGAGAATGGGACCCACTTGAGCAGCCATACATGAGCCTCAGGTCACCAGGCCCAATGCTAAGTGTCGGCTAGAGTGATATTGATCCTCCAGCTTTGGGCTGTGGTGCAGAGAAACACTGGAGTGAGTGATGGAGCTCCATCCAATAGCTTTGAAAAGAGTTGGAGTAATGTTTGTGATCCAGAACTAGTTATGCAACATTAGTACCTGACCTCAGTAATGCTCTTGCTGAATGCAAGCCAATCCTCACAGCAATGTTCCAACATCTAGTATAACCTTACCAGAAAAGTAGAGGCTGTTTTTGCAGTAAAGATCAGGCAAACTCCCTGTTAATACTGTTGATTTCATAAGAAATACTGGATAAGCAGCTGTCTACAAACCTTTGGACATACGAGATATTTTAAACTTTGGAATGCTTAGTGACTTTAGTCACAGAGAAAAAAAAATGAAAGTATTATATTATCAAATCTAACTTGTAGGAGGAATTGAACTTACCCAGTTCCAAGAAGCAGGACACAAACTGTCTTCCTCTGTTGGAGAAGGACCCCCAAGGTACCTCTCCAAAAAAAACAACCACAGCCTCATATAAAGTCTCCCTTCTGACTACGAAGATGTCAAGCCAAGAGGAAGTCCTTCCCAAGGTTTGCCTGGTGCCCCCAGGTATGTTTACACCTTAATTTCTTTTACCTAATTCTAATTAACACTGTGTACAAACTGTGTCCATATTTTCAGTAACCTTCTATGATTACAGCACCACAAGACATTCTTAAAAAGAGAGCCCTTCCAAAATCAAGCCAAGTTCCTGACCCAGGTTGTTTTGAACTTGCCAACAAGGTGAAACGGAATTCTTCATTGCAAATGTTGTCATTAAATCTCAATTTATTTCATTAACATATAGAAAAAAAACTAAATAAGCTGTCCACAGATTTGGTGTAAATGTTCTGTTTTTTCAGGCTGTTCCACTGTCTACATCTCCAATTTCCCAAAAGCCTCCCCACCATGCAGACTCAAACCTCCCACCAGTTGAGGAACCAGTTCAAGCACTGAAGCCACACACAGTGCCAGAGCCACATCTTTACATTTTGCCTTCCACTGCAGCACTGCTACCTGAGAAACTAGTTCACACAGATGATGCACGGCATTTGTCAGAACATCAGCCCAACGAAGCCAAAGAGTCAACACCTACTCTGGCTCTACCACTGCCTGCACCACTATCTCTGCATCCAACCACAGTGCAGTCAAAATTCAGAGAAGACCTTCAACCACAATCTCTCAACGATGATCCTACAGCTACACAGTTTCCAATGGAGCCTCATACATTGTCTGCTGCAACATTACCTTCCTCCACTTCAGTGGCAACAGAATCAAAATCTTTACCTCAAGTAATTTCTCCCAATATAGAGTCCCACACATTACCTTCATCCAAGTCATTGGCAACAGGATCTGTACATGATTTAAAAACTCCATACACAGATCCTCATACAGTACCTTCTACAACATTATCTTCTTCCAATTCATTGGCAACACAATCAGAATCTGTCCCTCAGTTAATTTCTCCCTACATAGATGCCCATAAATTGCCTTCTACAACAGTACCTTCCTCTACGACAGTGGCAACAGAATCAGAGTTTTTGCCTCAATTGATTGCTCAACAAATAGAGCCCCATTTATTGAATACTACGACTACACCATCCTCCATGTCAATGGCAACAGTATCAGAGCCTGTCCCTCAGTTAATTTCCCCAAACGCAGATCCTCATACATTACCTTCCACAGCATTATCTTCTTCCAAGTCATTGGCAACAGAATTTAGGTCTGTACCTCAGTTAACTGCCCCATGCACACAGCCCCGAACACTGCCTTCCACAGCATTACCTTCTTCCACATCACTGGCAACACAATCAGAGTCTGTGCCTCAATCACCCATGCCACTGCCTGTTCCACCATCTTTTGACCAGGTGGGTCAACAATATCAAAAACAGCAGCCAATTACTCAAACAAGTGTTGCTGTAGCTCCTCCACCAATGGCTTCTGCTAATCAACATTGGGTCACTAAGAAGAACTTGTGTTCTCATGAGGTACAACCAGTGCCTTCCAGGTCAGCATCTATGCTGTGTCCACCTCTTGATCCCCAACCATTGGATCCAGCTGTGTCTAATGGAAGATCTCAACCAACCTACACCATGGAGTCACAAACAGTGCCTCTTCTTACTGTGCCTTTACCTGCATCCCATATTTTGCCTCCAAGCAACAATGATTATTCAGCAATGCAGGATCAACATGTAGCACAAACAGAATTCATGCCTTCCCAAACTTCATGCCTTCCAGCAGACCCAGTGCTTGGACAGAAACCTCCTCCACCTCCCAATGCAAATCCCTATGCCATGGGAGAGAAAATGGCTCACTCAAAGCAGCAAATGCCACCCAAACCCCTGATACCTAGGCTATTTGTTCCTCAGAGTCTACCTCCAGAGCCCCAGCCTAAAAAGGTCAGTCAGTTAATCAGGAAAAAAAATTGTTCATTCAAAATATATACAAAAATGTCTTTTTTGGATGTGAAGCACCTCATAGAACCGGCTTGTAACTCACTCACTCATGTTGAGCAGGCGAAAAATTGTCCACAGGGGGTGCTATTAGAAGTCACATAGCTTTTGACACTTCATAAGAGCAGTGTTTCTTATATGTGTATTCTGTTTCTTTTTCTTCTTACAGCTTCTTCTTTCTTCATTCTCCCTCATTATTGTGCTCTATTTTTCAACAGGAAACTGGAGGTGGGTGGTTTAGCTGGCTTTTTGGCAAAAAGAAGGAAGTTAACTTACCTGCAGATACGGGCAAATCAGTGAGTGAAAGCCACTGCTAACATGATTAATATTTGCCAAAGGTCTTACATTTGCTGCAAATAACATATTGACCTCCAACAGCTTGTTTGGGATGAAGACCTTCAAAGACGGGTTGATCCAAATGAAGAAAAGAAGAAGGTTCTTCTTTTTCTGTTGTATTCCTTTTGTGAAACATAACTACTTTTAATTAGGCGACTGCATTGTTATTGATAGTTTTCTTTTAAATATGATGTGTTATCCCTTTAGAATAAATCTGCATTAGAACATTCTGAAGGAGTTACAAAGGCAGCTACTGCAAGTTCAGGAGATTTTGGGGGGCCCACAGCAGGGCTGTTGAATACTATGCCTGCTTTGAGACCAGGTGATTTCTCCTCATTAGTCAAATCTGAATGACACTTTTGAGTGTGATAACATGTCCAACTAGGCCATGACAGACATTTTAATTTTACCAAACCCAGGGCCTAAGAGAGGATATATGGCACCACTTAATCCAGTCTTAATGAGCAACAATCCAGGTATTCAGCTTTATGCCTCGACAGGCATAAGCAGCAGTGAGGCACAAATGGTCAGGCCAGCCAACACATATCTAATGGATCACGGTAAGTATATGTAGTTGTAATATTCTTGTAGTATTTCTGAGCATATTTTATATCATCATGTAGTGTTGTATCTCATTTCAATTTCAATCATAGAAAGAGAAAAAACACAACAATTTTTTGCATTTAGCTGTTTCTGGACAGTCTGGACACAATAGATGGACCCAGAACTCACAACCTGCCATGCATTCTCAAACACCTGAAGTAAGTGGAAAAAGCTATACATGTAGCTGTTTTGTTTTTTTCAGCATAATTTAATAGCTGCACCTGGCTTTTGATGTTTTGATGCTGACGTTTTGTAAAAGTAGTGTAGCACATAAAACTGTACAGTGCTGTAGAGACATCAGACACCACCAATCATTTGCTCTGGGGTGGCCAATCCACTGCTCTAAGAAAAAAATTGCAAGTGTCATTTTAAAGAAGTGCAGAATTTTCTTTCCTGAGAGTGAAGATGATAAGAAAAAAATTTCTTCTTTTTTGTCGATTTTTTTTTCTCAGTAACAGCTTCTTGACAGCTACACATTCTTTCAGACTCATAGTGTTGTGTTGTCTTCTCACAGTGGAAAGATGTGGATTTTTTTCAGATCTGATGCAAGAGTGGAGCTTGATTTTCTCTTATCTGTCAAAGATGAAAGTTTTGAGTTCTGTTTATTTGATGGTGACCGTTTTTGTGGTCTACCAGGACTCACACAGTTGTTAGGAGCATCATTTTCTTTATAACTTTAACTTTTTTTGGAAACTCCTGTTTTTTTTCACTTTTTATTATTTGACCTTCCCCTTGTGCTAGTGAAGTATCACATATCTAATTCCCTCAGAAATATCTGAATAACTTGTACTTAATGGTTATTTTGAGTGGACATTGAATAAATAAAAGGTGGTCTTTGACTTTTGCACAGGACTGTATATGTAAACGTTACGTGACATTATGGATCAAAAATGTCTTTGCAGAATTTGAGCCAGAATGAAAAATCCCCAACTGCTTGAAATGTGGCACTTTATGTACCCCATCACATTGTTTTTACCTAAACAGACTTCGCTTAGTATAACTACTGATTTTTTCTTAATTTTAAATTTTACTATTCCTCTTGTATTGTGTTTTTATGTGTAGGATATTCTCCAAGAGATAATGTGAAGATGTAGATGTACTACTACTCCATGAGGGGACAGGATCCAGAGGAAGCTAACTATGGATTTTTAGACCTTTGGAGATTAATCACCAGTTAAACTGTGTCATTATTATTTCTGTTTTTAGACTTTGACATGTAGGATATTTTTTGCATTAGAATTTATCCACCACAGAACCAGAACAATCAAATAAAAACCTCATTTTGCTCCCTGTTTGGATACAAACAGCAGACTGAGATTTAGGGTTTTTTCTCGGGTCACGTTATATACTTACATGCACTACTTACACAAAGCAGTGGTACATTAAACCACATAAACAGGTTCAATGCTGACAAATACTTTCATCAGTACATATAAAGATATAGTACTATATGTTTAGTCTTAAGTCACAATAAAAGGCCTTAAAAAACAAGAAAGTCTTTTTAGAAGTTATGCTTGTGTGTTTAGTTACCTATCATGCAAATTACAAGGCTCATACAACAATTATTTGAACAGATTCAGTTTTAACCAGCCGCACATTATTCAGGACACGTTGGTCAGGACATTGTGGATTGGGAAGAAATGTATTCTACAAGACAGTAACAAGCTCAAGCACACTGCTGAGAAGAACATGACATGCTTAAAACAAAGAAGCTGGTGTTTTCAGAACAATGGACTGACCTCAGCAGCACTGAATTTGTTTGGGATAACTTGGATTGTGAGAAGCAGAAAATGCAACTTCAAAGACTGATCTTTGGAGGTTTGGAGAAAAATCCCAGCAGAGTTCTTTGAAAAAATGAAAACAAGTTTTGCAAAAAGAATGTTAGCTGTAATAAAGGCAAAGGATGGACACACTAAATATTGAAGAATTTCATATTATATTATGTGGTTTTATGTTATTTTTGTTGAGGTAATTTTCTGTTAAATATGTTTTTTCTGCTTTTTGTCCCGGTACTGAACAATTGATGACTTGTACATAATGGCCATTTTGACTATAAATTAAACAAGTTAAAGGATGGTCTGTGGCTTTTGCACAGTACTGTACAGAGAAGGGAAAAACATGCTGAACTGCTACCTTTAGTTTTTCTCTTTAGGCTCATCATTGATGTCCTCAGTCGGTCTTCTCTGTGTTTTCCTCATTTTCCCCATTTCCTCCAGAAAATAAGGCCTAACATTACAGACATTATTTTTAGTTTTCATAATTTTCAAGTGTTGACAATCTAATCATAGCTCTGTTTGAAGGTTTGATCCATTATGGTACTCAGGGTATGAGATACAGAGAAGACTGTCACATTTCAAACTAAGGTTTGTTAAACTCTATAAATGTTCTTTATGCTCACACATCTCATTTGCAATAATCCTTCTTTAAAGAACTTTCCATTGAAAGGCTACTCAGGTAACCACAAGTGATTCTTCAATGACATTTCCAAAAAATCCTGTTTAAAACTACTTTAAGACTAAAGAAACAGGAAATACAGAATAAAACCTACTAGCAGCAAGTTAGCATCAGCGAATGGGCTAAATTCACTCATATCTTCCTAAGTTTTTCCTTAAATTTGTTCTTTTTAAAGAAGTCCTAAGAAAAGGTCTATGTCAAATTCATGACATGTTCCTAAACTGCAAAATTGTTCACAGCTTTGTGCTCTTGTGTGTAGATTCTGTTCTTACCTAAAAACAAATCTCAAATAAGAAATCATTGGTTTATGTCAGAATCTTCGTGAAAACTGAGTAAGTGGGTTTAAAAAAGAAGTTTCTTCTTAAGAATGGTTGGTGAATGAGGCCCAATGAGTTCAGACTTGTTGTGTGTGAAATAGTAGACTGCATTAAGTCATTACCTCTGCTGAAGCCAGTCACATCCTCTGTTATTATTCCATTATATGGCATGATTCCTGATCTAACAACCTACAGTTCCCTTCAAAAAGCACAACTGCGCTATAATTCTACTCAATCTGATATGAATGGAACTACACCATGAGTTGTATGTGACAGGAGACATCAACATTGATTCAATTAATCATTCACAATGTTAGAGTATTTAAGATATTCTACAAGTGAATTTATGGAGTTAGTAACAGAGCTGACTTTTACCTGTGTATTTTTAGAGATTTTCTCTCTGGTACTTTCACTTATCCTTTTACCCCATACTATAATTCTCCACTTCCTCATAAACTCTTTCAGTTCTGCTTGGCCCTCCACTTTGGCACCGTCAGCTAATTTCCACATAAACATGTCTCTTGTTGTGTACTTTAATGCTGCGTTCACATGTTTCTGTTGAAAAAAAGTCATTCCGTGCCAGATGGCAGAATGAAGCCAGGCAAATGTTGACATGGTGACAGTGTTACTTGCAAAAATGAATAATTATCAGAGGAGTGCTTTAGCAGTGTGGATTGTTTATTTAAGGTGGAAACATGGAGCAAGTGACAGACGCCACAATACTATACAGTACTATACATACTGTGCTAAATGTACTATGTTGTGGTGCACTGTTTTGACATACTGTTAGTGGTATATGGTTTTAGACAGACACACAAATAAAATATATTTGTCTTAATTTTTCAGTTCTTTGTGAAATCCTAGTTCTTTCATCTGCATTACTAAGCCGCCTATAACGTGTCATGTTTTTATGTGCTTGTCTGGTTATATTGATGGTTTTCTTTGTTTTCAGCTTTTTTCTTCCTGTATTTCTAAACCTTGACTATGGACTTGCCCATGATGCACCTGCCCGAATGTGTTTCGACTTCCAGTACGTGTTCTGGATACTCGGATTTGCCCAAATAAACTCACTAAATTCATACTCCTGCCACCTATACCTCCATCTTTAGACACAAAACCAATTTAAAAAGGCAAACCCAAAGAATTCCCTTTAACTAACTGAACTAAGTGAACCTTAAATAAAAATCTTTGTTTAAATATTTTTAAGCCAGTGTCAACACTAAATAAAATAACAGTCTTTATTTAAATATTTTTAAGCCAGTGTCAACACTAAATAAAATAACAATCTTTCAGAAAGGCAACCATGGGCCTTAACGTTCACCGCTTTTTAGCATTAATATAAAATGCATTTACTGTGTAGATTTTAATCCACACAAGCAGAAAATCTTGTAACCCTTAAAGCCCATGGTTGAATTTTTTTCATATTTGCCCCCAAAATCCACGCTAATTGAAACAAAACAAAAACATTATGGTTTTTATGATCTGAAGCTTAGTAAAGGTAGTTGTGGGCTGGTTAGTTGAAAATAAAATATTTAATCAACAAAATCAATTCTTTGCTATATGAGGGTTAATTTCGCAGAATCCAGCCGATTGAGCCTCTGGTCAGAACAAGCTCCGGAAATATCCAATCAAAAACCACATTAGTGACATCGCCCGCCCCCCACATTTCTCTTTTTCAAAATAAGAGTTCAACATGACGGAGTACTTTGGCAGATGAAGTTTGACCTGTTTAGGTCTGCCATTGATGTTAAATATCTGGGGTTGTCCGTTGGAAATTCCAAGTATGTTCTCAGCAAACCTGGAAATATGCATGTCGGAAAGGAACCTGTTAAACTACAAGTGTAAGTTTGTCATTTAATTTTCTGTGACGCAGTGTTTTCTGGTTGTGTTTAGCTCGCTGCTAACTAATGAGAGCTGGGACTTGGTTGTTTTCTGCTTTCAGTGGCCTTTCACTTACTTAACCTAGCTATAGCTAGGTTAGTTAGCCAGTCTTCATATTAGAAATGTGACATTCAGTGTAAACTGTTGTGACAGTCAACAGAGAGCTAAGATGGCTGTGGCATATAACTGCGAAGCGGTAGGGTGGTCTTATGTAAGATTGTAAGCTGGCTTTCCAGGTGGCAAAATAAAGTTTGGTAGCATAGCCAGCTAGCTATCGAAGCTACTTTGCAGAGAAACTACCTACCTACCTGCCCGCCTGCCTACCAGTTGATATACAGTTATTCACAAAGATATCAGCAAGCGGGGCTAGAAAAATACACAAACCGTTAACTGGTGGCTGGACACGAGTTCACTTAGTAACCTGAAAACTGTCACCGAAAAGTGAGTCATGAGTGAGCAGAAGTGAGCAGCTTATTTTGCTTTGTCTGTTGTTTATTTGACACTTGTCATATTAGCGATGGAAGCATTAGTTATACGTTAAAGCGTTAACTTTTGCCCCTTCTCTCTGACAAAGTCTGATCTTCAGACTTTTGGCTCCCCTGGACAATAAATATTCAGGAATCTGGAGTTGCTGATTGATCCAACACAGAGAATAATCCCAAAAATGGAGGAAGGTTTAAGGAGGTGAGTGAATTGTTTCCTTTAGGTCCTCCATGGCAGTTAAAAAGAAAAAGGAACGTTTCACCGTGCTTAGAGCAGTGACATAATTATTGAAGTTGATAAACTCAGTATATGCACTCTTCCCGTGATCTGTCCATTTCTGTTTGACATTTCATGTTCCAGACCAATATCCAGAGATCACATGAATCAGTCCTCATCTGAAAACTGGTTCAAGAGAAGACAGAAGTCAGCAGTAACAGACAATTGGCATGGCGGCGGACCAAAGGGACACAGTCTCAGTAGCGTCCAGCAGCCAAGAGGCAGCAACAGCCCACAAACTGACACGACCCGAAAAGAATATACACCTGAGAATACAGGAAAGGTATTATTCTGCTTTTACTCTTCATCAGTCACTGTAACAAGTAATACTGGGGCACAGTTCTGGTAATATTCCTTTTTTATTTATTTATTTATTTATTTAGTTTGTTTGCATGTCTTCCTTATTTAGTTAGTTTTGTTTTGAAGGCGTGATTTTGTTAACTTGATATGTAAAACTTTTGTACAGTGCAGAATTTGTTCTTGAATCTCAGAATTTCTTCTCTTTGAATCTCGCAGACAGTACAGCATAGACCTGAGCCTTTTTCCCATAACAGAAGAATAAACATGAGACCAGCAGACACAACCAAAAGAGGTAATCTATATTATAATTATAATATAGTTATATATTATAATATATAATAAATATAATATAATTATAATTAATTAAAGAAATACTGGATAGCAGTTTTATGTACCTAGGCGACATCTAGACAGAGACTAAAAGTTTCTCAGTGGGCAGTATCTGACAGTGCTACTTATGATGTACCTCTGCATTTTTCCACATTTCTGAGTGCAAGTTCCTACTAGTGAACTGATCTCGCCATGAGGCGGTGATGAGGTGAACTATTAAAATCTTTTAGTGAGATTTCCTCTATAGTGTGATAATTAACCTGTGTGCCTCCACAGACAGATGTGTATTGATTTTGAAACTGTCCGTACACCTGCAAAACAAATTAAAACATCAGCTTTTAAATTTTTTTTTTAATTTTATTTTTATTATTTTATTGTTTATACAGTATGGAGCAAAAGTCAGAGACTACTATTCATTCATTTAATTTCCAGTCAAAACAGCAATCAAGTTCTTTATTTTTCAATGTCAGGAAAAGAAAGAAGAACACACATATTTAATAAAAAATCAACTAATCATAAAAGGATTTCTTCCAGCATTTAGTATGTCAAGGTTTGCCTCTATTAGAGGATGTTGAAATCTGTACTCTGAGTTGATCAGTCCATTATTCAGAAAACACCAGCAGCTTCTTTGTTTGATTTGCAGATTTGCACATTTTTGTCTGTTTCCTTTTCTTGATAGTGGCTTCTTGACAGCTACACATCCTTTCAGCATTTAATAGATCTTTTTATTAGTGGAAGGATGGACAGAAACACCTGTGGGTTTTTTCAGATGTGGAGCAAGACTGGAGCTTTTTCAGATCTGGAGCTGGAGCTGAGAAGTACTGTTTATCTGATGGTGACAGTTTTGGTGGTCTACTAGGTCTTGCACAGTTGTTAGGAGTCCCATTTTCCTTATAACATCATAATTTTTTTGGAATCTCTTACTTTCCTTTGACATTCTTCTGCAGTGCGCTAGTAGAATGTCTTATGTAATCTCCTTAGAAAATATCTCCTGAATTTGGAAATGTAATAAATTAAGGGTGGTCTCTGACACTTACACAATACTGTATGTGATCTTTTTGAAGCTCCAGACAACAGAAAGCTTTGTGGTTGAATACCAGAGGTATAAAGTAGGAACTTACCATGTCCATGTATCAGTGCTATAGGCCAAAGGTACCTGCAAGGATATTGGACCCACCAGAAAGCCATCTCCCCTCAGTGAGAGAACAAACATATATATAAACAAAATGTGCACCTGAAGTTACCAAAAGAAAAAAAAAAACTCCTCTTGCCAACGTGCAATCGCCATTGACCTCTCTGTCACTACACCAACAGAAGTACTTTGAATTAATATGAAGCTCTTACACCGCAAATTGAAACAACCTTCTTTATTGGTGTACTGTTTTGTCTTTTTAGCACCCAGCCCACTTCTCACAGTACCCACAGGACAAAATGTTTGGGCACCCCTGGTCTAGACTTAACCAGTATTCAGGAAATCTCCACTAGGTGTCACTGTTCCTACTAACATTGGCTTTTGTCTTTTTGTTTTTAAAGGTTATAGAGGGACTAGACCTTCTACAGCTCCAGATGTGAGACACAAATCAGGAGTAATGAGCAGCAGCACGTTTGAAGTGAAGCTGTCTGATTTTCCAGAACTGTGTGACGTTACATCTAGCAACCCCAAAGCGGCCTTCATTCAGGAACCTCGGACCTGCTGGGGTGCTGGCACCTCAGCAGCCCTTCAGGATTCAATAGGAGACCAAAATATCTGCCAGAACACGGTTGGTTTTTTGGGAAAGATTACAGTAATAAACAGAAATAATCAGTTATTGACTTGATGCATTCATTGATCATTCGAAACTCTGGAATGAAAGCAAATCTCATGTTGACATTTCTTAAGGATACACCAGGAAAGAAAGGACCAAAACAAAAATCGACTCAGCCAGTCACCTCAACAGAGAAATGTGATAAGACATTGACTTCATCACCAGGTATAATTCAGTTCTTTATGGAAACTGAGTTGTCGTTGTTGAGATTTCCGCATATTTTGTTGTTATTCTGATGCACTGATACAATTCTCCATTTCTGTAACATGTTCCTTTATTTAGGTCAGGATTCTGGGCTTGAGTTACTCAACCCTTATGGATCACCAGCAACATCCTGGGCTAATATTGCCTCTCAGCCTCCTAAAGTCATCCAGAAAAGTCCTGCCGTACATGATGAATCTACTCAGGTAAAGTATTTCAGTATCTAGCAGTAGCCTGTTAGTCTCAATTATAATATATTTTAATTGCATTGTTATTACATAACAGAACCTTGTGTCTCTAGAACTTTACAGGAGAATGAAACAACATTCCAGTTAATTTCCTGTAATTTTGCATAATTTCTATTAGTCAATTTATTTATTGTAACGTTCTAAAATGTTCATGCAATGTAAAGGGCATGTGAATCCAAAGGTCTATTACACACTTCCATTTAAGACTTAAGAATAATTCAGTCAGTTTGTACTGTTTCACATGTAATTACTGAATAATAAAACCTAACTAAATGGATTATACAGTTTACAGTTTTCTATTGACTTCAGATGTAGTCGTTGAGCCATGTTTCAAGTTCAAGTTTTTCTTTAGTTCAGAACTGGAGTGGCTAGGCTAACAGCTAACACTAGAAGACAGTAGTCACCCAAATAATTTCTGCAAAAAATAGATTCCAAAAACTTTTCAAACTTTGATCTGTTTTTACTGAAACAATTTGGGCTATGTGGGTGACTACTGAGGTCTCATGATTGCTAAGAAGAAGCAAAAATTGGAAAGTGCTCGCTCTTTCTCATCTAATTGTAAGCAGAATGTCAAAACATTTTTTTTTTCTGTTAATCTCAAGGTGGAAAAGTCTCAACAACAAGCAGAACAAACTGCTGAAAAAAAGAAAAGAAAGAAAAAGAAGAAAGCTAAAACAGCATCTGAGGGCTTGGAGCAGCAGACAGATGATGTGCTAATACAGCAGGAGCCTCCCAAGTTTGAAGTAGTCACATTATTTTCAACTTCAATGTAACAAGTTTTTTGACTAATCTGTTGCTTTTATTTGGTGTTTGACATTTTTGTTTGTTTGTTTGTTTTTGTTTTTCCTCTCTTGTTCACATTATCACACTGGAGAAACTCTGCTAATAGCATTTTCATGTTTAGGATGAAGAAGAGTTCCCAGACCTGACTTTCACTTTGGTTAGTCCACACAAAGGGCCAAGACAAACATCAAACCCAGCAGTTCAGGTAAAACTTTTAGAGAAAGAAAATATATTTGGTAACAGAATGCTTTTTCCATGCTCACTTTTCTTTCTGTTACACAGGATAGCCCAGGCATGTCTGAAAAAGAGGGGTCATCTCTGCAGCCAGAGAGTGTAAATAAGAGCAAAGCAACTCCTGAGAAGCTGGCCCCCACTGATTCCAAGAAAGTACAGGTTGGTTACAAATTGGATGTGTGATTACATGTTTATCAAAGTGCATTACTCATTCCCTGGTGAGGGATTAAGCCTAGTCCTGGACCACATATTCCTTTCAATGGAGAATCTCCTTTCAGAATGCTGTGTAGTTCAGAACTAGGTTTATGTCCAGAAAACCTATTCAAATCCTTCATAACTCTAGACCACATTTTGTAGCACATGTTCTAACACAAGTTCATAGGTAGCCCTAATTCAGCCTAAATGTCTGTTTGGATACTTAAAACATGTAATTGACGTTAGGGTTGTTTTAAACTCAGAGCTCAAATCCATAGTAGGTGAGATGTGGCTTGAAATTTACACAGAAAACAGCACTCAAGCTATAATCTTTAAAATAAACAGACAAATGCTAAGCATCTGATTTTGCTTCAGCTGCATTACACGGATAAGAAACTGAGCAAAACATAAGATGCAGGTTCTACACTAAACTCTCACTGAGTTCCAGTGAGAGGTTAGAGTTTAGAAAGCTCATGGTACTAGAATATAACAAACATATAATGTCAAGATATCGTTTTTAGTAATTGTAAATTGTTTCCCCACTCCTGATCTCAAGTCGGGGAGTCAGAAGAAGAGCAAAGCTCCTGTGCAGCTTGACCTGGGGAATATGCTGGCAGTTTTGAAGCAGAAGCAACAGTCTCAGAAGTCCAAACAAGATGTTAAGCCTATAACCCTTTCAGGTATTTCTGTGCTTTATTTAGAGGCTATTGCCTTTTGCAATGTGCGTGCAAAAGATTAATAAAATATAATGTAATGTAATGTAATATCTGCAGTACAGTCCGGTTTTACAATTGAAGTGGAGATAAACCAATCAGAATAATTAAGATTGAAGATTGCTACCTAATTGTTTAACTTTCATCACTGCAGTGTATTTATACTGTTTTGGTTTTAAAATCAGTTGGAGGAGCCTTACCAGTTGTTCACAAGGAACCAGTAGTTCACAAGAAGCATCCATGGCAGCAAGAGAGGATAGCTCACAATCCCTTGGACTCTACCTGTCCTCTGGTAAAAAAGGGAAAACAACGAGAGGTCCCTAAAGCCAAAAAGCCGACACCCCTCAAAAGAGTGAGTTCAAATTGTGCATTTTTTTCAGACTGTGTTTTGGTATCATTTTAAATGATTTATTGTCAAATTTATTTTGTATAACACTTTTTATTCAATGTCACGCATATCTTGTTACGAATATTGCACAGGTTATTCTGAAAGAGAGAGAAGAAAGGAAACAGAACCGTCTGCTAGAGGAAAGAGACCCAGCTCGAATGACCAGTGAAGAGGATCAAATAGAGGCACATTCCAGCGAGAATCCAGAAGAGGCCAGTGAATCTATATGTAAAAAACTGACACATGATTTGGATTTGACGGAAAGTGAGCACAGTGAGCATGCTATTGCAGAGGAGACTGATCAAACAAGCTCGCAAGACATGAGCACGGATATCACTGCAGAAGAAAATGCACTTTCTAAAAGCTGGAATCCAGATTCCAACCCCAGTCGACCCAAAATCCACAGCAGGAAATTCAGAGAGTAAGAAAAGCCCATTAACTTTTTATATTCGTCACAAATGCTTAGACTTCATTCATCACCTGGTCATTTAATGTGTCTTGAGTATCAGGATTATATCCAGGTAGAGATTTTTCATATTTAAAAAGCAAGTGTAAATGCACCCATGATGCGTTTAAAACTGATTTAAATCCAGTTGCTCAAACCATTTCAGGAGGTGGACTGAGCCACATTTTAGCCAGAAGTTATACAAATGTAAATTCCAGATGTTACACAAATTTAAATCTATTACTCCATTTACCTACGTATGAGCTAACACTGCTGTGTGTGAAATGGACATCACAAGACCAACCTCATCAAAATATCCCACTTAAATCAGTAAGTTTGTCAATGTGGTAGTTATGTTGCGTTGGCAGTAGTAGAGAACATTTGGAGAAGCTGGGGTTGTTATTATATAACAGTGCTGAAGTGTTGTGGTAGACTTACTTTCATACGACTTAATTTCAAGGCACAGGAGTAGTATATTTCTGTAGGGCTTGGGAATGTGCATTATGGAATTGTTCGGCCATATTGACAGGGTTTATTCTTTGTTTATATGCTGCAAATACTTACACTGCAAGAGCTAATGTTACCTCTTTTTCGATTCACAGACATTTTCCTAGCTGGTGTGTGGCTAAAGTGCCTGTTCCTTTAAGTAGGTCAAAATTTTTAGGTTACTTGAAATGTTTTTTTTTCCCCCCTCAGCCACTGGCAGATTTCACCAGTTAACTTTCTGACATCTTTCTTCTCAGCACCTAGCAGATTTACCTCAGTTACTGCTGTATTTCACTAGGAGATTTGACTTTATTCACTTAGGAACGGGCATATTTAAAGAAAGAAAGGATTCATAGGATCTTTGATTTAACTCTGTTACTGGCGTATTTCGCTTAGTTTTGTCATATTCCGCTATAGGTAGCTTTTTATCAAAACCTGCTTACATGGCTAGTCAGCAAACTAATTACACCATTGCTGTGCTGTACAATATTAACCCACGCAAAATCCATATTATAAATCTTACATTTACATTGAAGAGGCGGTCTTCTAAAGTCTTTATGAGACTAATTGTCTGGTAATCTCAGCTAACGTGACTAGCATAGTCACAGCATACCTTACTTCACCTTATACATTTTAGCTGGAAAACATGTCTTGAGAGATAAAACATTAGGTTTGTTGATCGGTCATGTTAGTGGTAGTATCACTGCACACCTTACCACAATGCTGAGATTTACTTCTTATTCGCCAGCTTTTTATTCCAGTTTTCTTTTCCACCTTAAATGGTGCAGCAGTTACATCCTGGCATCTGTTTGTGACATTTGTGCAACGTTACTTAGCTGGATTCAAAGGTGTTAAATCAACTAAATGATGACAGTTTGATGTTATCTGCATTCTCACTGGGATGCTTCCTACATGTTGTTTAACCAGAGCTGCGTCTGAATAACCGATAAAACCCTCCTTTCTGATCTGTTTGATTTTGATCTGATGTGTGATCTGGTAGTCATGCAGATCCACATGCTGGTTATCACTGCAAACATATTTGGCTACAGATCAGCCAAAATCAAGGAAAGTAGGTGGAAAAATTAGTGTTTTTCAACTGTTCTGAACCGTCCTAGACTGACTAATCCTGCCACAAAGGCAGATCACCCATAAAACACAGAGTTATGCCATCACATTCCCAAGCCTTTTTTAGTAGCCTGATTATATTACAGCTCCTTAACAACCTCATAATTCAGAGACATTCAGGGGAAAGGGAATATTGGACAGAATGTATTGGGTTTGGAACCTTTTTGTTTACTGCAAGATGCAATAATGGTAATTTTCAAAAATTCCATTCATATTGTCATAGGAGAATCCATCTTAGACCCAGACAGGGGCATCGCTTTTGATGCGAGTTTCTTCTCCAAGTTTAATTTAGAAGTCTACTTTGTCAGCCTTGGTTGAGTTAGTTAGCTTAAGTAAAGCGCCAGATTGGTTAACCTTTATTTTACTGTGTCACATTTTACCATCTGGCTGCAGTACGCTGCATTTTAATGCTTTTAGTTCATGACAGCAATGGTTAACACAGGACGCTTTTTATTTTTAACAGCCATTTCCTTGTAAGCATCAACTGCCATAGTAAGAACGTGAACAGTGACATGCAAAATTGAGTTTTGTTTTTTTTTTCTTTTCCATAGAACAGAAAAAAAAGGAGCAAAGCAGGGGATTGTTTGTTGTATATGAACAGATTTGTATTTTATGCCCAACATAGCAATCTGACTAGTCAGTGATGACCAAGTGTAAATGCATGTGGTTGCAATCTGATAAGATTTTTATCCAGAAACCAGGAACATGAAGTGGCCAGGTGTAAATGTGATCTTAGATCAAACATTCCCATCTAGGGCCCTCAACTGTTTATGTGAAGTGATCATGTAACACAGTAGACGTTTGGCTATCATGCATTTAGTATTACCAATATTATATCTGGTTATACTCAGAGTTTTGTTACCCTTGGCTTTCAAAGGTACTGCAGCCAGATGCTGAGTAAAGATGTAGACGAATGTGTGACCACTCTACTGAAGGAACTGGTGAGGTTCCAGGATCGGCTGTACCAGAAGGACCCTATGAAGGCCAGGATGAAGAGGCGGCTGGTCATGGGCCTTAGGGAGGTTCTGAAACACTTAAAACTCAGGAAAGTCAAATGTGTCATCATCTCTCCCAACTGTGAGCGTGTGCAGTCTAAAGGTATGGAAGAAACATCTAAACAACATTTTTTTTCAAAATTTTACAGTGATTTAAAGAGCTCCTATCTTGTGAAATCATAGGATTTCTCTTTAGTAGGTTTGATGTTAGTTGGTAAAGTTTCAAAAGGTACCCTTCACTCCCAAGGCGACACAGTCCATATATAGAAACGAAGCAAAAGGTCACTGTTTTTGTGATGTCATGAACTCAGTTACATTTACTGATATCCACCGACAGCAGTTAACCCCACCCATTCACAATAACAAAAAAACCTTTCTAAGGAAATTAAATAGTCACCTAAGTGGTCAAGTAAAAATGACACATCATAAGTCCACTTAAAATATAAGCTATTGCCCCTTTTAAAAGTTAGGGGTTTTATTTGTTTGTTTGGTTATTTTCTGTTCTTGTAAAGTAAGATACATGAACTTTGTGCTTCTACAGTGACATACAGCACAAAATGACCTCACACAAGGCACAGTATCCTGCATCCAGTCTTGCTTCAAAACAGTCTTAATGAACCATATGCATGCAAGTGTTTTGGCAATATCATGTGGTCAGATTATTATGTGAATTATGAATTATGAGTTGTGGCCATACTAACTTAAGTTAGCTGGATGCTGAGTAAGGGCATGTTCTTACACTTTAAAAGGAAGAGGCTTAAGTTCTAAAGCAGTAAAAACCAATGATGTGTGAAGATGCATCACTGTCCACAACATTCAAATGAGCATGCAGATGAACCAAAATGGTCCCAGGAGAGATGTAAAATTATATGTCTTCTGTTAGTTGTCAGGCTTTACTATAAGACACAAATAATAGCTATTAAAGGATATAGCTTATAGATAGATATATGACCAGCAATGTTTTTTAAACAAGCATTTAAAACACCTGCTTTATTTTAAAACACTGAATACTGGAAAAAATATGTATTAGAAACAACATTGCAATATTGAAGTTTTTCTTCAAGTGTTAGGTAGTCTGTATATAGGATTAGAAAGTGGTAAGATGAATGCGGTAGTCCTCTAGTGACTCACATTTAGGTCTCTGAGTGTAAGCTGCAAACACCGATAAGCTGTGTGCCTGCTTTTTCTACAAATCTGAACAGGCTAATAATGGGATTGAAAAAGTGAGTGTAAATATGTGACTTGACTTGCATTCATAATTAACTAATTAATAAACAAACAAATAAATAAATGCTGATGACAACAATCAAAGGACAATCAAATATTTTATTTCTGAAAATATCTAGCTAATTTTTTACATGAAAAAGTTTATTAGATCTGGTCATTTTCATCGAAATGTAAAAGTTCCTGTCAGAGTTTCTCACTGCTCACCTTATCAGATATATCTGCTATACTCCATATTTTTCTGTTGTCATCCTCTTTTTTTTCATGTATGGGAATGGTTGCATTTTTTCAGCAATGCAAAAAGTAATGCTATCTGTAGAACACAACCAGCGTCAGATACATATAGCTTTGCCAAATTTGAATGGGCTAATCTTTATCCTCTCTAGAAGATTCATAAGCTGACCGGTTACAGTCACTCAGCAAAACCTGCACTACTTAATGAGCTGGGTTGATTTTACATCCCTAAATTACTACAAATCTAAACTTAACTGTGACATTTATAGTTTGTAAATGTGTTCCATTCTTGTGGAGACAAGGAGGAGGACCAGCACTTTCATAATGACAGTGTTTGTAGCCCACAGTAACTGGCCCAAAGCATTAGCGGCCCACTTGGGAAATCTCCTGACCCTCCCAATTTCCCACTCCAGCATTGGAGTCATATGTAAAAACAGGGAGGTTAATGTGTATTTACACGGCACTGGATGAAAAAAAAAGTATATACCATCCAGCAGTAAGTTTTTATGACTTTGTTTTGTTCTGTGCAGGTGGTCTAGATGAGGCTCTTCACACCATCATTGATACTTGCCGGGAACAGGGTGTTCCCTTCGTATTTGCTCTGTCAAGGAAGTCTTTGGGTCGTTGTGTGAACAAAGCTGTTCCTGTCAGCCTGGTGGGCATCTTCAACTATGACGGAGCACAGGTACCTGACCTTACATCATGTTAAAATTTCATCAAGATGGAGTCTACATTTATTTTCCATTAGCCACTGTTTTGGCTGTCTGAAATGCCAAAGGTCAGTTGATTTTCTTCTTTACCTGACAGTCATGATGTCAGCAGTGCTTGCTAAACTAGGCTATAGAGTAGAGCTCATCAAATCCAAACCACAAATCCAGTTTTCAGTCCTGGATTTTGTAGTTACTGCAGAACTTAAGAAGTTAAGAAAATTGTTATTTAAAAGGGTGTTTCTCTGGGCCATAAGTGTTTATTTGCTCAGGAAAGCACTTTTGTTATTATGTAAATAATACTAATGCAACTAGAAAATTGCATTTTTGAAGAAAACACAGAGTGATTACACAGACTAATCATTACCTAGCGGTTGCTACGGTGTTGCCAGGTAGGTACTGTCTTATTTTAAGTGGTTGCTGTGGTATTTTAGGATGTTGCTACGGTGTTGCTAGTTGATTTGTTAAGTGTTTGCTGGGGGTTGCTGTGGCATTCCAGGTGGTTGCAAGAGTGTTGCTAAATGGCTGCTGTGGTATACCAGGTGGTTGCTGTGGAGTTGCTAACCGGTTTCTAGGGTATCTTTAGTGCTTGCTAGGGTGTTTGTAGATGGTTGCTATGGTATCCAAAGAGGCTTCTCGGGTGTTGCCATATGTTTACGATGGTGGACGATCTATAGTGGTTGCTAGGGTATTACTAATAGATGTGAGGAAATTGCTAGTGTATTTTTGTTATGGTGACATTAGAGAGGTGCACAAACTTCTAGCCGCATAGTTCCGCCATTCATTCCTTCAAAAATAAGGAAAATTAGAATCATTGATGTTCATTGATCAAAAAGCTGTATTCAAGAACATAATTCCCGATCAGGCCAAATATTCTGGGATTGATTTGGTGTCATTATCTTGAAAACTGAAGGACAAGTTAGTAGCAGAAAAATGAGAAGAAGAATATGAATTGGATAACAATAGTGTTGCACATTGCTTTCCAAACCTCTTCGTGTGGCAGTCCAGTATTAATTGTAGTCAGCGTCCAGTACCTGGTTTGGTTAATCAAATCGTCATTACATAAAATCAGGTGTGCTGCTGATGGCATTTAACAAATGCGTAGGGGGGGGCTGGAGTCCAGCAAGACGTCTGAAACCAAACTTTGTTCTTCTTACAAGCTCGCAAGATATCAACTACTTTTTGAAAACAAAAAAAATTATGTTTTACTGTACTTCAGTTTATTGTATTTATTCTAATGTTGGAATGTTTTTATTTACTGGAATTACTCTCCTTACTGCTGAGATAAAATGTTTTAAAGAATTTACTTAGGTACCTAAGACTTCTGCACAGTATTGTATGTCTTTTATGTAGTTTACAAAGTTTGTTGAAGACATCCATTAAATACCTTTTGTTAACTGTAAAGTTCCTAAGTATTAGAACAATGTGAACAACAACACTTTTTGGGAGGGATTTACTCTGTATGCCAGTGTATGTGTAATAAAATACTAATTATATATATATATATATATATATATATATATATATATATATATATATATATATATATATATATATATATATATAATTAAACACTCCAGTGTTTCCAAGCCCTGGTCACCAAGTACCTCTGCTCTGCACAGTTAGCTTGCTCTCAACTCACCTGACTCAAGTCGTCAGCTATTTAACATATTCTTGTTTTTTATTAAGGTATGTAACATGTATGTTTTGTCTGAACTCCTCCACAGGACCATTACCACAAAATGATTGAGCTCACATCACAGGCCAGGAAAGCCTATGAGGTGATGATTGCTAATTTGGAGGTAACCTCACAGGAAGAGCAAGGAGAAGAGAACGATACAGCACAGAACACAGAACCACCTGCAGAACTGCCTGCAGTAGAGGAGCCCGTATACAGTAAGATCAGATGTTTACATGTCTGTGCTTTGCCTAGTATTAAAGAGAAGACAATCCAGCACTGTGCAAAAAGACCACGCTTCATTTATTTAATTTACAGTTAAAACTGCCATTAAGACGTTAATTCTTTTTCAGGAGATACTTCTGAGGAAATTAGATATAATCCATTTGTCAAATGAAAATATATAAACAAACAGGAGTTTCCAAAACTGAAGTTCAAAATATTTTAACAGATATAGAGAAAATGGGACTCCTAACAACTGTGCAAGACCTGGCAGACCACTAATACTGTCACCATCAGATAAACAGTACTGAAAGCTTTCATCTTTGAGAGAGAGGAGAAAATCAAGCTCCCCTCTGCTTCAGATCCAGAACAATCCACAGGTGTTTCTGTCCATCCTTCCACTATGAGAAGACGACTCGGTTGTCTGTTTAATGTTTCCTGTGTTTTTTTCATGACTCTGAAAAATGAATAACTGGTTCTTCATGACCGTTTTGACTATTAAAAAAAATGAAGGGTACTTTTGCACAGTACTGTATATTGTAGATTCTTGATATTGTTTCACTCCGAATAATATCTTCACAAGAAAGCCTTGGCCATTGCTTAGGTACTTTTCTTGTCTTTGCAATAAAAGTATGCAAGTGAGCACGTGATAACACAAATATCATGCTGTTATGGATGAGCCTAGTCACCTTTTATGGACTTGCTTGTTATGACTAGTTATTCAATGTGGCAGTTACTTTTTTTTAGGATCTAGTGTCACCTTTTAAGGTGTGTCTGTCATGTGTCATGTGTCTTGACCCTTGTTTTGATATTCCACAATGTGCATGATTCAACTGACACCATAGAACCACTGGCTATGGAGGAGGCTCCCACATGCCCTCAGTTATGAAATCTGGTGAATTTCTGTAAACACAAAGGAAGAAAAGCATTATTTGTTCAATGATGGTTTATGAAAATTGTGCATTGTAGGGCCCAACTTATGAAAATTGTATGGGTGATACAGATGATGATGATGATGATGATGATGATTATTTTAGCACTTTTAGTTTATTTAACACTTCAGATGACCAATGAAATCAGCTTATATAAGTTTAAGCTCTTGTGCCTAGATGTGTACTCTTTACACCTTTTTTTAATATTTATTTTTATTTGTTTTCAGTTAAAACTTGGAAGAAAATGCTGGAAAAAGACTACAACCATGAGTTCTTGGCTTTCGAGGAGCAGTTTTCATCAGTTGCCATCAGCACAGATTCGGACGCACTGCCAGACGACCATGACGGAAGTTGATATTCATAGTTATATAACTGACTAGTAGCTTTTGTATAGACTACATTATTACATTATGAATTACTTCCTTTATTGAGATGATTTATCATGTTTTTATGGGAGTCAATGTTTACAGATTTGCACGTACAACCCTGTATTATGTGACTTTAACATATGAAAATGTTAATTCAAACTCTACTTAGTAGCAACACCACACCTCTCACTGCCGCAGGAAGGATGTAAGGAAGCTAATAAAGCACTTTCTCCCAGATCTGACTGGTTTTTCTATATTTCATTTAATACATTAAAAGAATCTGTGTATCTATATACAATATACAGCATGAGCTGATCATGGTTGAGGTCCAGTCCCATGACATGGTTATTTAGCACAACATGGTCACTAGTATTCTTATTTGTAACCTGATTTGTAAGCGGTTTTGCTTTATTTCACATCAGATCTTCAATGAACTTGAAGGTGGTTATACATGCAACATGTTTAGCCTATTGAAACCTGCCCATCTCTTTTGTCCTTACATGACCCTTCAGTGTAAAATCAGAAGGAGCTTGAGCAGCAGGTTTGTTTTAATGTTAAACTTTTCAGTACTGAATAAGAGAAAACTATCACATCCCTTTCTGTTAACAGGACAAGGAAGTTAGTGATTTAATAAAATAAAGAATGGAATAGACAGTATTGCTGTCTCTTATGATATTTATATTGGATATGCATCAAGGCACCCACATTTATTCTCTGTGTGTAGCGATGCTGGCGATGGGCATTGACCAAGCTATCACCTGTTCATGAATCAGGGGTTCCCAACCTTTTGTGTCAACTGAACCCCTTCAACCGGAACTATTTGCTTTAAGTGCCTGTTGAGATTTTAAAGATTAAATAAAACAATTTTACTGAGGTTTGCAAGTTTAGTTTTCATTTGACTCCAAATATATTCAGAGAGCTGAATATATTTGGATATGAAAGCTGCTTTAATTTGAGAGTTGTTTGGCATTGTCACTGTTTGTACACATAAATTCAAATTATTTATAATGTAATTAGAATGATACATCGTCACTCGTGCAAAAACCTTGTATCTCCTTTTTTTGTTTCTGTTTCTGTTTTAAATTTAATAATTTGAAAAGTCCAGTAGCACTTTGTCTTGTGGTAAAATTTCATGTTGAGGAGACCAATCGAAATGGTCCAAAACAGGTTGGAAAAGAAGAAAAGGAACTTGTTCTGTCAACTTCCATCACAAGTTAAGAGTGTTTTTCTTTCTCCTGTAAAGTTATCATTTTGGAGATACAGGGTTTTGTTCAGACACTGACAGGGTATCTGTGCATTTTTAATGGTTTTAAGGAGTTTTATCCAAGAATGATTTAGCTAGCTAGCTGTTAACTGTTAGAATGTTTATCACATGCCATGATCTATTCAATAATTATGCATCAATATTACATAGAAATATTAACTTCTGTCATTTTTTGGTCACAACAGTGCTACATTTTGATTAGTTACTTGTAAAAAAAAAAAAAACGATTTTTGAAATTATATTTAATTTGACTTTTCCATTACAGCCTCACAAACCCCCTGCAATGCCATCACGTACCCCTAGTGTGTGAGCCCCTATTTGGGAAAACCCTGCCATAGATAGCAATGAAGCTATTGTAGTTAGAAAACAAATGTATTGAGAAGCAAACTGCTTTAAAGTGACAAGAATGGCAAACAATAATAGGCAAATAACTTATAACAAACTAGCTAGTCATCACATTTATGAAGCTACTCACTTAAATGGATGGCAGCAGCAGCTGTTTAAGATTATTAGCCAGAAAAATGTTTTGTACATAGTGGTGCACTGTAGATCAGGAGTGGTGAAGAATGATATACAAAGGAAAAACGGTGATTCAGGGACAAAGGTGCAGGACACAGTCATATTATGAATATCATCTTTGCTGCACAAGTTGGTTGATAATACACACCAAAGTTTCAGCTTTGTCATCTGCAGTCTAAGCATTTGTAACAGCAAGATGAACAAAAGACACAAATACTGTACTTGAGTGAAATTAGAAGCCTCTATTAATATTTCTACTTAAGAACAAAAGTGCTTGCATTTAAATGTATGCACTGAAACACGATGGTTCTTCAGGGTTCTTTAGTAAAGAAAATGGTTCTAAATGGAGACCTTAACACTCAAAGAACCCTTTGCACAATTAAAGGTTTTTTTGTATCATGAAAGGGTTCTATAGAGCATCAAAAGGGTTCTTTTTACAAGCTTGACATCGTAACAATAGTAGAACCCTTTTTGGTGGTTTATAGAACTCTTTTCAGAAAGGTTCTATATAGAACCATGTTTTTTTTTGTTGTTTTTTTTTACTTAAGTATCCAAATAAACGGATTACATCCTTGCTGTATTAGCCATTTTACATTATTTCAGTTTCTGAAAATGTTAATAGAAATCAGCTAAATTAGTTCCTTTTTATTTGATTCACATAAATTCAAATTCAAATATTTCAAATACTTCAATCCCACCTTTAAGCTCTTGGGATATCCAATAAAAAATCCCTCAAAATGTCACATCAAATTGTTAAATCTGAAATACATAGTTACAGTTGCTAGGCTACAATTAGACAAGCAGTATTTAGGGAAGCAGTTTGGTTTCAATTTGTTTTAAACTACATCATTTTTTTGTATGTTTAAAAAACATAAAGATCTCCATTTTTTCACTTCAGAGTAATGAGTAACGACACATTTGTGCAGAGAGCAGTGGAGTAGAAAAGTAGGATATTTTACTTTTAAATGTAGTGGAGTGAAAGTAAAAGTATCAAAAAATATGAAATACTTCAATAAAGTACAGATATTCATAAAAAAGTATTTAAGTACATGTATTTTGTTACTGTCCACCACTGCATATTTGTAACTTTTGAAAAAGGAAACCAACTGTGTGCAGATTACTTATGAGAGTAAGTGTTGCTTTCATTTCATGTTTTCATAAAATCTAAATCTGAGCACAGTTTAATATTTCAGTGTAAGTTAAGACTCTTTTAGTGATACATTTATAAATGACACCGTCTCAAACATGTTAAATAGGCATGTGCACTGAGGATTTTATATGAAAAACATTCCCATAGCCTATATGTTGTTGGAATTTTTTTCATACCAAAAGCGCTACATAGTGGCTACATAGTGGTTACATAGTCCTGAGTATCTGCTACATCTTTAGCTGAGAGAGTTTTTTCACCCTTGATCTTTTTATGTAGATCATCACAGTTCCTCTCTTTGTGTTTGTGAATGGGGTCTCTGGCTTTTTGAAGCACAAGCACACTGTCACTATAAACCCCACTGACTTTGCTGTAGTCCTCTCCTTCTCCTCCTTCTGTTGTGGAAGTAAGTTTACAGTCTTGTCTCTCGTTTTCTTCAACGTACTCCATAAATCCATTTGGAATGACGCTGGCATTATTCTGATCAAAGCTGGACATACAGCTATATTCAGATTTGATCTGAGAACCAGCTTGGTCAGGGTCCAGCTCCTGTTGAGGCACTGTTGAGTTAGAGTGTTGGATATTTAGTTGGGAAGAGAAAGTCCCTGTCAGAGTTTGTGAAATTCCGGGTGTAGATTTAGTGTCACAATCCTGCCTGTCATGTACAACAGCTGGTCTTTTGCATGTATCAGTTTGAATGATGTTTAGCTCCTTCACGGTGCATAAGTTATCGAAGCGTACTCCATCTTCAGGATCTGAAGAAAGGTGGTCTTTCTTTTGATGTTCCTGAGATGTGGTACTTCCAAACTCCTCGCTGTTCTCTTCACTGTCCACCACCACTAGATAATCTACCTGATCAGGGCATTCTGCAGTTGGAGGGAATCCTTGGGCGGTCAGGGCACTGAATAGATCTTCTGACTTCTCTGTCTGTGAATGAGTCAGAAAAAGTATGATAAAGCCTCAAGCCAAGAGAGGCAGTGATTTTACTATGATTTAAGGGCTGTTGAAGCAAACATGAAGCAGAGTGCCTGGAAAACCTTGAAGAGTGGAATAATAAAACAGCAGCAAAATACAAAATTATAAAAAAAAAACAGTGTATAATGAATGTTAAATGATTCCCAACTGATTATCAATAACCACAATAAACAGTTCATCCACTAAGCAATGTACAGTATTGTGCAAAAGTCAGAGCCACCATTTATTTATGTACTTTTTGGTCAAAACGGCCATTAAGTACAAGTTATCCATATTTCCAGAGAGATTTCTGAGGAAACTAGATATAAGATAATACACTTGCATAAGGAAGAAAAACCCCAAATAAATGAAAAAAACCCAGGATTTTCCAAAAGTTTTTTAAAAAATATCAATAGATACAGAGAAAAGGGGATCCCTAACAACCATTCAAGACCTACTAGACTACCAAAACACTCACCATCAGCACTTAAAGCTTTCATCTTTGAGAGAGAGGAGAAAATCAAGCTCCACTCTTGCTTCAGATTATTCTGTCCATCCTTCCACTGTGAGAAGACAACTTAACACTGAGTCTGAAAAGATGTGTAGCTGTCAAGAAGGTGTTACTGAGAAAAAAGAACATGAAGCTACTGGTATTCTCAGAACAATGGACTGACCACCCCAAACAGGGTTCCTGCGGAACCTTGAAAAGTCTTATGAAGTCTTGAAATAGATTCTGAAGATTAAACGTCATAAAATCTCTGACAATATATTATTATGTATTACATTTCGGAGTGTCTGATCCCCATAGGATTCAGTGGATCATGATTTGGCTAAAATAAACCCAATCCAGTTCAGACTGCTTGCGCTCTGTTTGCTCCGCAGTCTAAGAGGAGCCATACATAGACAATGTAAACAACCTGCAGCAGCGAGGAGCGTTTTCAGAAGGTAAAGCAGTTTAAATGTCTGCAGTGTTGATTTAGAGCAGAATAAAATCGTAGCATATGAGAAGGTTACTCCACATAAGTAGTCTCACAAAACTAAAGCGATCCGTTCAGAGTGTATAATACTGTGCAAATGTCAAAAATTAAATGATTTCACTGCAGAATATTAAAGTGACTGGCAACCAAGTCATCGGATCAATCACATGTAATCAAGCCAATATTATACACACTTTAAAATTGATAATTTTGAAAAGGTAGGTCAAAAAACAAAGATGACTGTCACATCACACACACATTAAAATGAACTAATTTTAGTATTAAGTGGCAGAGTAGCACAGTCTTAACTAAATTGTGTTGTTATCTATAAAAAAAAACACAAATAGTGGATCGGATCAGACTTGGTATCGACAGATACTCAGTACTTACAGACTCTGATCAGATTGGGGGGGAAAAGAAATCAGGACATTTCTAATTAAATTGTAAGATGAAGACCATGTTGAAAACTGATTCAGCTTGTCTTTTAAAATAATCCAAAATATCCAGCAGACAGTGCTCCTGTGGTCTAAACTGCCAGCTGATGGACTAGAAGACAGCAGAACTGATAAAGCATTGCTACGTGGTGGAAATGGAATTATTCTGTTATGCTGAGGGATTAAATAGCACTGAATTTGATGAGTCCTGATCTCAACATCACTGAATGTGTTTGGGATTTTTTAGATTGTGAGAAACAGAAAATGGAACCAACTTCTATGACTGAACTTTGGAGGTGTGGAAAAAATATCCCTGCAGATTTCATTAAATAACTGAAAGCAAGTCTCCTGAAAGAATGGAAGCTGTAATAAATGCAAAGGGTAAACAAAAAAGAGATAGAAAAATTAATATTATATTTAGTTTTTGAGGCTTCTGTGTAACTTTCTGTTAATTAAATGTTGAAAAATAAATAAGGTTTACCTAATGACTGTATTTGACTGGAAATGAAACAAATAAAGGTGGCCACTGACTTGCACAGTAGCTCATTAACAGTAGGCTGTAGTTGCCAAGCAACACAACGGTCATATTATTTCATGGACAGCACAATGGATTTTAATAACTTTGAGTATTAATACAGAATTAAACTGACGTGTGCAGTCATATGCACATACAGTATATATGCAGCATTTTACAGCTGCCTGACATTCATCAAATTATAGAACCATGTCATACTGAAGTCTTCTAAAGCCTTTTCTCAGTCTGAAGGATTTTGCAGAGTTTATAGAAATCAAAGCGCTGAAGTTCCAGTTATATTCAGTGTATACTGTGAATGTTTTGCAGTACCTTCAGGAGTTGGGCATCAAAGCCTTTGATCTTTGGCCCTGGAACAGGGGGCAGTAAGCAATGCTTAACACTGGAGGAGAGAAAAGACAAAACATTAACTTAAATGAATAATTTGTCCAAAAATTTACATGATTTCCCTCTTATTCCATGTGTGGTCGATCAACCAAGACAGGCTTGGTTCCATTGTTTTGTTCTGGTCGTTTTGCATTACTGCCAGAGGGCTCACAGTGTGAAAAATATGGTTTTGCATAGAATATTTAGTGAAAATATAAATATAACTTTATCTTAACTTTGTACTGATGTGCTTCTCTTTTTAAATTGTATTGCTTTACTTTAATAAACGCTAATTGAAGGCTTACACTTTTGTTAGCTATTTGACCTTGCAACCTGAGGTCAGCACTCTGGAAAAAGTAAACATATTTGGTTGGTTGGGCACACTTCAGGTAAGTACAATTATTCCTTTAAACATTAAATACTGTGTCCAGCTCATTTTAAAATCCCTGTGTGCGGCTGCTGCAATAATAAGGGCATTCAAAGAGTAACAAGGCAAGAAGCCTGCACTGATTAAGGTGAGCAGATGTGCTGTTACTTCATCTGTATATTCAAAAGCTGTTTTTTCAGTGGCACCAACGCTGTTTGGTGATGATCTTTATCATGAATCAAAGATTTGTTCACAAAACATCAAACAAGCTCAAGCTTTATGATGTACATACTGGATAGCTGAAAAAGAAGTGCATCACTCTTACTGTTCTCTTTTGACCGTTAGTGTTCCAATAGTGACGAGGAAAATGAAGGCACTGACTGTGGCTATGAAGATCACAACGGACCTCTCTTTTAGGTAGTCTGCAAGGGAAAAAATTACAAGGGATATGTAATGTTTGGGTTAACAATACAACACTATGCATTACAATGTTCTATTTGTATTTATCTAAGGATAAATGAGCTTCCTCAAGAAGAGGCTTAAAAAAAAAGATTAAACAATCACATTAACATATATAAAATCACTGCTTATTGCATTAATTTTATTTGCATTTAATCTAAAATTAATGTGTTTTTTAAGCAAATAAATGCTTAGTGCCCAGATAAACAGATTTTTAAATGTAATGGTGCCTATAATTTTTGCATATATATTTATATGCAAATGTTACAAAACGAAACCTTGTATCTCTATATTTGTCGTTTTTTGTTAATATAAAAATATCAGATACTGTGTCATAATTTTATGGCAAACAGACTTTGAATAAAATCTTTATATATATATATATATATATACATATATATATATATATATATATGTATGTATATGGTGCTGCTCCAAGTGGCTTGGGAGGCACGGCCATGCGAGCGGCCATTTGTGGAGGTTCATGGTAGGTGCACCCCCCCCAACAAAGACTGTTTATCATCGTTTATGTTGTTGTTGCTTTAGTATAAGTTGTGTGTATGTGTCATTTGTATTATTTGTGTATGCGTCATTTGTATTATTTGTGTATGTGTTATTTGTGTTATTTTGTGTCGTGTACAGGTTATTTAGTGTTTTGTGTTGGGGCTTGGTCTACCGAGAGGGTGAAGCCTGTGGACTAGCCAGTGGTGACCTTCCCCATGGGTCCATGCTTCTGTATGTGCCTTTCTGCCCTGGTGTTTAATATGAGCACTTCTCATGGTGAAATCATGGCTTCCCCTGTGTCTTACTCTACACCCATGCTACAAAATATTCTGACAGCAATGATATATATGTATATTTACACAGACACTAGCGTTCAAAATTTGGAATCATGCTATATTTATATATAGGCTATTCTACTGAATTAGTCCAAACTGCAATCCCACAGTAAAAAAAAATGTAAAAAAGTATTCAGATCTTAGATATTTATAAGGATTATGCTATGATCTATTTAAACTCAAGGCATGAATAGAGTAGTAATAAACCATATATATATAAAATCATCATTTTTAGGGTACTGGGAATATTTATAGGTTTACTGGAAAGTGACTGTCCCAAACCCTAACCTGTAAATTTGAACCTGTAATAATAAACGTGATAATACATTTTTTCCTTTTTTTAATGTTGTTTTTAAAAAGATATTTTGATCTCTTTTAAAGTAATTCTGAAAGATTTAGATTTATCATGAGTTTAATCTCCTGTCCCATGTTTTAGAGTTTTAGTCCATGGGTGGAGCCTTATTTAAGCCACACCCCTGCATTTTAGAGCAGGAAGTGAGACTGTATCCCTGTCCCTCATGGCCATACGGTGAGCAGTTAGATCTCACTGTTTTGGAGTACATGTGTCCTGAAGTCTTAAAATCAGTGTGTAACATTAACAATTGTCACTACTGAAACACGTATTTTCTGTGAAGTAAACTTTTTTGTGTTTTAATAAAAATGTTATGACACGCTGTGTTTGCTGGTCATGTGCATTTTAGTCTAAAGTCCAACAAATCAATTTGGTAGAATGAGCCATATATTGTTTGTGACAACTCAGTGAGATTTCGAGACAATCAGTTAGGTCTGATAGCAAGTGGTAGGCACTGTTTGCATTTACTTCTGGAGAAAATCCATGCTAGTAACCTTAGTTCAGACTGTAGGCCTTACTGTTTACATAAGCTAAAGAAGGTGTGCCTCGCAAAAGTCAGTCTGATAGGTCTTATGTAAAACAAATCCTTTCAAATGGATTTACTATAATGTGAATGTGTCAAAGTTTAAATGGAGAAACTCTTACTATTTGGGACTTTGATAAAAGTTGCAGGACTCCATTCACTCCAGCTGCCTTGATCTAGTCTACAGCGCACTTGTACAGCATACCTTCCTCCAGGCTGTGGGCTGTAGATGCTCAGCTCCTTTTGTTTGCCAGCACTATACACCTATGACCACAAAAAACATGGACCTTAATGTTAATGCTTCAGCTCCAGTTCATCCATCTGTGCCACCAAAAAACCTATGCATAAAATAAGGTTGTTATTTAAAAATATTAATACACAAGAAGCTGCAAGGCTATTAGAGTAGAATATAGACAGTTGCAGCATACCTCCCACTCGCTGGCCTGCTCCAGCCTGCTATTCTCCAGTTTCACTCGTACTTCATATTTGAGAGTTACCCAGCCTGAACGAGTGTCTGTGTCATGCGGGGCCTCCCACTGCACCAGAAAATACGGGTTGTCCTCCGCTCCCAGCACTGTCAAAGTCACATTCTCTGGAGAGTGAGGCTGGACTGGGTAGAAGAAAACAAGATCTTAACATCAACTGCTAACTACAGTGATTCCCAGTAAGCATTAGTGGATAAACTAGCATTATCCCATGGTAGGATAAATTAGCATTATCCCATGGTAAAAGGATTGTTATTTCAATTACATAATGACTCAAGTAGAAGTAAAAGTAGCCTAGCAAAAAGCAGCTTGAGTGCTACGGTCATATGCAAAAGTTTGTGCACCCCTTTTGCACAGTTTAATGCACAATTACTGTTTATTTTCAGAATTTAACATACTGGACCAAAAATAAATAAATAAATAAATAAAAAACATACAATGCGGCCCATGCAAATTTTATTTTTTATGCTTTATTTTTTTCCTATAATGTTAAACGCAGCTAATACATAGAAACTGTGTACTAAAAACATCAGACAAATGTCATATTTAAGTTTGTTCCCTGTACAGGATGTGGTATCTTACTTTCATTAAATCAACAAAACATGTCATTTGACTGGTTGTGTTCAAACTTTTGCATACAATTGAAGGTTTCCTAAAAATCTGCATTGGAACTTATTACATTCTGCATCTGTCAGCACAGGAGCCAAAGTATGTGAGGCACTATCCTCCTCTTTTTGGGATCCTTTTGGTCAAAAATAAAATGCTACAGCTCAAAAGTGAGAGGTGTGAGCAACAGCAAAACAGGCCAGATGAACCAACAGAACTGAATGAAATTTAACCCAAAAAAGTAACTGTAAAAGTGTAAATGGCCAAAGTCATACTGAGTACATTAAAAAGTACATTAATTACCTCATAAATACACATGAAGATAAATAAAATATTAGCATTTGAAGCTACTCAGAGAATGTAAGTACGTCACTTAGTAAATGGATTTGCTAACCACTTCTGCTAAAAGGTACTCATGAAAATGAAGTTTTTAGCTATCTTGGCTACAAATACTCTAGTTTTAAACCATTAATATGGTATATACACTTTTATTAAGAGCTACACCGCTTCTAAGGCCCACTTGGTCACTAAATCAATGCCAGAGTGCTCATCCACAAGCTCTCAATCCAAATAGGTTTAATGGAACCAATTTTATTTCACATCCAACACAGTAACAGTGACAGGGTACATGTACTTTAACATTGCCTTCTTCCAGTTGGATATTTTCGATTGATAATTGTTCAATTGTTACTTCATTAACTTTCCTCAGAAAATGTCCAATCAATTTTTTGCTCATTTTGTTTAGAATACTTAAAGGAGGCATATACAGTCATATGCTAAAGTTTGGGCACTCTTGCTTGATTTTCTATGTGCAAATAACCCAACAAATCCTTTACAGATATCACACTTCTGCACATTTTAATACGCAATTACTGTTTAAAACACTCAAACATAAAATGTGGCATGTGAAAAAGTTATATAATATTTTATGTTCTGTATTTTTTTTTCAATATGTTAAACTCAGAGGATGTGTACAAAAACAACAAAACGTTCTTTGACCAGGAATGAAACTTTTGCTTTCAACTGTATACGATTCAAGAGTTTAGAATTAAAGCTAAACTTCTTGAGTGGAAAGATTCGAGCTTGTGCAGTCACTCTCATTTGTAGACTCACAGCATTATTAACAAATACTCTCTGTATTTTGACCACCTAAGATTTCTTAGGTGTCATTTTCGGAACAAATGTGGAAATAACCAGATAAATAAAATGGATTGGGTAACAAAATACAACAGAAACTTACTTGGGCAGATACCCAGTGGAATATATGTGTGTATGTTGTTCTAAAAGTCAAAAGTCTACCTGCATTGAATATTTCAGTGGCTATTTTAATACTGGATTGTTCTTAAAAGGATGACTCATGCTTAGCTATCAGTCACATAGAGCAGCTGGTACATGACATTTGATACAGGGATAATGTTTTATAACCCCAGTATCTGGAGTGTGCTACCCTTAATTGTACTCTGCTACCAGCTGTGCAGCCATGAGTACTGTATCTTCCAGGAGCCAGAACTGATTAAAATGGTATTAAAGATCGCATTCATATTGTTTCTTATCTGACTTAACTAAAACAAATGTGATAATATTTTCTTATGGATGTTATGTTCAGGTTTTACAGGCAATCAGATTCTCATAACTAAAATCTAGTCATAATACTATAAAGGAGGACCCATTATATTTGTACAAATGCCAAAAAAGCTGCCAAAAAGGGTTCTTTAATGCCACAGTAGAACCACTTTTGGTCCATTCTTTAACCCCCTTTGACAGGAGCCACAGAATGCAATTTCCGCCTGTTTTACAGGACGTTCCTCAGTTGAACTATGCATTTCTTTTCCTCAATAACAGTGATGGAAAATACTTTGATGAACATATGTATGAATTACAAAACCAGAAGCAAGATGGATTTTTGTCTTTATACATGAGCATGTTTTATTGTGTTCATATGCAATTTTTGTACATAATACTTTTCATGCCGTTGTCCCTAATTTTTGATATCAAGAAAGCTGTACTTATGTCTGTTTTATCTCGGCACAGCCTTCTTTGTGCAGGGATGTGAATTGACACAGCAGTTCTCACCCCTCCCCTTTTCGCCCTCATTGCTCGCTAGCAGCACAACACAGAGTCACAGCATTTTCACCACACAGGGCCAACAGCATCCTAGTTAATCTGACAACAGAGTTACAGGAAAAATATTTTATTTCACTGTATTGATTAAAAATATCACTTTCCATTCTGCCTATTAGCCAGAGCCATTTTTAAATGAGATGTGCAAGTGTGAAGAACCTTTTTAAAGTTTACAGAACCTCCACATACTGTAAAGATTCAATACCATTTAAAAGGTCTTCCTAGAACCCTACGTCCAGTTTAATACGAGCAAAAGCAATCAGCTCTGTCCTGGTGATGTTATTCAATTTCAAAACAAAATTAATGCATGCTGTTTTGCTTGACAGTATTAACTATACTGTATTGAAATGCGGTGGACACACTAACATTAAAAATGAGATTAGGCCAGTGTTTACAGCGAGTCAGGCCAATGATTGAACTCACCAATATCCATGACATCCACCTCCACAGACTCTGAAAAGGTGTCCCCATAGGTATTAGAGGCTATAACTGTAATATTATAAATGACCCATATGGATGTGTGGGCTTTGTTGAAGAAACATGAGTTGTTCCCGGCGCTGTGGTAGTCTGGACATTCAAGCACCTTCTCAGATCTGCAAAAGCAAAAAGATTGAAAGCTCAAATTAGATTAAATGGATTAAATAGCCTTTTCATTTTAGTTACAATTGGTGTGAATATGCACATTTGTAAAGGTAGAATAACCTGGTCATAAAAAAAGAGGAAAATCAAACTGCTTCATACAAACCAAATGTTGTCTACCTTGGTAAACATTTAGCATTTGTTTCACTAAATGCCATATAATGATTATATATGCAGAGTATAATTGCATTTGGCATGTTTTTCTTAAATGTCTCCACATGGTTTCCATGGTTTACCACAGTAAGTGGCAAGAACAGTCATGATCTATGTTTAAACTTTAAATACGGCGATGCCCATCAGAAACAACAACCATTATTTATGGTTGAGCTGAACTGCAGAACCATAGACAATATGCAAACTTTTCAGACCACCTCAGTTGCGGGGGGCAATGGTAAATCATTAAGGAGCAGACTTGGCCCTGAACATCTGGGTGAAAGTTAAAGCTAAACTCACTCACCTTTCTTTTCTGTAGAACAGCCGGTGGGTAGTGGGCAAACCTCCAGTGGACCCTGGCTCCCACCAGCAGGTGAAGGTTTCCTTCTCAGGAGAGCGACAGCTTGTGAGTTTGGGCCTTCCTGGTGCAGACTGACCTACGAAGCCCAATACAGAGCGCTGTTACAGCATGAATACTACAATGTCATTTATGCAGGGCTGTGACTATCGACTGGCAACTAACAGGTGGGCTGGTAGCCTAGCGGCATGAGAGGGATGACCAGGGTATAGCTGTTTGTGACCTTGGTCAAGGCACTTAGCCCCAAACTACTTCAAGTAGTGTTGCTCTGCTGGCAATACTGTGCTGCTCCCAGACTGGGCATAGTTCAGAAGCAAAGTGACAAATTTATAACAATCACTATCAATTTGTCAAAAAGTTAAATTTAATTCATATTTTTAATCAAGTAATCATGGTAGCCCTGTCATGAAAAGTCAATTGCCTATTGTTATATATAGTAATAAATGGGCATTATGGCCATGAATCAAAGAAAAATTCATAAATGCACCCAGACAGTGGCTTTTCTGAGTATTTATACATGCAGACATTCTACATTTGCAAATTGTGACTATGATCATAATTTATTAATAAACAGGCACTGCTTCTTTAGTGCAACAGTATATTTTTTCTTTTAAAGGACAATTTTCTGGTCAGTCTAGTGACTCTAATTCAGTTTTGTAGTTCCATCTCCACTACTCAATTAGTAATTAATCTTATTATATTGCTACTTTATTATTTTATCCATTGTGCTTCAGCCACATTGATACCCAAAACTTTTTTGACTTTTCTGTCTGCACGTGACAACAAAACTGCCTAAAGCTTTTGATTTGACTGGGCCAAGTAAAGCCTAAAGCCTACAGCACACTGTTTACAGCTTTAAGTAATGTAAATGTTTGTGTATTCTATTAGCTTTAGTAATATAAATCTGCTTAAAAGGGATTATCAGCACTTAGGCCATATGGCCAAAATCATTGAGCTTGTGCCAGATCACTAGTGCAAGCAGCAATTACATGTACTCAGAGGGGAATTCCATAGATTTTTCAAAATTTCTGCATAATTAACTTGTTAAGATGTAAACAAAGTCATTCAGAGTGGTTTGTTGTAACATACTCTGTTCTAGCGAAACTTACAGAGTCAGAATTGTCCACAGTGGTGGTGATGTTTGATAAGTTTAATGCTTCTAAAAGCTACATCACAGAAAGTTATTACATAAAATGGTTATGAATACGTTGCCCGATGCCTGAGACATTGTTTTAGAATATGTTTTAGGACTAAACCTCATCTCAAAACAGGGGCTGTGTATTGCAGGGTATTATTTGGCAAAATATATATAATATATATATAATATATATTATCCAATAGAATTGGATTTAAAAGAAATTAAAAGCTATAGGCAATGTTATTGTCACTTACAGATGGCAAAGTTAAAACATGGGTTTCAACGTTGCTGAACTGGTTGTAATAAACAAGTAATGTAATAATATTAAAGGGTCCATATCCTATTTTTTTATATTTCATCACTAATGTCATTTCACCAATAATGTTATTGGATTTTTGTACACCAAAACCGATCATAACTCATTTTTACATGACAATTTTCCAGCGTCTCTTTAGCCCTTGAAACAGGCTCCTTTTGTTACTGCGCCTTAATGACTGCTATATGTAAATGATCTCTGTTCTGACTGGCGGTCCTGCATTGTGTCTCATTCAAAAAAACTGAAACTCTCCTTATAACTAAAGCTTAAATCAGTGTGACAAAGCTCTTGTAGGCCGAATACGTAGATATGTAAACGTATCAGTCTGTGACATCACAAAAATGAGCTGTTTTTGCAGCTTAGTTTCCATATATGGACCATACGGACATACGGGTTTTATAAAACTTTAACAATGTTTACATCTTACATCAAAGGAGGACAGTGAGGTTTTCCGATATGGGCTCTTTAACTAAAATTGTGATGGATGTGTGCTTGAATGGGTTTAGTATGTCCATAAACAACTCATTCTTCATAATAGTAAACCTGCATGAACACCATATGAACAACAGCCCCAGTCTTATTATGTTTTTCAGTCATTTTCATCATTTACACAAGAAAAGTCTGTCAAGCTAGCTAAAGAACTGGCACTCACTTTTGCAAGGAAGAATCCAGGGCAGTAGAATCGTCGCAGCCAGGGCTAGTGTAGTGTCCCCCCACATGTTGCCTCGGTCCCAGATGGGACGCATCCACTCGCTGAGTTGAGGAGGTGTCTACACGGAGCGCATTACCAGTTGTAGGACTGTTTTGACACCAAACATCAGTCTAATAGTGGAAAACAAGCACTTAGCATGTGTAAACACCACTGCACTCTAATGTGTGTGGAAATGAGTCGCAAACATGCACTTGATTGATAGTAATGAATACATATGCTTGTGCATGTTCAAGCGAACAATATTTCAAAATAACGTGGTTACAATTTGCAAGTGATAACTGTTGGCAGTGGATATAGCTTGCATAAGATTTTTTTTGAGATATGAAGCATTCTGGGCATCTCTGAGAATAGCATGTAACATAACTGTGATGATGTTATTTGGCTTGCAAAGTACTGAACTGCATACAGCGCTGTGCAAAAGCCAGATACCCCTCTTTATTTATTTAACTTCCAGACAAAATGGCCATTAAGTACAATAATCCATTTTTCAATCTTTCAAGTTGGTTGCATTTTCTGCTTCTCAAGATGCAAGTAATCCAAAACACCAGTAGTTTCTTTGATTTACAAATGTTCTTCCTTTTTGTCAATAATTTCTTTTTCTCAGTAACAGCTTCTTGACAGCTACACATCCTTTCAGACTTGTAAGGGTTGTATTGTAATGAGTTGTGTTCTCACAGTGAAAGGATGGACAGAAACACCTGTGGATTGTTTTAAGAACCGAAGCGAGAGTGGAGCCTGATTTTTATCTTAAAGATGAAAGTTTTAATCACCGTTTAATTGATGGTGACAGTTTTGGTGGTCTTTGTTGTTACGAGCCTTCTAATAATTCTTGAACTCCAGTGTTAAAAACTCCTGTTTTATTTTACTTTCTCCTTCCTAATGCAAGGCTTACATTTAATCGTCTCAGACAAATCTAAAAATCTCCTGAAAAATGAATAGCGGACTCAATGGCTGTTTGGGAAATGAAATAAGCAATATTTTTTCATCAATCTAAATCTCAGAAATACTTCAAAATCAACTTCTACTCTTTTCCATTTTGTGTGTATATATTACAGTAATATATATATATATATATATACTAGATATTTACAAGAGTAAGCTAAATATATACATCATCATCTACAGGGAATTTTTAAGAGGTGTCTGTCCCAAATTCTAATCCCTGAATTTCAATTTGTGAAAATAGTAACTTTTTTGTATTTTTCAATATATTTAAAAAAAGATCTTTTGAATTTCTTTTAAAGTTGAAAGATTTTGATTCATGAAGAGATTAATTTGAAATAAAAAAAATGATTTAAAAAATGCTGTCCTATGTCTCCACATCACTACCAAAATACACAGAATTTTTTTCCATAGACGGAGCCTTATTTCAGCCACACACTTGCATTTTAGAGCAGGAAGTGAGGCTGCATGGCCCCGTCCATCATGGCCACATGGTGAGCAGTTAGATCCCACTGTTTTGAAGTAAATGTGTCACAAAGTCAGAAAATCAGTGTGTAATCTTATAAACTGTCATATATTTTCTGCAATTAAGTAAAAATTTTTGTGTTTTAACAAATAAGATTACGATTTTATGTGTGTAGAGCTGTTCAAAACTGTTAGGTACTGGCTAGTGATTTCGAGTTATGCTCAAATTGAACCTAAATTGTGTGTTATGATTGTTTTGTTAGTGATAGTAGAATGTTCAATTATTTACTTTATTAAAATAAAATCAACAGAATATACATATATGTGTGTGTGTGTGTGTGTGTGTATATATATATATATATATATATATATATATATATATATATATATATATTTCATTGGTTCAATTTAAAAAGTGTACTGTGTGTGTAATGAATTTAGTGATTTTACACAGTTTCATTAGGGAACAGACTGACAGCTGAGGTTTTGTTTCTGAGCCTGTGGAAATGTACAAGGTTGTTGTATATTAGAAGTCACTCAGACGAGATAACTGGGCGTGGAGAGCCCAGAGGTATAGCACTTAATGGAAAGTTACTGAATAATCCAGCTGCCCTGCAGAGGATGGGCTTGTGTTTAAAAAACACTGGAACCGTCCAGAAAGAGAAAGGATGTATAACATGATTTTCACCTTCTATGATGTTACAACAGCTGATGGAGAGTGTATATATACAAATGTATATTTCTTATTCTCTCCAGCTGTGAAGATACAACGTCTGCTATTCAGCTACCTCTGCCTGGACAGTGGAGAAAACTGACCAATGAAAACAGAAAAGATAAAATGAAGAGCACGATGAGTAGTTAATCAGCTGAGACAACGAACACACACAAGAAGACATGATGTTTCTCCAAACAGAGGTGTTGAACTCTACACAACCCTGAAAAAAGCTACATCTCTTTCACATTGTCAATAATAGGTGTTTATCTTAAGGAGGAAGTAGGCTAAAGTCCAGATTTAATTTAGCGCTTTGCTCAGGAACGTTTAGTCACTGTCACTTTTTATTTTCAGCTCAAAAGGTCATAAAGTTTTGGCTCGTTTCAGTGACCACATGACAAGCACAGTTTAAAAGAATGGTTTGCCAAAAATCCAAAATAACACAATTTTCTTCTTAGCTCAAACGTAGTCAATTGCCAAAACATCCTTCGTGCCCAAAACTTGGTTCTTCAGTTTTCACTGGAGCTACAACGCTAATGTGTCTAAATAAATCTTACTGAATGACATAAACTCCTATTATATTAGCCTCATAGCTCCAGTGTAAAACTAATAAAACAAACTTCAGATATTGAATATATTTTTGCCAACACAACAACTACAAATTGTCTTAAAGCAAACATTATGTAAATGAAATTTGGGTGAACAATTCCTTTCAAGAGAGCAAACTGCTGCAAGCATTTTCACTGTGTTTATATTTTACGAATGTGTATGATCATGTAAACTCTGAGCTGTGAGTCTGAAGCACAGTTGCTGACTAACCACTGACGTCAAGATCATTTACACAACATAATTATGCTAACCCCTCTCTCTGTCTCTCTCTCTCTATCTCTCTCACTCACTCAGACACACAGGCAGTCCCTCGGTCTCCTCTCTCAATTAATCGAATGTGTGAATGAGCATTCATCTTTTAAAAGGTATGAATTATTTACTGTTGCTTAGCACTAATTATTTACAACAGCTTGGCTGATGAAGAAAGTCGGGCAGCCAGAGTCGTTACTCACGCAGTAATGACTGTCTGAGAAAACAGCAAAACAGCCTCCAAAAGTGATTAAAGGTGTTAATAATATAAATAAGGAGACAAATTCAAAGCAACTGTTTCTGTGCGAAGTGCAATCAAACCAGCTAAGCTTACTTTATTTCTCATATCTTCCACAAGGGAGTAAAGTTCCCCCAGTGGCTGATATTGTCTTGGTTACGGTGGGGACAGGTCACACAACAGATGCCCAAATCACCCAGTCTTTGCATACATACAGGTTTGTATGAAAAAGTTTAGGCCCCCTGATCAAACAACATGTGTTGTTGATTTTAAGTGAACACATCCTCTACAGAGAGCACACTTCTGCACACTGTAATGCACAATTACTGTTTATATGCTGAACTTGACATATTGGGAAATGAAAAAAAAAAAACGTAAAATTTGGCCTGTGCAAAAGTTATGGCACATTTTATATATGTTACGGCACCGATATGGGAATTGTGGGCCAATGCTGGTACTGTTCATGTACATCTGCCAACGATGATACACAAACATTCAATACATTTAGAAATTGATCCACCTTAATCTAACCACCTTAAAACATTTGATGAAAAATACAATTTATCTCTGGAGGATAAAAATGTAGTAAAATGAAAAAAATGCCTAGTTTTTGTACAGTAAACATGTCATGAAATATCAGTTTAAAATAGTCAGTCAGTCAGTTCTAAGCATCTGTATGATGTTAATTTTTAAGCTAATGTCTTCTGATATGAATCCATGATTTCCTCATATTTGTTTCATATGTTGCTCTTTACATCGCGTGTAAATTTCATAATGAAAGGACCATCCAAAATATTTGGAAAAAAGTCTGGTTCCATTGACTTTAACATGAACATTTGACATTAAAAGTAAAGTATGTTTATCACTGTTGTTTATATATATATATATATATATATATATATATATATATATATATATATATATATATATATATATATATATAAAATACAACAGCACTACAACAACAGAGTTTAGAGGAAAAATCTAAACCCACAACCTGTTTTCATTTATGTTAAGCCTGGCAACGGCAGAGTACAGCTCAGAATAAAGTGAATGGACCGATGGTGAGCCTTTAAACACTTTATCACATTATGGTACATACATTACAACATGCGTTACCTTATTTACCTCAGGTCGGTCCGTGTCCAGTGTGTCCGACAGTAAAATCCCAGCAGGCTGAGTGTGCACCTGTAGCTCCTCAGTGAGAGTGAGCGCTGTTTCTGCTCTGCATGTCCTCTCCGGTCACAATACAACCCTGCCAGAGAAATAAGGAGCTCAGCCTGCTTTCCGCAAGAAGGAAGTGGAGAAAAAAAATCAACTAAAAGGCGAGACCAAGGTGTTTCTATTTCCCCACCCGTTTTCGGACAGGCCCCGCCCTCTGCGCTGAGATTGGCACCCTTAGTGAAAATAAGAACAGGCTATAGAAATGTCCTGTTGTTTAAGAGCTCGAACGTAGACTGAAAATGTGAAACATTTTTCCTGAAAAGCATGTGTCGCAATTATTGGCACCTCTGAAAATTATTAAAATCATCATGAATCAGAAATCATGACGCATTTTCCTTCCATACTGTGACATATTTCCAAGTGAAACACATTAACAGGGAGCTAGCTGAGTGTGAAGGTAGCGGGAGGAAGAGGCTAAACATGATATTATTGGTCAATATTATTGAATTGAATCATCTGAAGAGATTTAGAACAGAGGAATGGTCTCAGATCTCTTTAAGCATTCTCTCACCTTATCCAGCATTATAAGGGAAGACTTTATATTATTATGTGCAATTATGTTGACAAAGGAAGAGTGCAAAAAGCAAATTAGCAAGAGTGCCAATTATTATGATGTGTTTTTGAAGCAAAAATGTTTCTAATGGATTTTTAAAAGGATGTATGACAATGGAAATGACAGATTTCAGTCATATTTTCAGTGTAAAATCAAAGCGACTCGCTAAAAACTGATGTATTGAATTTATTTAAATGTTTAGATCTTTTCCACAAAAATTAAATATCAGCACAGGCTTGGCTTTCAGTTTATTTACCTTTGGCAGTAACTGTGTTGATGTAATACACTTTACTCGTGTTGAAATTACGCGCCCATTCAAATTCAGTGTATTATTTTTTCAAAGCCTTCAAGGTGCCAATCATTCTGGAAGTCACTGTAGTAGCCAATCGCAGCGCAGCAGGCGGGGTTTGTCGGAATACGTGTGGGAATCAAACTATCTCGAGACAATGGCGCTCTACTGGAAGATCCAGTTACGGCGACCTGCACTCGGCTGGAACTCTTTTGGGGAGGGCCGGTGTAACCTTTCGGTGTGAAACACAGCCAGAAATAATAAATACGATACTTTAAATCTTTTCTGCTCCGTAGTTTTCTGACCCTAACAACACGAAACTGAAGTCAGTGTCTTATTCGCCAACTTGTGTTCGATTTTTTCCGGTCCACCTTAAATGGTGCAGCAGTTACGCTCTGGCGCCTCAGGTTCTGAATATAACTGCGGTACTATTTAAGGTGGAACGGGAAAATTAATCCTGAAATTAAACTACTCTGAGTTGAATTTGATCCTGAAAGTAAACTACCAGGATGCTAAATCAAACGAACGTTGTCTTTAATTATTAAAAGGTAAAATACTATGAGAGAAAGTTCCTGAAGCAGTTTTCACTCTCAGAATAGGTCTCCGTGTGGGGTGCTCGTGTATTCTCACTACTGAGAAAAAATTGAGCACACACACACACACTTACCTTAGCCACAGTCACATCAGGAAGTGGAGCTTAGCGTGAAACGTAGACATGTTTTGAGGTGAAGTGGATTTCCCCACATCTATCCGTGCAGGGAAACTACAACCATGTATCGACTGTTGTTTAAGCTTTTCAGTTTCTTTGATTAGCTCTGAGGTAAGTTCATTCATCCGCACCAGCGTTTTCTCAAAACGTGAGGAGTGGATTTGTGCTGAATGCTGGTTTCTTCTTTTTCCTTTCAAGATGTTTCCTTCTCCAACGTCGTTATACAGTGTTCAGACTGGATTAGAAAAAGACTTACTTTTACAGTGCTAACTGTTGGTGCTTTGCAGGTGGGCAGCTAAACCCAGTCACCTGAAGAACTGCTTGGTGCCAGATTGACCCATTTTTACCTTTAAAGTGGTAACAATGTCTCTGGATTCGCATGACAACTCACTGAACATAAATTTTCTGAAGGAGTCTGTGTTGAAAAGGCTCTGTGAGTGTCTTGATAAAGCCAACAGTAAAGGATGGCGAAAGCTTGGTGAGACTGTCAACAGTGACCGTCGCTTCAAAGTGAGGTAAGATCTCAGTTCTGACCAACATGTTCAACCACAAGGTTGGTGAGGTGGCTGGCTCTTGTGAAATCAGAGTTAAAGCTGTTAGTACCTTTAGTTAGTAACCTTTTTTTAAAGCCATTTCAATGATAATATTTTTATTTCTAATTTCAATTCTTTCTCTATCTTCACACTTACTGTTTTGTCTTCTTTCTCTCTATCTCCCCTCTTTTTTTCTTTTTTATTCACTCTCTCTTCCTCTCTCTTTCACGCTCTCTCTCTCTCTCTCTCTCTCTCTCTCTCTCTCTCTCTCTCTCTCTCTCTCACTCACTCACTCACTCACTCTTTCACGCTCTCTCTCTCTCTCTCTCTCTTTTTTTGCTCTCTCTCTCTCGCTCTCTTTTTCTCTCGCTCTCTTTCTCTCTCTCAGTTTAGATGATATGGAGATGTGCTCTCTGAAGGTGCTGGAGGTGGAGGGCAGCCCCTCCCGCAGCCTGCTGAGACTCATGGGAGATCGAGGCTGTACGCTGGGTAACCTGGTGGAGTTTCTCAAGATGATGGGACACAGTGAAGCCATTCAGTGCCTTAAATCAGGTACATGATCAGCCTCCGATTGAATTGTATTAACATAGTAGCATAACAGTTGTACGTACTTACTCTGCTATGAACCTGTACTAGATAAATATGCCCTACACTGTAAAATAACTTACAAATTACAGTAAATTACTGGTTACTAGTTAGATTATGCTCACAGTGATTTACTGTTCTCCGTTATCCAGTGGCCCATGTTATGGACCAAAAAAAAGACCCCCACATATGAAAATTACTGTCTACTACTGTAATTTGCTTGTCTACTTGCTATTGCTTTGTCCCAACCAAGGTGCTCTAAAATAAGCTAATGGTTGAAGTGTATTATATATTACAATATATATGATAAATGATTATAGCCACTCATAGGTGTAAAGTAGCAATATAAGACCAGTAAAGACACTGGGGGGGATTCAGAGTCCATGAAATTATTAGTATAAATATGAAAAAATCCCTGTCATATTGTTTTCAGTGTATAATATAATGAACCTACTCTTCTAAATTGCTAATTTCTGAGGCCATGAATTGTTTCTCTTCTGTACAGTCCTGTATTGTGAAAAAATTACTGTATAAATGCTGGGACTGATTAACAGTGTAAGCATTTGTAAGAATGTGATAGTGGCGTTATGCTATTTACTTTGTTGTAAGATGCTGACAAGGCAGAATCTGTTTAGCTTTGACTCATTCCTTTTTACTTTAATGATTATAAACAGGGATTCAAATCCTCGTACAGCCTCAGTCTGTGGCTGTGATCACTGGACAAAGCATTCGCCTCAGCTGCTATGCTGCTGGAACCTCCACTGTACAGTACCAGTGGTTCAAGGCAAAAGAAGAGGTACATTACTACAGATTTCCTTTTTGGTGAAATTAACTGGTAAGTGTTCACATTAATCAGATGGCAAATGAACTCCTTCAGGTTCCTGGAAGTACCTCACCGGACCTCATAATGAGTCCTGTCCAGCTCCGAGATACTGGCTTCTATATCTGTAGGGTGAACTGCGGTGAATCCTTTGAGTTTAGCCATTGGGCTCAGGTGGACGTGCTTGATGTTATGCCAACATATGGTGAGTTGTTGTTTGCTTTTGCTTAATAAAGAGGGATGAAAGAGGATTTAACTGACTGAACTGCAAGGGATTATAAGGTTTATGAAACTGCATGGTTACAGTTTTACCTTGAGCATAACTAAGAAACATTATCAAATGCGGATCAATCACATGTGAACGATATTCGATCCATTTATTAAGATCAGTATCATGCCTATGCCAATCCAGTAGATCAGATTGGTGCTTCACTGGTTTACAGCGTACTACAAGCAATCTGAACTAGTGTATTTTTATAGCAAATCTGTACTGTTTTTTTTTTTATTTAATACTATTTTGAATCATTATTACTTAATGCCACACAGGGTTGATGTCTCTTCCTTCTGAGGGACGCCTGAGGGTTGTGATTCAGCCTAAGCCACAGTCCCTGCTGGTTGGAGATACTCTATATCTGGAATGTGGGGCTGTGGGAAGACCTCTGCCGCACTACCAGTGGTACAGAAATGGGGTTCCAGTTAAGAATGCCACCAAGAGAAAGTTCAGTGTAAGAGAGTAGAGATGCACTCTTTCTCTTAGATATGGTTGTATTAAACTTTCTAAGAGATTTGGTTTTGGTTTTGGGACTTGTAGGGGTGGGCAAAGTGCCAAAACTATGATATCGTGATACTATACTATAATATCATGAAAACATTTTCACAGTTCATGATACATGACAAATAACATTTTGTTTTTTCTGAGGTTTGAAAGTTGGAATGGACACAATGCACCATGTAGTTAAAAGCTATGAGTATAATTATTTTTACATTTGCATACTGAACAGTACTACATCCTGACAGCAGATCAAAACTGTAAGCCCCTTAAAATCCCAGCTTTATGACATTCTGAGACTTATTAATCAGTGGATCTTGCTTTGATAGGCTAAGCTGCTCAGCAAGCAGGGTACCTTTAGCAGCGCTGCTCTATGAGCTACATTGTGAAATAGGCTATGTGATGGTAAGACAAGTTAGTCAGCCCTAATTGTTTATCATGCAAATTTCTTTTTACAGTTGAATGCATGCATGTGTTGTAGGTTAACTTATACGGTGCTGAGCTTTCCGATCATTACATTCATGTATAAGCTGTAGCGAGGGCAGTCTAAAGTAATAACTTCTATGGCCTTACTATATGAAATGTTTTTCTTGCAGTTAATGTTGTGCACTGAAAAAGCAATGCATTTAAATTACTTGTACCAAATAAATCATTTCCTCATGAACTATTGCCAATTTATTGGCAATAGTTGTAATGATGTAAGATTTTATTCAAGTGGAAGTGACAGATTTAGTTATGTAGAGAGAAAAAACAATGCATCAATTTTTATGTCATTTTTAGTACAGTGACACTATTTTATTTAGGTTTTTTTTTTGTCCTGACTGTGTGCTGATATACACAGTATGCTGAGAAAAACATATCATGGTGTAATTTATTGTGATAACAGTATCAAATTGTCATATTGCCCTCCCCTACTTTGTGGTCTGGTAGCTTTTGTGCAGCCAAGTCTGTTAAAAGCCGTTGCATGCAAGGGAATGACAACACTATACTTAGCATCACCTAATATTGGAGATAATGGCCTGAATTACACTCATTAAAGAAACTGGTGGATTTTTGTGGTTGAATTAGATCTCGTATTTGTCACTGGAGCACCAGGGAAGATACCGCTGTGAAATCTGCTGCAACAACGAGCGAACGTGGAGTAATGAAATAGATGTCCTCGTAGGTATGTCAGCTTTTCATTCAAAAATACATGTAAAGTTGTTTGTACACTGAAAAATATACAATTTCCACATAAATGAAATACTTTACATAAACACGTTTGCCTTTCAGTTTACATACGTTTGGCAATAATCATATTGATGTAATGTGTTTCATTAATTTGGAAATGATTAACGCATTTAAATCAGGTAAATTCAATACATTGCAACACTTTGAATAAGGAAACCTAATAAGCTATCATAGCTTTACTATCTATACCATTCTACTGTATGTAGAGATCAGTTCAAAGTTAACTGCTCTTAATCTGAAACAAAAGGGCCAAGGACAACCTTCCAGTTTTCAGGGGCAACAGAATGTTCTGAAGGTATTCAGTAAGAAATACTGTCTCTTTATGTTTGACTGGGAACTTTGGGCTTTAATTCCTTTCAGAAAATCTGAATCTGGATCTAACTTGCAAGCAACGTGTGGTGACTGCATGCTTGAACATTATTGCCCTGTGTTTCTGCTGGTATTCATGTGCTCTCAATTCCATTTCTTCATAATGATTTGCTGACCGGTTCGCGGGTGGTAACAACTGTAAATGACTTCACACCATAGACTTGAACTTCTGTTGAAAACGCAGGATGTGGTGGTGAGATACAGTCATATGTGCATGTATTGAGCAGCATGGTGTGCATGTGTCAAATCCTGGTGAAATACAGTTCTTTCATTCTGTTCAAGCAGTTTGACTAACAATCGTTGTTTCAGTCTTTTTCAACTTTTAGGCCATGCAAATGCTGATAGTTTTTAGAGATTTTTTTTCTAAATGAAAGGCAAGGAAAACGTGCCTGATAGCCTGTAACAGTACAGTTTGAATTAGATATCAATGTAAAATCAATGTTGGTTGCCTTAAAGTTTTTTAATTGAACTTCTAATAGTAATTTCAGAGAACAGTAAAATGTGTTTTACATATTTGAAGTTCAATTAACGTAAAATTGTAAGGTAACCAGGTTACTTAATGTTAAAACATTGAATATTTTTTACAGTGTATCTGCCATTCACACATGGACATCTGATACACAATGTAGTACATACTGTACGTGAATAAATATATATAAATGTTTTTATTAATGAAGTAAGCAGTGTTTCGAAACAAGTTTTCAGATTTGTTTGGTCCTCTAATAACCTCTATGGGCATTTACGGCACAGTCGTTTGGGTGCTGATTATTTCTGTCCCTTCTTCACTCCGTTCTGTTATCTTACATTCGTTGATACTGAAATGATAAGAATCATTAAGTATGTATTCATTCTTTTATTCATTCTTTGCCAGATGACTTTATTGCCTTTGGACCAAGTAAGTATTTTCTCTTCTACACATAATCGTTAAATGTTTTTCTCAGTATTTAATGTTCTTGGTAATTGTGGTTTTCTTGGTTTCATTTTCAGTGAACAGTCTCGAAAAGCCTTATGGTGAGCAATGCGGAAATGCACTCCACAAAACTTCGAATATTTTGTCATTTGTACCTTAAAATAATTGAAGGGTTTTGTTCCAAAACACATTATAGACCACTCTCGAGAATTTTCATTTTTTTTTTTCATAAGTTGTCGGGAGTGGGCTTTACACATACATGAAATATTAATGTTATATTATGATTAATATCTCCTTGATAAAGTATTTTCCATTAAATGTCAGCTGTTATTATTTTCAAATCCATTCATTTACAAATGGATATTCAGCATTCCATTTCAGATTCTTTCAATGTTTTAATGAATGTTTTAATGCCATTATTTCCCCACAGCCACAGACAAAGTGGCCCTCCTCATTGGGAACATGTCCTATCAGAACCATCCTCAGCTGAAGGCACCTATGGTGGACGTGTACGACCTCACCAACCTGCTTCGCCAGCTGAACTTTAAAGTGGTTTCCCTGCTGGACCTGACTGAGTCAGAGATGCGCAATGCAGTGGAGGAGTTCCTCTCCCTGCTGCACAAAGGCGTTTATGGTAATACAGCTTCATACAAAGGAGAACTCAGTTAGGGGTGGACAGTATGATGATATATTATTATATAGTACGTATATTGTGGGTATCAACATTTTTTCCAGCTCCTAGATTCAGAATGTAATGTTTACAGTTTGTTTATTAGAGTGCTCAAAAGATCTGTTGGTGTTTTGACCACATCTGATTAAACTCTGTCAATCAGATAAACTCTAAGGGACTGTACCTTCATTTCTTCTCATAACTACATAACTCATATACTCATTTCATAGTAGCTACTGCATAATTCATAGCAATTACTGAATAATGAGCCTGCAGTTTAATGGGTCAAGTTGTGAAATGTGTAAGAAAGCATTGCTCAGTCTTATGCTGCACTGCTAGTTTCTCACTTCCAAGCTACAGTTCCTCATTTCTTGGCTTCTCAGGTAAACTGAGTGTGCAAACATATTCTCCTCTCTTTAGGCTTGCTGTACTATGCTGGACATGGTTATGAGAACTTTGGGAACAGCTTCATGGTGCCTGTTGATGCCCCAAACCCCTACCGCTCTGCCAACTGCTTATGTGTGCAGAGCATTCTGAAACTGATGCAAGAAAAGGAGACCGGTCTCAATGTCTTCCTGTTGGATATGTGCAGGAAAAGGTAGGCTGCAATTTGTAGTGTAGCAAAAACATATCTTCTAGTTATGGAACATTTATTGCCAAAATTAACGTTTGTTAATTGTGGAATGTAAGGGTTCTTCTCACAAACATGACAAATACTGTGACCCAACTTGAAAAAATGAAAATGACTAAAACTTCACGTTTCCTCTTTTTTTTGGATATGAAGCTGGGTTGAATGATCAAAAATAAACCTGAATGACGTAACTGATTTAAAATAGATTTTAGTAACATTTTCCAGTTTTAAGTGAAACCTTCTCATTTCCAGTAACTTTTGAGGATAAATCTGTAAATAATATATATTTTTATTTATACATTCTGTATAAATATATATTTACATGGTGTTTCACAATTATGTCTCACTGCCACAACACATTGCCAGTCGTGGTATTTCTTTTACTTGTGCCACATTGTTTTTTGGTTCATGACTTTACAGTTTGCAAGGGAAACATTAAAGTAAAAAGTTAAAAGTAATACAAACTCATTTTTTTCTAATTGAAAATGGTGGGTGATACAGTGGGACTCATGACCCAATGCACAGTACAATGAAAAACGCTTGCAAAATTCATAAATGCAATGCAAATTCACAAAACACTTTCATCAACATGTTCACACCGGAGCTACATTTTACAAATGCACTGCAAATTTCTAGACACACTGCAGACTCACAAAATTCTTTCATCAAAATGACTAAACCTGCGCTACATTTCAGAAACAAGCTACTAATACAGAAAACACACGCAACTTTAGAAACGCTGCGGTCAGTCACAACACAGCATGGTCCGCAACACATTGGAAATATTTCTGGAAGACTCACAAAGGCAATGGAATATCTGTGAGGGAAAATAAGTGGCAGAACCTGATAAGACCATGGACACTTGATTAGCCTGGCTGGCTAGTTAGCTATCTGACATGTCATAGCTGCACTATGTTAGTCGTCAGTCATATCTGGTATTGCTTTTTTACAGTTACACTCTAAAGCTAGTTGCCATTATAATACTGTAATATTAGGTATCTGTTCAAGTAAAGGTTAACTTACATTTACCACTGAATGTATATGCTGCATAAAATTTAAAAGTTTGAATGGCTCAGTCTAGGAATATTTCCGCTGCGTTGTATTGTCTGGATTTGCAGTGTGTTTGTCCACAAACTTTTTTGCTGTAGCAGATAGAGCTCTAATTGATGTACTATAATATGAACATTTTATATTTGTGTTGATGCTTATGACACTAATATATTTATGGTCATGTTTTGCAGTGGCTTTTGAGAATGAGCCATATGATCAAAGTGCTAATTTAAAGTGAACAAATGTGATGTGACCATTTGTGAATGCGTAAGGTGTTAGGATGTCCAAAGCTGTTGCCAGATTTAAAGAGATGCTGCATTTAGTTACAGTTTGGAACATTTACAAAGGTTTATGAGTGACATACTTAAAAAAGGTTAGATATGCTTTCTGTGAACGAACGTTGTGTATATGAGACTTAGGTGTTTAAACCTGCTGCTTTTAAAACTTTTGAAAAGGCATTGTAAAGTATTGGGTCTTTCACAGAAAACTTCAGTTAGCCATTCTATTGTATTTATTGCTAGCCAGTATAAATTGAATCTTTATGGTATATTAATATGGACATTGTTATGTCTTTATTACCTGATTGCTTGCATTTTTCCTGTTTGCACACAGATTGTCATTTTTCAATATCACAAAAATGCCATGAATGTAATTTCAGAAACTTTCATGATAAGGACATGCCAAATGTCATGCTGAAAGTCACAGCCAACATCGTGTTTGGATATGCCACGTAAGTGCTATCGTTAAAGTCTTCAGTTTCACACATTGAATTTGTCATGTTCTTGGAGGTGTAAGAGGTGCATGAGGTTAGCAAAGGTTAACGAAGTCTTCCAAACGACATCTAATCATCGTCACGTCTTTTGAAGGTGTCAAGATGCTGAAGCTTTTGAGTTGAGCTCGAGTGGACTCACCAATGGCGTGTTCATCAAATTTCTGAAAGGGCGCCTCCTGGAGGATGAAAAGATTACTGTGCTCCTGGACAGAGTGGCCGAAGGTGTGGAGATCTTGCTATATATTGTCACTGTTCTAACAAAACCATGTATTTCCAAAACGGTAACTTTATGGAAAATGCAAAAACGTTTTAATGGAAATTAATATAACAAGACTTTATTTCTTGATGGTCTGATTTTGATTTTAATTGGTCTGTTTCTTATGAAATGTTATTGCATGGTGAAGACCAGCGGCTGTGATCATGTAGAAAAATAAAAAATTGAAGAAATGGAGATGCTGGTTTTGATATGACAGCAATGATATGCTGCTTGTTCACTCCAGTAAATTACCTTGTTGGAATTGTTGTATTATAAGCATGTAAAAGCTTTTTTTACAAGTAGGCCTAATAACTAAATCTAACCAACTCACTGATGTAAAAGATGTTCTCATTTATTGGTACTGTCAGATTGGAGTTGGTTTTAGATTAGGAAAATGAGGTTACAGTCTCATGAAAACGTTTGTGCGCCTCAAATTATATGTTTTGTTGATTTTCTTGTGAAAATAAGTCAACAGATCCTCTTCACATTTTAATGCAAAACATAAAATGTGGCCTGTGCAAAATTATGTGGCAATTTATGTTTTAGAGGTTTTTTCCAGGAAGTTAAACTCAGAAATTGTGCATTTAAAATTTGCAGAAAATTTCCATATTTAATTGTTCTCTGTAGAGGATGTGTTGACTTATCTTCACTTCAACAAATCAACAAAACATGGACAGGAGGTATTCAAACTTGTTATTTTGTTATTTGGTAATCATACTGATCCGTAGGGCATTCCTGTGTGCTGTGTTGTGTTTTGTGGTTTGTGCTGGGTTGTAGATATGGGCCAGTTTGACCCAACTAAAGGGAAGCAGGCTCTTGAGATCCGCAGCAGCCTGTCAGAAAGACGCTCCCTGACTGACCCCATCTTGCCTGGAGACTGCTCAGACGTGGCCCAGGCACACAGCCTGCTCTGGGCTAAAGCACATGGTAATGCTAAATCATCTCAAGAAAAAAAATCTTCATCAGAATCCCTTCCTCTACAGTGAGAGGTTGTATAGTGATAGACTTTGTCATTGCCACTGTTTTCTCAAAGAGATGTTTAGGTAGTAAATGGGTTTTCTAACATAGAATTGCTATTGTGAGGTTAGAGGAATAAAAACTTAACTTATTGTTTTTTACTCCAGAACTACCAGAGAGCATGACACTGGACTTCGACTGTGGCGTGCAGATAAAGATGGGCTTTGCAGCCGAGTTCTCCAACGTGCTGGTCATTTACACTAGCATTGTGAAAAAGCCAGAGGAGATGTCCTCCTGCCAAGCTCACCTCATTAACCTCTCAGTGAGTCTATTTCAGTTGTACTGAGAAAAAGATCTCCCAAGATGTTCAATCCAACAATTCCTTGCACAGGTTATGCATTTATTAAGAAGTTCTTTTCAAATGGTGTCCTCAATTGCTCATCAGTTTTTTTTCTAATTTATGATGCTTTGGGGAACATTAGGTAATGAAACATTAGTATATGATCGGTGTTGCGTTCACTTTTGTGTAGCATGGACAGAGTTTTAAGATGTTCTCTTGGCCTGTTTCTGCAGGATCTGGACCCTAAACTGATGAATAAAGAGACCCCAGAAGAGACAGGGAGTTACCTGCTCTCAGGCAGTCTCCCCCAGCACTGCCTGTACACCAGACTAAGCTCCCTGCAGAAGCTCAAGGTAAAACTCATATTTAGGCTAGAAGGTGAAGATGCCTAATGTTTTATTAGTATTTAGTTGTACCTTAGTAGTATTTTAGTACTGCTTAGTGGCTAGCGAGAGTTATGCTTAAAAAATGAAAGAGAACTAAATAATGAACATAATAAGGAACAACATATTAAATAACACTCAAACAGAAAAAAACTACAGAGCCAGAGCGAAGACTTGTCAGTACAGTTGGTTCAGTAATGCAAGTGGAAAGTTCATAGAGCCACAACTAATTGCCCCCACGCAAGTATGCCACGCAAGATTTCAAAACGTCCCCCAGACTAAAGAGAAGGTGGGTAAGAGAGACACTAGCAGTCATATGAAAAGAATTGCAGGTCAACTTGAAAGCAACAGGGACTACAGTTTCATAAAAAACAATAAGCAATGAATTCCATCACAATCATCTACACTCTACCTACACACCACTCAAAACGTCTTTGCTAAAGAGAATTGAGGCATAGAAATGCACATCTAAAATTTACATACAAGCATTTACACTAATCAGAACTTTTTTGGAACTGTGTTCTCTGGTCAGACGAAACAAAAATAGAACTTTTTGGCAGTAATTCAGCTTGTCGTGTTTGGAGAAATAAGGGTTGTGCGTATGATCCCAAGAACACCATACATGCAGTGAAGTACAGTGGTGGGAGTATATGGGGCTGCTTCTCTGCAAAAGGTAAACATTAATGGAGCAACGTACTGAGAGATTTAATACAGTTCTTAGATTGAATTTAAATTAAATTAGAAACTGGGGAAAAGATGGACCGCAAATATTCAGCCAAAACAACTAAAGACTAGTTTCTAAAAAAATGTAGGCGCTTGCATGGCCTAGCAAATCTTCTGACTTGAATTCCATTGAATATTAAGGGAGGATGTTGAAATTGCAAGTCCATCAGAGGGAGCCTCATAACTTTGGGAAATTAAAGACGGTTTGCCAAGAGGAATGAGCCAAAATTGAACATCAATCTTGCAAAAAACTAATTTCTTGTTATGGTGAGTGTCTCAAAGCTGTAATTGCCAAGAGTGGCCTTGCAAGAAAGTACTAATGTACTAATGTACATACTGTTTGTGAATTTGAAACAGATATATTCACTGGAAGTACACTGAATAACAAAAACAAGTGTCTGAATACTTGTTTCCCCTCACTGTAGACAATAAAAACTGTAAACTCCTTTTTAAATTATTTTTACAGTTGACCCTAAGATTTTTTATGTTGGCCCAAATATGAGTGCAAACTTGAATATTACTGAATATTATTATAGTCGGTTGTGTTCAGTCACCATGCTGCATTGACATACTCCCTGTTTCCTCCACCCCACAGGAGAAGCTGGTTTTCACCGTGTGTCTGCAGGCCGAATTCACATCTCTGGATGAGCAAGTCCAGTGGACCAAGGAGGTGGACATCGGGAAACCCCTTATAGCCAAGCTGGACCTCCACCGGCCCACCAGGAGGAACAGCTGCCAGCAGACATGCCACATGCCCCACAGCCCCTGCACCAGCCCCATCCCCAGCCCAGGAGCTGAGCGGCTACTGCTACAGCAGATCCCCTGTTTCCACCCACAGCACAGCAACCCCTACCTCAACGTCTATGAGCCCTTGCATGGCGCTGCTGGGGGCTATGGGAACTCTCTGCATGGTGATTATGCGTATCACTATGAGGATACTCCTTATTCTCCTTACATGCCCTTACCTAGTGTGCCCATTGAAACCACTGATGACATCGAAGATGTGCAGAATAAATTCATGAATAGCTTACATCTATACAATCAGCCTTGAATATGTAATCAGGCACTGGGACTGACAGACAGAACATTACGATTCCCAAGCAATATCTGGAAAAACGTTACGTCCTTTAGATGAAATTTAGATTATTTTAGGTTATTCAGAGATCACAACCATTTTTTCAACTGTGAAGATACTTTTGCACAGAAAACAGGGATTATTACAGTATACAGTAGTTATATGGTGTATTGTTGTTAATAATTTATAATTCCTAGGACTTCACAGTCCTCACTTATGTCGTTGTATTACCTCCATATATATAATACAATTAAAAAAATGTAGTATATTAAATTAAAAGTTTGGAAGGAGGACCATGCCAGAAGCTCCCCGTACTCTACCTTCTATTTACCATGACAGAGCACCACCTCCTCATCTCCTTTCCTGTTCCTCAGTCCTACCTGGGTTCATCGAGGGGCTTTCTAGTTTAAAGCAGAATCATACAGTCTTTTCACATACCACCATATGTTAAAGCCATGGTATGAACTCGCAAAATAAACATATTCAAAATGAATATGTGATGCATTTTAATAAAGTATTAATGAGTATTAAAGTGTATTTTCAAGATGATTATAAAGAAGCAGATTTTTCACCAAAAAACTTTATTTTGAAAACAAAAACAAAAAGTATGAAGATTAAAGCTGAACATTACTCTATATTAAGTTAACATTCTTTTTAAAAATCATAGGCCATGGTTCTTGTGTTCTCCGAACGCTTACATGATCCACAGATTATGTGTATGGATAAACAGACTACTGATGATTTCTGTGACACATATATTTGTTTTCAAATTGCAGTGTTTTAGGACATTTACAGTAAAAGTACCAGTAACATGGTTCTTTACATCACAGTGCACTTTTCCTCAGCCTTGGATTTAATCTCCACCAGCGTGGCCTGAGCCTTCTCTTTGATCTGCTCCATGTCCATATTTTGAATGTTCTGCATTTGACCCAAAATGGACTGATCTTCTTCCTCCTGTGGAGCATTTTCATCCACCATCTTTACCAGTTCCTCAGGCACATCGATGTCATCTCCTGCCTGCTGGATCATGATCTCATCCTGCTCACTCTACAAAGAGTCAAAAATAAAGCAAATGACAGCTGATTTATTTCTCACTGTCTTATTATCTCATGACATATTAAATTCTAATGTCTAATTCTTATTAGTAATTATAAATTCTGGATAAACTGATGGATAAAAGCAATATTTTTTTTCGGAAATCAAACGGTACACAATTTTCCCCTTAATGCAAATGTAGTCAATCAATCAAGACTTGACTGGTGTATGAACACTTCTTCAGGTTTACACTGGGGCTGGTGGTCATACAGCTAAAAACAGTACTAGCAGCCATCTTGAATCCTGAATTATGTACAAATTTTTGTCCATTTTTATAGGTAACAGTGTGTCCTACGGTGTCAGAAAACACATTAGCAACAGAGTCTGAGGCAACAGAGTGATGATTTAGGCATGCTGTCTTGAATGATGTACAGTAGTTAAGTATAAGCTTCTGTTATTTAGCTACGTTAGTCTTGTAGGTCCAGTGCAAAGCTAAAGAAGAAACCTTCAAACACCATGCCATGGCTGATCGACTACATTTGGAGCATCTGGCAAACTGTACATTTGTTTTTTGATCAAAACATTTGTCTTTGAGCTGCTCTTCATATTTCATCCAGTTCTTAACTTCCAACGCTAAACTACTGTTTGGAAACAGTCTGCATGGATTTATCAGTGTGTGCAGAGTTACACTGCATGGTGCTTAACCTCAGCAGTGACAGATGAACTAAACTCTCTCGGTCATTTATGGCCTCCCAAAGCTGTTAATTCTTTTTCTGTGCTCTAATCTCTTGGCGTGATGCAGCACTGCTGGGGTTGGTTGTGCACAAGTGCCGCTACTGAGCTGTAACCACTCATACTGTGAACTGTTGCTATTCTGGTGCTGCACTGTGAGGAATCAACTTGTATTCAAGTAAGAAATCTCACCTTTGGCAGACGGTACTTTTCTCTTAGACATGACCTCAGGCAAGCCCGTTCTGCTTTTTTTGTTGCAAACTCAGCATCTCTTTCCATTCTTTATGCAAGAGAGGAATAAAAGGAGCAGAGGAGCAGAATGGACAGAAATTATTAAATTATATGGATGTCTGTTGAATTCCTTTATTTGTTTCTAATTATATAGTTTGCATTGTTACAGGCTGATAATACGTTGCATTGACTCCATCCACCCTGTCTTGACTCCAGGCTTTTACATTTTTTTTTTCTATTTTAAGACATTAATGCAAAATATACAAAAATGTACTTGTAAATTCTGTAATTTATCCATGTTTCGTAAGCAGCTTATAGTCAACCAAAATGTAAATGTAACAAGACATTACACAACAAATGGATACTACCATTAAAATGTTGGAATCACTATTTTCAATAATATAAAAGTAATTTTGTGTCAGGTACATACATAACATTATTGTAATATGATGCTAACATTTAAAAAATTCCAAATAATTTGTAGGAATATGTAAAAGAAATTTTAAATGATTAGATGATTCCATATTGAGATTGTACAGCATCAAGAATGAACTTATAATAAAATGAATATTCTGAATGCCTATTTGAAAAGCGCTGAACAAGCAGCTACTTATAGTTAACCTAATAAGAGGTAGATAATTAGTTTATTAGTTAATAATATGCTATTTTTAATTATCATAACTTATGTTGTTCCTAAAATACTTTAAATTGTGATTAAACCATCGGTTTACCTTTTTAGATATTTATTTTATATTGTTTTATAATATTTAAATCTACACTGCATAAGTTATTATTCAATAACATTTATTAGTATGGTAAGTGATTTCAAACTTTTGTACGTCCAATAAGTGCCTTAAACATTAACAGACAAACCCCTGAGATGAATATACATCTATTTTGTTACAAAATTAATATCCCAGGATTCCTCTAAAGTGAGTTATTCTGTAATTTGTGTGCTACAATTAAAACCTTACAGTTAGTGTGGAGGAAACTAAAGCAGGAAGGAATCTGAAGTGACACCTGCGGCCTCTTAAAAATAAAGGCTGCGTCCAAAACCACAAACCACCACACTAGACAGTGTGCTGAAAAAGGAACACCACCAGTAGAAGTGCATTCTTTAGTACAGCACCGCAGAATGTAGTTTCGGACATAGCCATAGATTTAAAAATAGTGCTTGCCTTAGACGTACAGTTCTAGGAAATACACTTAAATTTGGTCTAGAACCTTTAACGTAGAGGGTAACCTTTTACACTGGCATTCCTCATTTACTAAAATGTTATTTTTTTGGAACCACCCGTTAAAAAGTTCTTTAAGCAACCTCAGGACCTCCAGTGGCTTTGCTCCAAATAACCCTTCTGGCATATTTATTTTTAAGAGTGCACAGTTAAAAATTAAAACCCTGCACCGTCATGCAGTCAGACTTCAGAATCTGTGCCTGTGGAGGAACTAGAGATGTTGGACTTACTTCTCCTCCACCAGCTGTTTCTGGTACTCCTCATATTCCTCTCTTGACATTCCATCGTGGGACATTTTGCTGATAAGTCTTCCTTCTTCAGCAGAAAACTCACAATGTTTCTCCTCTGAAGAGCCATCCTACAAAAGCCTACCATACTTTTCCTTTTTTTGTGAATGAAAGTTCATCCTGGCCTCATGATTGGTCTGCTTGCAGGGTAAATCCAATGCGAGGCTGTCCAGCCTGACAAGCCTGCAGACTGGTTGCATCACCAAGGACACACTGACAATGACTGTGGCCAAAAAAAGAGAGAACAGCTTTGCCAAACTTCATAAGCTGGACTTACTGTTCTGCTCTCTGCAGTCAGGATAAAGGTGACAGTCACTTACAGTGTGGTTTTTAACTGACTGAAACAGCGACCCATCTGCAAGCATTTTACAGCTTAACTGCATCAAAGTGCACAGAATATAACATACAGTGTCCAGTCTGTGTGTGGCGTCCCTGCTGGTGTACTGTGGTAGTGCAACATTTAAGTTATCTAGATAGAGATCTCAGTAGTCTGATTTTACAATCGACAATGTGTTTTAAAATTAACAAAGGCAATCTTCAAATATGACCATTCTCTATCCGTACTGTGCAAAGGAGAATATGCAGAAAAATCATCAAAAATAATCAACTGTGGTATTACCACGTTTGTGAGTGTTCTAAAAATACATAGACAATTCAATTGACACTGAAATTTCAATATAGAAATAGCTTTGCATCTACAATGTTTTGGACATTTCTGAGTTCATGAACCCACCAATGAGCTCACCAACACCATTGTAAGTAAAACGGCCTTTGTCCACACAAGACTGCTTGTGCTACAAGTACAGTAGCGTAAAGTATTTCTCCAAAATAAATATCATTTTGTTAAAGAGGGATTCACACACGCACACACATTATCTAAGCCGCTCATCCTTCTGGGTCATGGGGTACTGGAGTCTACTCAGCGTTCGCTGGGCAGGAAACACCCTGGGTGGGCCGCCAGTACATCACAGGGCAGACACACAGACACATACATTCACACGCATACACACTCACACCTAGAGCCAATTTAGTGTCTCCAATTCACTTGACTGCATGTTTTTGGACTGTGGGGGGAAACCGGAGCTCCCGGCGGAAACCCACACAGACACAGGGAGAACATGCAAACTCCACACAGTAAGGACCCTGGTCAACCAGTCAGGGAATCAAACCTAGGCCTAAATAGAAATTCCACCTTTTCAATTTTGTTTTCACATTTGTGGCATAATTAAGTCATTGATTTGTAACAAAGTAATTCAGAGTGGTTTGATGTGAAATAGTTCATTCTAGAGAAACCTACTGACTTTACAGTGGTGTTGATAGGAACCAGGGGTTGAGATGTCTACCACGCATCTATAGCCATTTTATTTACTATCCAAAATAACCAATAAACCTACGTGTCTTCGGAGTTGATAATGGTGAAACAATCTATATTGTGGCGTCAGGGAAGAGGAACATGTGGGAAACATTGCGCTTTAAAGGCAATTGCTCTTTTATTGGCTGCTGAAACGGCCGACATAGCAGGCAGGTCACTTATGTAGCCATACACTTCCCCTTGATTACAGACACTGACGCCATATTGACTAACCCACAGCCCAACACTGAATGTCACAATAACCACATGTGCACATGTTCACACTAACAAGAACTTGCTTACAAGCCTCTCCTCCTGCGAGTGTGGCGCCTTCTGAGAGCTTGCGTGCCTGGCCGCTCCTCACATGGCAGCATAAGCCAGTAGTGGGATGCTACAGTAGAGTATATTCTGAAAAGAATACGTTTTCTTTGAGGCCTATTTCACCTCACAGCACCCTGCATGTACCTCTTCGCCATGAATAGGTTTTAAAAAGCACTTTTAAGGCCAAAATCATATCTCGAAACTAGTGTTTTGGACATTAGGCAGTGTATTCATAACGATTTTAGGTAATAACTTTGTATGATGTAGCTTTTAGAAGCTTCAGACGTCTGGTTACTATCGCCACCACTGTGAACAATTCTGACTTTTCTAGGAGAGGCTTGTAAGTAAGTTGTTGTTGTTAGCTTGAAGATGTGCACATGGGGTTATTGTGACATTCAGTGTTGGGCTGTGGGTTAGTCAATATGGCATCAGTGTCTGCAATCAAGGGGAAGTGTATGGCTACATAAGTGACCTGCCTGCTATGTCGGCCGTTTCAGCAGCCAATAAAAGAGCAATTGCCTTTAAAGCGCAATATTTCCCACATGTTCCTCTTCCCTGACGCCACAATATACATTGTTTTACCATTATCAACTCCGAAGACACGTAGGTTTATTGGTTATTTTGGATAGTAAATAAAATGGCTATAGATGCGTGGTAGACATCTCAACCCCTGGTTCCTATCAACACCACTGTAAAGTCAGTAGGTTTCTCTAGAATGAACTATTTCACAGCAAACCACTCTGAATTACTTTGGTTAGAGTTTGATTTAAATATGCAGAAATTCTGAAAACGTTTAGAACTGTTATGTTAAAGTTAGCATATTAAAGTTTAACAATTGTTAAAGGTTACAAATGGTTAAATGGTTACTGTGTCCAAGTACTTTCTGAAGCCACTGTGTCTTCATCTTAATTTTGTCTTTTGCTTTTGCTGTTGACAGTAATTGTGTGGGGTGTAATATATTTTACTCATGTGGAAATTATGCATACATTTGAATCCAGTACACTCAATGTATTAATGTCTGCAGTCTAAGTATGTCTTCTGTGAAGGTTATCCATCATGAACTAACCAGAAAATGAAAAAAATGTCACTCTGAAAACCCTCAACATCCTGTTTTTGAAGTCTTTGTTCCTCTCTCTTCACCTCACACCCTCAGTTTCCAACACAGGTTAAAGAGCTCATGTCATACAAAACTAAAATGTCCTTCTTTTTTTAAAATAAAAGTTTGATGTAACCTGCAAACATACGTACACATTCACTCCCCAGTGCATACATATCCATATATGGATTTTAGCTGTAAAAACAGCCCATTTTGATTTCGTTGTTGTTGTGCTGTGACAAAAAACAAAGAATTTCCATATATCCACCTTTTCATCCTACAGCTTTTTAGCCCCACCCATTCAGGTTGAAGTTATAAGGAGCGTTTCAGCCCAGACTGCTTTTTGAAAGAAGCACAATACAAGACAGCCAATCACAACACAGCTCATTTATATGTGTTAGTCTTAAAGGTACAGCCTGTTTAATTCTGAGGGTCCAAGACTGGTTGGAAAAGGCAAAATGGTCATGCAGAAATTAATTATGGCTCTATTTGGTACATAAACCAAACTGATGTCATAAGTGGACCTCAAGAGAAAAAAAATGAAAGAATGCACAAAAAAGAAGGATATGGGCCCTTTAAAGAGACGTTGCTGGTGTGCTTCTAGAATAGCCTTCCTGACTGAATTTAGTATAGACATCCAAGAATATGTATTTGAACTTTGTAATCATGTAATCATGTATTATTGTTATCCCTTGTTATTATTCTCCTCGCCTACTAAATTCTGGCCTGGTAAACACACGCCTGCGTGACCGTGCTAGCCGTGGGATCATTTGATACAGGCTGGGCTGCTGCAGCTGCTCCATCCTCATGATTCATTTAAAACGCGGACATAACAAGCAGGTCCCACTGCTGCAGAGTCACCATGGCTGCAGAAAGAGCGGAGGGGAGGGGCGAGAGAAAAGAGGAGGAGGAGAGCAAAGTAGACGAGATGAAGGGGAGGGGGGCCTGCATCTGACGAGGAAGCACTGAAAGAGATGCCTTATTCCGGACTAACGCAGAGGAGCTACAGAGGAACCTTTCTGAGTTCTACTGCGAACACTATGCATTTCCTCTTTATTTTATTCTTCTGCCTAGGGGTGAACACAGGTATGTGTTCACATGTACTATTTATGTCTTGATGTTATCATTTCTATCTGTATCAAAACCATTATAGCTTTTTTAGCCTCGTCTGATGTAATATCTAAATGTCAAATTCCAAAGTTACTGTCAATCCTATGCTGATAATAATTTAATAGTAGATAGTATATAGTAAAATATACTATAGTAATAGCTGCTTTCATTTTTACCTGGTTTGACCTCTGTACATCACGATGTTACGACCTTGTGGCCTGTTCAGGGGCTCCACAGTGCTTCTAGTGTTACTTCAAAAGTATGCTTTGACTATTTACTCTTTCTAATTCAGGAGAGAGCAAATACAGAGTTTCTTGGGAAGCCTACGTGTTGAGTGGTCTTTATAAATGACTTTATTCTGCTACATTTTGAACGCTGTGATAGTACATTTCACACGTGATCCTTTGCATGCTTTCTTAACAGCATGCAGTCAGAAGAGGGAAATACCTGAATTCATCTGAAGTTCAGCCATGATTGTTCTCCCATTTCCTGATGTTTTATTTTTTATTATTTTAAGAGTCCACCCGCACCGCGCCGACGGAGGATGCTGTTACTTCATACAGTGTTCAAATACACAAAGGTAAACTGACCTTCTCATATTTTATTATTCTATTGAGTTTCCTGTCTGGAACTGAGCTAAATCAGTAAGGTTAGCGTGACATAGTGATGTTTAACCCTTTACTGCATAGTGTCGTCCTATGGGAGCAGTTGTTTATTGCCTGACCACAATAAAATACATTTTTTCTTTTCCTTTGGGAAAGTAAAGGTGTAACTGAAGGGGAACTTATGTGTAACTGTAGTTATGTCTGATCACATACTTTTAATCTGTACTTCTTTTGTACTCACATATAACATGGCAAAGCCTGGCTTATGAATATCTCTCAAAGTGTGCATTTAATTCAGCACTAAGTTTCTTTTTTAGTATTTATAACTACTTCAAGACAAACTTTAAACAATATCTGAGAAGATACGATTTCCTTTTCATAAATGAACCTGCTTTAGATGCTATAGGCTTTATATAAAATTAAAAAATCAGAACTGTTGCCTTATATGGCAACAAAATGTGACAACAGAGCTGCAATCTGAAAAACAATAGTGGAAAATAAATACACTGCTTGTAATCTTAAAACATTTATGCATATATGGCCACATTTTTAAGCCTTGATGATGAATGTGGTTATGTTCTGTGTATTTGTTTACCCTTGTTGTTAATTCTATTGTTGCAGGCTGTTGCCATCTTTTACTATTTTTAAGATATTTTCATTAATTATGCCATTCATAATTTATGCAGTAAAGGATTAACAAGTCAACATGCTAACGTATTTGACATTAGATATTCATATAATGAAATAATTCAATAACTCTGCTGCTCTATTGAGTCATGTTTTGTTGATGAGGCTACAATTTCTCAATACACAGGTGGCGTTGTTAAAGAGTTTGAAATCCTGAATCGCCAGAAAAAGGAGTTTTCATGTATAATGAATGACATACCAAGTAAACCCACAACCATAACTGGCTATTGGAAAAAAAATGGTGCTAAAATTGAAAGCTCCGAACAAACTGTACAGAGAAACAACAACCAGTATATGCTTAACAGAACGTAAGTATTTGCAGTACACTCGAAAAGTGTATGCTACCAAAAAAAGGTTCCATGACGTAGGTTCTATGATAACAATAGCAGAACCCTTTTTGTTGCTGTATAGAGCCATTTTAAAAAGCTGTTTTAAAGAACTTTATACAACAGGTTTATCAGCGTAGAGAAGAACCAGTTAAACATGCATTCAAATGGTTCTTTGAGTTCTTTGAACCATTTTTAAGGGTGTTTGTATTAAAAGAAAGCAGAAACAGAGTAACAGTATATATATATATATATATATATATATATATATATATACATACATACTTTTAATTATGTTAGAATAAATGCTAATGCTACTATATAACAACACAACTTTTCTTTATCATTTCAGCTTCGACATTCAAGACTTAGGAAATTATTCATGCATCTTCAGTCTTCCAGAAAATGAACCGCAGGCTACTTTTGTTTTTAAAGGTATGCTGGCACCCTTGTTAAATACCTACTCATTTCTAACACATTTTCCTATGCTTCATTACACACTGCTGTAATGCACCAGACTCAGAAAGGGCTTCATAACTGACCTATCCATGCTCTGACCATAAACACATTTTTTCACAGCTACTGTATATTTATATAAGGGTATATTGATATAAGGTGGGTAGTAAGTAGTTACGTTTATTCAAGTATACTTAAGTAAAGTATTGATGGATTTGTTCTCTCCTGAGTATTTTCAAATCATATTACTTTTACTTCTTCTCAAGTGTATTAGTGAGTAAAGGTGTCTTTTTGCCCAGTTACATTTCAGTGATTCATATGTATGTACTGATTCCTTTTTGTGTTTAATGCATTATGTTTTGTTGGTGACAGCATCTGTACTGCTTTGAGTTTGATCACATTTTTGATTTTGGAGTGTTAGCATTTTTTTTAAACCAAAAACCCCAAAATGAGAAGAACAGACCCCAAAAACTTCTGTTAGGTGCTAGATTTACTAAGAAGTTCCACTACAGTTCTATAAATTACTCAGTACTTACATAGTTTTTTGACCTGATACATTCATACATCTGCTCAAGCTGTTTTTTGGGAAAGTACTTTTAATGTTACATGAGTGATTTTAGCCAGGTATTAATATATTTACGTGAGTATGGGTTTAAGCTACCCACATTTGGGAACAAATCAATTTTTGTAAGAAACTGTAAATTATTCAAACACATTACAAAATAAACATACTCTAAATGCAGGTATGCTGACTACACACACACACACACACACACACACATATATATATATATATATATATATATATATATTTCTCATCTGAATGGCATTTTTGCAGACATTCTGTCAGCTTGTCCAACCTCACAACAGTAACTATCAAAGTAGGCAGGGCATGGATACATGGATAGATCAACTGCCCAGAGAGTCAAAGTGAGCTGTATTAGAACAGGGTTAACACAAAACTGTGTGGTGCTTTATATCCGTGTAACCTGGAGAATGGGTATGTTTATTTCCAGTTCCTGCAATTAAAGAGCGAGATAAGCCCATTGTGAGCTATATTGGGGATTCAGTCATACTGGACTGCCACATGGAACACAGCAAGGACCATGGACCAGACACCTGGAATTGGTACAAAGTCAATGGCACCGAAAAGGTACTGTAAGATTTCTGAGACTGTGACGAAGCACTAGATGATTCTCATTCAGCAGTTCAGTGTAAGCAGAAGTACATATGGTTACTGCTAAATGCAGTATTGCAATATTAATAGTCCCAGTCTGAAGCACTCTTTGTGGTCACTCAAGTACATGTTTTGCTGTAACGCCGAAAAAAAGCTGACCTTCTCAAATTTAGCCTGTGGATTACACGCAATGCCATAGAAGAACCACTTTTGGCTCCTTAAAGAACTATTTTTTTTGTAAATGAGATATACATTTATGGAAAACCACGACCCTATCTGGACTAAGCGGTTAATGATGATGATGATGATGATGATTTATGGAAAAAAATTTTGAAGGTTTGAAGAACCTTGACATCATGTAGGGTTCTATACAAATTAAAGATTTTTCCTAGAAGCTAATAAATAGAGCCATTCACTCATATGAAGAACCATTCAAATTAAAAAATACATGTGAGTGATAACGGTTCTACTGCTTTTGCTGTAGAACCATTGAGGAACCCTTATTAAAGTAGCACAATACTTTAAAGTTAATTTCAACAAATGTATTCTAATTCGTGTATATTACGCAGGAACTCCTAAACGTCACCGCTGAGCCCACAAAGTACCACCTTGACTCGTCGAAAAACAAGACCAAGCTGATTGTGCTGAACCTGACTAAGGAAGACTCCGGAAAATACGTCTGCAGCGCGGTGTTCAACATCAGCCAGACGGACTCCCGTGTGGAGCTGAAGGTTTTGTCCTTCACTGAGCCTCTCAAGCCTTTCCTCGCCATCGCGGTTGAAGTCGTCGTCCTCATCACGCTCATTCTTCTGTATGAGAAGAAGACCCACCGTCGGGGCGACTCAGAAACCACAGGTACAGTGGGATTTTTCCACCCGTTTACTGGAACTCTTACTGCTCTAGGATTGGCTGGTATTTCATGCCAGCGCTAGGATTGGCTGGTACTTCATACCAGCGCTAGGATTGGCTGGAGTGGCAGGTCCTTCAGTGCTACGGCCCCTGAGCTCTTTAACTCCCTGTCCCAAAACGTTCGTCACTGCTCATACATTTCCTCTTTTAAAATTTACTTGAATACACACCTTTTCACTCAATACTTCCCTTCTACCTTTATAGCTTTGTTGTATGTTGTGCTCCCATTCCTGTTCTGTTCATATTATTCCTGTGAAAAATATATAAAATATATATAAAATATATAAAAATATTATTTTTATTATTAGTAGTAGTTTAAACCTGTGCTATGACTGGCTGGTTGTTCAAATCTGTGCTAGGATTGGCTGGTCGTTTATATCTGTGCTAGGATTGGCTGGTCATTCATATCTGTGCTAGGATTGGCTGGTTGTATCATATCTGTACTAGGATTGGCTGGTAGTTCACATCTGTGCTACGATTGGCTGGTCGTACATATCTGTGCTACGACTGGCTGGTAGTTCATATCTGTGCTACAATTGGCTGGTAGCTCATATCAGTGCTCAGATTGGTTGGTAGTTAATATCTGTGCTAGGACTGGCTGGTAGTTCATATCTGTGCTAGGATTGGATAATAAGTCATACCTGCACTCGGGTCGGCTAGAAGTATGTTATAGCTGCATTAGGACTGGCTAACAATTCATACCTTCCCTAGGATTGGCTCATAGTTTATACCTCTCCTAGGATTGGCTCATAATTCATACCTGTGCTAGGATTTCATTGTAATTAATACTTGCTCTAGGACTGGCTGGTATCAAATTCATACTGATGATACAAAATACAAAATGTAAATGCATTAAAATAAATGACAAAATACTGCAGTCAAAAAGCATCAAAATAAAAAAACACTTTCCAGAGGAATGTGTATGAGATCATCAGTTCACTGATCATATGCATGCTTAGTTTTAGTACTTTCATAGGGAAAAAAAATATTCCAGTGTATTTCACAGGGAAAAACTGCAAGATTTAGAGCACTGTTTTACATAGTTTTGTCTTATCCTACAGAGAATGGACCGCAGCCTGAACAGGCGAGTAAACTGTAAGTATGACATCTATTTTAATGGTTTCACATAATTTGATGTAATATTCTTAAATGTGCATCATGTATTGTAGCCATACCATAGGGTTTTATTCAACATGACTTCTCATTACAACAGTAATATTTAGTGTTTTTGCTCGTGTTTGTTTTAGAACGCAAGACGAGACGAACGGAATGGATGGAGGAAGCACCACAAGACAGAGAAAAGTTGATCAGTGAGGATAGCACTGATTCGTTCAGTAAACCAGCTGTGTATCATTTAAATTAATCATATACTAACAGTTGAGGAAAATATTCTCATCCTCTTAGGTGCTGAAGTTAGTAGGGTGACGCTTTCTGAATGTGTTCTATCAAGCACCTTAACTCTGCATGTTTGCTCAGATCAAGTATATTGAGCAATACATTATATACTAATAATAACACAAACTGCATATTGTGTAAATGTTTCCAACGATATAACATCTATAAATGTGCTCTTGTTTGAAGTGTTAAATAGTGGTCCACTGGGTTCCTACACTCAAGGCGTTTTTCAAATCCAAGTACTTTCAAATATCTGGTAGAGATAATATATACAGTAGTGTGCAAAATTCTGATTTAAAATCTTAAGCAATAAGTGTGTTTTTGTTTGTAAAATCACCATACATCATTTGAATATATGCAATTAAACATAAATACAGTCAAATGTAATTGAGATAAGATTTTGTTTTTTTTTTAAAATAAAAGTAGATTATATCTGGTGAGTTACTTTGAAGAACAAAGTTTAGTTCCAGATTTGTCATTGATGCCCCCAGCTACCATACAGAATTCCATCACCAGCACACTTGATTTGACATAATGAAGTACTGATTAGTCAAACTAGGTTCTAAATGACAACTACAATCCAAAACACATTGATAAACACAAAAAAACACTACTTATAGTATTAATATATTTGTATTCATACACATGCACACACACACACACATACATATACACATACATATATCACTGTTGTCAGAACAAAACCTCATATCTACAAAATGATAACTTTACAGGACGAGGACAAAAACTTTTTTTTACTTTTAATGTAAGTCAGTGGAACCAAACTTTTTTCCAAGTCATTTTGGGCCGTTTCTTTTTGTTCCATTCATCATGACATTTAAACATAATGTAAAGGGCAATAAGCATTTTAAAATTATGTCAAGAACTAAAAAAACTAAAATGAAAAAAACATGATATGAGGTTTTGTCCCGACAGCAGCGATAGATATACATATATATATATGTGTGTGTGTGAGTATGTGTGTGTGTAACAGCAACATTAAGGGGTTAGACTGAACAATCAGTTTTCTATGTGCTTCAAATGTGCAGAATAAATACGGCCTATTGATTCCCTAGAAGGGAAGAAAAATCTAAAATGTTGAAGATTTCTAAACATAAAAAAGTGTAAGTCTGTTGGCTTTCGAGCATCTTTGCCTTAAAGCAGTGTTTTCCAATTCCAGTACTGGGGATGCCACACTATGCACGTTTTTTGTGTTTTCTTGCACACCCGATTCAACTCAACAATTAACAAGCTGATTGTGCGCTGAAAGATTTGGGAAAACACAAATGTGCAGAGCATGGCATCCGCAGGACTGATTTTGGGAACAACTACCCTAAAAAGTCATTCCTGTACAGGATTATGGCTTTTGTTTTTCCACATTCTGTACTGTCAAGCAACTTAAAATTACCAGCATGACAGCTGTGCCTCCAAAAAACAATTTGTAATATTTGCTACTCGGCAATAATATTATCAATATTAATATTATTACATTAAAATATATTAATATTTTTGAGCTATGGAAAGTGAGCAATTAATAATGGATATGGCAGTGGTTGTATGCATTTGTGGAGTATAAGCATAATAAATGCAAAGAAAGAAAATCTCTTTCTCAATGTCTTTATGCATTGCAGAGGAAAAATTAAAGTGCAGTCTTAAGCTTTGTCAAAACCTTATGTATGTTCTACACATGTTCAGAACACCTCTGAAAGGTTCAAGAAAATTACTGTTCCTAGAATTTTTAAAAGAGGAAATACTACATATTTATGGGCATAACATTATTTTGGCATTCAACTTTGCTGTGACAAAGAGGCAGTTTAAGTTTGGTTCTCAAACCGGTCCTGGACTGTCTGGCCGTGAGGAAGTCTGAGAACCACTGGTCTACACATTAAATGTAACCATATGCATAAACTTAAATAAGGCCAAGCGCAACAGGCAGTGGCATTTAATACATTTATTTACCCTTAACAGAAAGCATTCTACCACCTTTCCATACATGAGTGTCCCTTGGTTTAATTTTGTGGCTTGTTAAGCAGAAACTGCACAAGCAGCTTGAGCACACTGTCATCCCAGCCAATCACGTCTCCATCTGTGATCCTCTCGTAGAGGCGCAGGCTCTCTGTGCCCCAGCACAGGTTCTTGCGGGGGTTGTTGGGGGTGGAGAACGAGCTGAGGGCCAGTGTGTTGAGCTGATAGCAGAAGAAGGAGAAATACTGACCATCAGTGATGACGGCCTGGGACACAAACGGCCTGGACACATCCTGCTCACTCCAGAACCCTGAAGAGAACACAGAGGAGATATCTAGGGTTAGTTATGCCAGAGGTACTCCTAAAAGTAAAGGTGACAAAAAAGGTTTTCTGGAGAGAAAAATGAAAAAAAAAATTATGGTAATGACTATAATGAGCTTAACTCTGCAGCAGGCATCACATGATTGCGCTATTGAGGTTCTCATCACAGCCTTATAACCAGGGCCATTGGAAGCAGGATCATTTCAGGTTAAAAGAGGTTTCAGATTAAAAGAACCACCGGGTCATGTAAAAGTTTTATATTAAAAAGTTTTTCCTAAAGCCATACATCCAACAAAAAACCCACTGAAGACCCACTTCAGCTGACGCATTAGACGTGCATGGTCATCTCAGGTTTGTGGACAGCTGCTTCAAAATATTCTATTCTCCAAGCAAATGCTTTTTTCATTTGTGCACACCTGTGTGAGCAATAAGTTTACTGAATCCACTCATCAGAAGAAGCATCTGGGAAATTTATCAGACTAAAACACATAACAGACCACAACCTTAATAACAGAGTGCAACTCTTAATGCTTTGACGCATCCTCATTACTTAGTTTTATGGGCGTCATTTCATTTACCTACTCCAGAAATTTTTAAAGCACAGTGCCAAACAGTGTTATTATGGCCAAATATCGAGAAACAATGTGTTGCAAATTCTCATCACATCACACTAGAACTGGTAGTATTTGCTTTCATTCTTTGGATGCCATGTTAGCACTGTTTGACAAACCGTAAAGCGTAATGAAAAATATAAGATCTAAGATCTGTATAAACTCACCCTGATACATGGCTTGTGCTCCCGTCCATGCATAGAGGCTTGCAATAGCGTTGGCTCTCAAAAACACCTCGATGTGTCCAGGAAGGTTTTTCTTGTTCAGTTTGTCCCTGCGGAACTTATCAGGGACCATATGGAACTGTGTGTGACCGTAGCGGCATGGGTCTTCCAGTTTAGCACCTATGGGGGATTTAAACCATATTTATGGATTACAGCAGAGCAGAAAATGATTTTTTTAAACAATCCACAGATGTGTATCATAAACACATGCATACCTAAAAGAAAAGACATTTCATCCACAGCAGGGGTGCCACACTGGATTCCTTGTAGACTACAGCTCTGCAGACTTTAGCATTCCCCCTCATTAAACATACCCGATTGAACTCAGCTGTTTCTTAGCAACAACATCAGACAAGGGAAAACACTAATCTGTGCAGTTCTGTGGCCTGGAAGGAACCCTGTCTGACACCCCTGATCTACAGCTTGATCCCATCTTATTAATGCTGATTAATTAAACCTGTTTTCTGTGCAGCTACTGAAGCTTTTCCAAATGACAAAATCTTAATGTGAAATATCATAAGCAGCATCTTCATTACTTATGATCACAGAATTCTTACAAACCTATATAGATGTTGTTGTCATACTGTCTTCGAAACAACGGGAGGCGGTCAGGAACAAGTTGGATTACTGGGACTTCAGCAGATATTTCTGCCTCGAGTGGCACAAACTACAAGAAAATATAAATAGCATCCCATCGAACGCATATTCAAAGACACAGTGTATCTTATAATGAACGTGGTGTTTTTACTGCTACATCTTGCAGCGTTTAGATGATCTTCTGCCATTGCATTTGTACTGACACTGGCTTCAGTCAATGGACTTTCGAAAAAACAGCTGAAAAACAGTGACAGTTCTGGACAAACTCTTCTGAAAATGCATACCTCAGGTAGTTGGTGTGGTATCCTTATTTGGCTGTGAGGTTTGTCATCAATTTGAAACCTTTGTGGCTCAACTCTACCACTTCTGTGTCCTCTTGGAATAGTCCTCTCTCCATGCACCCAGTAAAAATTGACCTGAGGGTCAAAATCTGCAAAGCAAAGCAGGTTATGTTTACTGTTTAAAGACCTGACAGGTCTGTCTCAGCATTTCAACATTCTATAGCTAGAAAATTAATGTAACAGGAATGTATCAGTTCCATCTATGAGCGTGGACGTATCAGGCCAGCAGAGTTTGGCAATTTCCCCGCTCAAATATCAATACTAAAGCTGGCAAGTAACAGGTAAACTTTTGCCAAAAGTACTGGGACATCCTGAATTATTGAATCCAGCTACTTTAAGGTGCACCCACTGCTGACACAGGTGTTCAACTGCACACACAGCTTATACATTCTCCATAGAAAAGCACTGCCAATAGAATGGGACACTCTGAAACAGCTGCACATGAGCCTAATGTCACCATGTCCATTGCCAAGCCTTAGCTAGAGGTATAAAGCCCCCCAGCATCAGGCTGTGGAGCAGCAGACATGCACTCTCAGGATTCTTAGGAGTGATGGAGCTCCATCCAATACCTTTGGGAGGAGTTGGAGTGGAGTTTGCGATCCAGAACTAATCCAACATCAGTACCTGGCCTCACTAATGATCTTGTGGCTGAATGCAATCAAATCCTCACAGCCATGTTCCAGTATGTTCATCTAGTGTAGTGTTCCTAGAAGAGTTGAGGCTGTTACTGCTGCAAAGGTGAACAAACTATCCCTTGAATTTGGAAGAGCAGGTTTGACACATTGTGCTCATATGTTTGAGCAGGGAAGTCACCAAACTGTGCTGGACAGCCTCCAGGAGTGGAACTGAATGGTCCTATATTAGAACCGACAGTTCAAGAAGATTTTTAAATATACAATATGCCACCATATTTATTAGTTTTTTGGGCAGCTGATCAGTTGGAACAGAGAAAAAAGAACCAGTAGTGCTACAATTTTTAAAAATACAATCAAAAACTGTGAATACAATGATTTTTATTCAGTATTTGACCTACTGTGCTGCAGTAGATCCAGTTAAATAGACTAATTTTGCTCTCTTATAATGAAACTGACAATATGCACAATATATTCGGAAAAGCACACTGTATTGTACTGTGACATAATTTATCAGAATAACGATGTATTTTGTCATACTGATCAACTCTATTAAAACCATGAGAAACCCGTAGACTGACCTAAGCTTGACAGACGTAGCACAGGATTTGTCCTGGCCAAAGAATTAACAAGCCCAGACACTATATTGGTCACAAAGGGCCTAACAAATTGTTTCTGCTCTTCGTGAATGAACGTCCTGCCCTTCTTCATGTGCCAGTTCTCCTGCAGGAGAGCGCTGCACACCAGCGAGCGCAGCTCGGAGAGCGCAGCGTCCTCTAACTCCAGCTCCTGATGGGGCTCAGCTTCGCCGGTGAATCTGTCGGGAAGTCCGGGCAGGTACGCAGTTTTGGTGAAATGCTGGTACCACCGATCCGCTCCCTGAGCGAACGTCTGCGGATAAACGACATACTTCATCCTCTGGATGCGCGTGAGCGCTCGGATCTTCTCCTGAGGCTCCGCTCCGCGCAGCTGCTCGTAGAACTCCAGCAGCACGCGCCTCTTCGCAGACTTACTCTTAGCGCTCCGAGACGGTAAGACCGGCGGGTACAGCGGCCCCGGAGCGGCGCTCTCCGCCTGGACATTTCTGCTGGAAAGCAGGCGCGGAGACTGCGCTGAGAGAAACCGCTGCAAGGGCAGCCTGCTGCAGGCAGCCATGATTTCCCTCGTTTCCTCCTCCGCTCCTGCACATGTTGATATCAACGATACTGTTTGGAAATACTGCCCCCTGCTGACTCGGAGGAACACTTGCTAACGTTCAAAGCACGACCACGGGTGACTTCACTATACAGCACTGTGAGAAATTACGACAGTGTGATGGAAAATAATTCATGAATATTTTTATGTGATTTAATTATATTATTGGCAAAGTACTATGAGTGTGTAAGATGCAAAAGAGTTAGACCCTTATTTTGTAAATTTATCAAAGATGTGAAGTGTTCAAAATCTTTATGAAAACCTGAAACCTGTGCTCTTCTGGCATTTTTTGTATAAATTATATTAATAAATTGTAATATACACACTAAAAATGATGGCTCTTCAAGGGTTTTTTAGTAAAGAAAATGGTTCTATATAGAGCCATGAACACCCAAAGAACCCTTTGCATGATTAAAAGGTTCTTTGCATCATGAAAGGATTCTTCAGATTGATGAAGAATTATATTTTATTTATTTCTGCTTTTATTTATTTCCCCATTTATTTATTTCTGCGTTTATTCCACCAGTCTATCTATCTATATATCTATCTATCTATCTACCTATCTACCTATCTATCTATCTATCTGTTTTTTTATTTATTTATTTATTATCATCACTTTTCTGCCATTTATTTATTCACGAATTTATTTCATTTCCGTTTTGAGAATTTCCAAATTATTTATTTATTTATTTATACTTTTCTGCTATTTATTTATTTACTTATTCATTCATTCATTCATTTATAATTTTCTGCTACTTATTTATTTATTTATTTATTTATTTATTTATTAGTACGTTACGTCCTCCATACAACGTGTCTTTGATACTCCACTGAACTGTCAGTTTATTTCATACTAACGGAAAGGATTTCAGATAGTTGTTGATGTCCACATACTGCACCGTGGAAATCACAGAGAGTTTTAACGCCCGTAAGGATATTTTTAAAGCATCAGTGCTGATATGAGTGTATTAACCTTAGTACTACGTGACATTTGATCGAAATGATTATATGTGTCATTGCCCCTCAGGACTAAACTGGTGGTCCCCACGTGGTGCTGTTCCGTAAACTGGCTCTAGGGCTGTTTCTCCTGCACTGAGCTGTATCGCCAGAACAGCGCATGCGCGGAGTGAACGGACGCTTCTCTGGAGTGAAACGTTAGTAAAGTGCTGCAATGACAGCGAGGACTGTTTTACACACCCGACGTTGGCTGGCTTTTGTCTCCAGTTTAGACCGCCGTGCTGTGATCGTGCAGGTGTTTATATTACTCCAGTTTTGTGAGGGGGTTATGTGCGTTCAGGTTAGCGAGTTAGCAAGCTAATTCTGCTTGTAGCCTAACTTGGTGAGCAGCATAAGGTCAAAGTCTTCAGCGTTCCTGGTTTGATAAATGTAGCTTGTTTCTTTCTTTCTTTCTTTCTTTTGTCTATCTGTCTTTTTTAGAAACACTGCATGTCTACACATAATGACGAAGTGCGCTTGGCCGAGGAAGCCAGCAAGAAATATGGCAGTCCTGCACCAACTATATTCTCCAAAATCATTGATAAAAGTATTCCTGCAGATGTATTTTTTGAGGATGACAAGGTGATTTTTTGTTTGCTACAGAAACATATATAACCATATAAACTGTGGACAGACCCTCAGTAAATATCAGAGTACCTTTCAAGATTTTATCAGCTCCACTTACTATTAAAGGTACATTTTATAGTTCTACAATTACAGACTGTAGTCTGTTGTTCTGCATACTTGGTTAGCCCCCTTTCCATGTACTTCAATGGTCAGGACCACCACAGAGCAGGTATTATGGATGGTGGAAGGTGGTGTGTTACTGTGTGTTGTGCTGGTACGAGTGGATCAGACACAGCAGTGCTGCTGGAGTTTTTAAACACCTCATTGTCACTGCTGGACTGAGAATAGTCCACCAACCAAAAATATCCAGCCAGTGATCCACCACCCAAATGATACCTGCTCTCTGGTTGTCCTTTGGGGGTCCTGATTAATGAAGAACAGGGTGAAAGGAGGCTAACAGAAATAGACAGAAACAGATGGACTACAGTCTGTAGTTGAAGAAGTACAAAGTGCACCTATATGGTAAGTGGAATTGATAACATGGACAAAGAGTGTAGAAACAAGGAGGTGTAATAAATGCATTAGGCCATATATGTAAGACTAACTCCTATGGAAATCAGGAGTAGAGTGCATTTGGAGTATTACCATCTGTTAAACTTGTGAACCCAGTGATGCAAGCTGCAGTGAAGTGCATTCCAATGATGCTGATTGCTGTAACATTTCTTTCAGTGTCTAGCTTTCAGAGACATCAGTCCCCAGGCCCCTGTGCATTTTCTGGTTATTCCAAGGATTCCCATTCCAAGGATCAGTGAAGCACATGATGATGATGCACTGGTTTGTCTCTCTGCTTTCTCTTCCCTCATTATGTTGTGTTATCTCACTCTGAGGAGAATCTCAATATGCTAATATTTTCCTCTGCAGCTCCTTGGTCACCTTTTGGTGGTTGCTAAAAACCTTGCAAAGAAAGAGGGATTGGGTGAAGGATACCGAATTGGTATGTTTTAATAACCGAATTGATCATTCATTTGCATAATATTTTTACATTTTGGCCTACATTTACAAATACATCTAATAAATGTAAGCTAACAGAATGTGTGTATTCATTGCAGTGATTAATGACGGAAAACATGGGGCTCAGTCTGTATACCACCTACACATCCATGTGCTTGGAGGGCGACAGATGCAGTGGCCTCCAGGATAGATGGACCATTTGGCAAATGTTCTGTATTATTTAGCAGTGGTGATTATTAATTAATCACAAGTAAATGAATTCAGAGTTAAGTGAATCAGGAACGACAAAATAGAGATGAGAATACAAGGAGGAATACCAGTTTAGTTGGAAAAACTTATCTTCTGGCCAATATAACTCAATAGCAATAAAGAAAGGAACCTCAAAAATAGGTAATAAAGACACTAAGAGTGTAAATAATTTTTGACAGCAGTAAAATTTCCATATATTTACTCCAGGCCATTTTTGTCCTTCGCATTTCCACTGCTTAAACTGTTTCAAATGACTTTATTGTATCACAGAAAACATGGGCCAGTTTCCCAGACCCAGATTAAGGCTAAGCCTAGCCAAAGCAGAATTTCCAAAGTTGATTTTCAGTTAACACTGCAGTTAAGTCCAAGACTAGGCCTAATACATATCTAGGAAACTGAATCATGCTGAAATAAATAGTATTGGTTATTTGATTTAAAGAAAATGTTCTTTATGGAACCAAAATTGGTTCTTCTCTTATCCAAACTTTGTTAGACACTTTTTCAGTGCAGTCTAGTGTGTGGACTTCATGTCCACATTCAGTAACAACTTTCTGTTTTTTATTTTTTCTTTACAATATTACTGTCAGCTGTCATATGTATTGTGAACATTTTGTGATAAATTGTTCCCAAAGTACATGGAATAAAATCTTGTTACATTAGCATACAGTAAAATTAAGAAAACTTCTTTCCTGTTTCTTTGATAAATGTGCCTTTTTCAGAGATACAAGGTTTACATATGACAGCAGTTATATCTTGCTTCTGCAAACTGTAGTAGCTTTAGGTGTGGATCAGACATTTAGTCATCCCCAAACAGCAACAAAAAATCTGAAGATCCAGTTGAAGCTGCATTAAATGTGTATTCTAGCCTGTTGTTTCTGATGTCCTGGGCTTTTGTCTTCCTTCTTCCTTTGTTGTGGACACCCACAGTCCTCTGCCACACATACAGGTCTATACACCAATTTTACCACTGAGGTATTGTTTGCTAACAGTATGAGCACTATTACATTGATAACTGATAAATGTGCCCAGTAGAGGTTACATAGGCTTTTACACTTTTCTGCTCTTTTCCAGAGTCTGGCGGTTTTGGTGTGGGTGGTAATAGGTGGCAGCATTTACTCCCGTCAGTTATGTTTTTCTAGCTGAATAGTGGGCATTACCAGTTACATGCACTCCTGTGCCCACAGAAACTGTAGTGCATCCAGTAATCCAAAAATAGCATGGAGTCCAGACAAGCTAGACAGAGTGTCTAGCTTATTTGACATTCAATTCATAACCTGCTGAACCAGATTTCAAATTAAAGTGGTGGTGTGATCAGGTGACCTTGATAAGTAGGATTCGGACAACACTGTCATGTAAGGTTCTGTTTATAGTAACTGGACTTTTCATCGTTGTTTGCTAAACTGCCAGGTTTAGAGCAGGCTGTCAAATATAGCCCTACTGTCCTGACCAGATTTTCCAATGTCCATCACAGAAAAGTAGAAAAAAGAGGCCATTAACACAAAATACCTCTAATACTTCCAAATACTGGAATGGAGTCTATTGTGGCTGAAAATAAACTTCAGCACAATTTAAATGTATACATTACTTGAGTTTTATATAAACTATATAAACTAACTTATATAAACTGTAAACTCCAAAAGGAATAATCTTCTGATCAGCTCAAGGCTGCACTATGTAACAGCAGTTTTATCAGCATATGGGTGTTTCCTCTTTAATGCATATCTGTCTTACACAACACTTCTTGCAGATAAATAGGATCAATATTTATAGTATTTATTGATTATCTTAATCTCAAATAGCATGATGACTTTGTATGGATTTGTTTCAAGATGTGAAGTTATATGCATATAATCAGTTAAAATGGATTCAGGATGTAAATGTCAATTCTGAGTACTGTTAAAAATAGCCAGAGGCCTAAATAAATAGGAAGTGTAACATTGAAATAACATGTAAATGAGTACACGTTTATCCTGGATGCAGGAAGTTTGATGAATTGATGAACACCCTTGTGCTTTTACCAAAGAATCCCTGAAGGTCAAATGATATTGCACCATGGAATTATTTATTTATTTATTTATTTATTTATTTTTTCATAATATGACTGATACGGTTTATTTGCTTGTTTGTTTTTTTATTCTTCACAAACAGTAACAGTGCGGTGTATAATTATTTACAGAACACAAACTGAGCACAGACAGCAAATACAAGATACAAGCAAGTACAAAAAAATAACATTAATAAGCAAAATAAATAAATTAATAAATTAAATAAAACATAGAGGTCTGCTTACCGAGCAATATTCATAAGTTTAAGCTCCGTGGATATTTGGCTGAGGCTTGTGAGTGTAAAACTCGAGCCAATCCTCGTGTAGGATGACTGGTCGTGATCCACTATTAGCCAATCGAAATGCAGGAGGCGGGCCATGGCGGAATACGGTTGGGAAAAAAATGAAGGCCCCCTACATTCACACCCAGGTTCATCGTTATTACCTGTTTCACGTGACACGTTGTATTAGTCCTGAATTGGTTGTGGCTTCGAAAGGAACTGTGATCTTTTCACAGTCTTTCTCCTGAACTTCGGAGGCTGAACGTGAATAAAGAGCACAGCTCACATAGCTTGGAGTCAACGAACAAAACGAAGAGCCACTATATTTCAAGATAAAGCAAAAACGTCTGCCTACTGTACTACCTGTAAGTAGCGCATCTTAAATTTAATGTTCACAGCTGGGATCGTAGGTACATTACGTTTTTACATAGAGGTAGGCTAGACTTTGCTTGGTTAAGGGAAAGTCATTCACAGAAAATAATAAATAGTACGTTTATAATAAATAGGAAACAGCATGTCCTCGAAAATATTAAATTTGTATGTACGTGAGGTTATGATGATAATAACAGATATGTCATATCATATGTTTACGTCCTAATCACTAGTGTTAGTATAAATAGTCTCAAGTATAGTGCCAGCAGGTTGCTATAGTAGGAAACAAACAATAAAAGTCCTTAAGAAATGAGCTTGTTTTCTTCAGATGGCCAAGCAATAAACTTGGCACTGATAAGAGGGGTCATGATGTGATTCAGGCCATGTCAGATATCACTGCACTTAGAAATCAAAGCCAAAGCTGGTTGTTTTTGCTCTGTATTTTGGCTTCAGGGATGTTGTAGAGGTTCTGGTTTGCCTGGTTTCCAGGGGTGATATTCACAATCAATCTCAGAATAGCACAGCAGATCCAGGATCAGACTTGCTACACTCTTTACAGACATCAGTCACTGTGTGCCACTCTTGCATGGAGATGCTTTGAGAATATCATACCAGGTGTGCCAGTGCAGTCCGCTGGCCGTATGATTAACATAAATGTACATGAAGGAATAGATCTGTAACATCTTTCATCGTCTTGCATCATCAAAAGATGATGGGGCAGCCAAGAAACCTAAGAGGGCTATTTGTATAATTACACTTCTGATATTTTAGTTTACTTTGCTCACACGTTATGTGGTCCAAGGCACGGGCTAGTTTGCCAGTTTTTGCGTAACTGTGTGTAAAGGTTCACTTGAGTGCAGACCCAGGCCTACATGTTGCCACACCAGTGTTGTAACTATGAACCTTGTCCTTTTGGCCTCTTTCATTGATGATACTAAAGTGGGTTAGAGACCCACTACGCTGGGATTTAGTCACTAAACCAATTGTAAAAAAAATGAACCTTCACTATCTGAAGCATAGTCAAATACTATGCTTCATAATAAACACTCCTGGTCTTGTTGAATTGCATTAGCTATAGGCTACCCTAGATGGCACCAGAGGTTAGGGATTATGTTTATCATGAACGAAGTACAACATGAAGATGAACTACTTTTAAACAGTCTCATCACTTTAAGTCTTCTGTCCTTCACGCTGAATGGTGATTCGGTAAGAAGATATGGATGAAAGGCAGTCTGTTGACTTTAAAACATACTGTTCCAGGTATCACCTGCTTTCATCACTCTTCAAATCCAGACTTGTTATTGGCACGTTTAACACAGACTTTCAGTGTGTTGCAAGATCATGGTCTCATATAAAGGGTACCAGTTGAGTTCAGAGAACTAGTTTTGGGGACTTAATGGGGATATATTACGGTGCAGGGAGCTCTGCGTCTAGTCAATCTTAATAACCCATTCTAAAAATTAAGTCTGTGCTAACTACTTATTTAATCTCATTTTTTTTCTTATTATTATTCTTTTTATTATTATTATTATTATTATTATTATTGTTGCTTTTCTTCTCTGTTTTTAGGAATTTGTTAAGAACTTCACGTGATATCTGTCAGTGATTGTGGGTGTTTCAACTACCATTCCAAGGGAATTCACGCCATGGAAAATAATGCTGAGAGGTATGTTCAATCCCAGTGTAGCTTTTGTCTTCTCATTCCTGCTTAACAACAACTAAAGAAATAACATGGATTAGATGTCACGTGTTTGTCTCCAAGTAGGCATTGGTGTTCATGTTCTTTTGTTGCTCTCCTACTAGTTTCCCAAAGGTATCTGGCCCTATAAAAGCACAGCTTAACGGCAGGTGTCTAACTTCTGTAATTGCTAACGATAACATGAACCACATGGGCAGCAAGGTACAGGAGGTCTCCTCAGCAGATGATTCTGGGATTGACAGTCCATCTGTAGATGCAGATGCTGAGCTTTCAGAAGAGGTGAAAGGTTTATCGCTGTCGGATTTTACCGTCACATTTGAGGGGGCATCTCCTGGGAGTTTTGAAGAGGCTGTGAAGGCTTCAGGAGGAGCCAGCAAGATCACAGGTAAGATCAGATGATTTCCGCTGAAGGATGTGGCTTTAATCTGTTGCATTTCAAGGTCAGTAGCAAGCAAGCACTGACCTTGTCTTAGAACAAGATCTAGGTTAGATACCCATGGTATCTGAACTGCTAGTGGGTTGGTTGTATTGGCTAGTGTATAATTCTGGAGGTAGATATATTTGAACTGCAGAACTGTACAGTCCCATTAATATGTAAGATTCAGTTCCATAATTTGACTAATCTTGTTTGTTTCACCACAAGGGGACTGTTTCTTTTCCTACTTTGGCTTTCAAGCAGCAATTACCATATTTCTTTTCACAAACAGAAACATGATTGGTGCAATTTGACATTTGATAGCCTGTCAGTAACCTAGGCTATCTTCTTTCTAGTTAGGTGTCCAGTTCTTTAGAATTGCTTGAGTCCATGAAACAGTCAGTGTAATGGCTGAATGGAAGGATAGATGGAAGGATACTGTGTCACCTTGAAAGACTTCATAAGCTTCATTTTTGACCCTATTTTATTGCATTTCTCAAAAACCTTACTAATCATGCTGACTCTTTGTCCTCACTGTTGTCCTGGGACACCAGAGGAAGCACCTATCCCAGTTACAGGTGATGTCTGCCTGGCTCCGGCCGAGCAATACTGGAGCGCTGAACGGGAGAAGGCAGTGAAGCTGAAGATGGCTGAGTCAGGTCCAGGCTCTGAGCCTCCACTCACAGTCCATCAGATGTTCCAGGACACAGTGGATAAATTTGCCGATCACCCAGCCCTCCGGTGGAAGAAAGACGGCGTCTGGCTCACATTGACCTACACGGAATACCAACAGCAGTGCCGAATGGCAGCCAAGAGCTTTCTCAAGGTACTTAGATTGATATACATATATATTTACGTATATGCATAAATTTGCATAGAGACGGGGTGCATGTAATTTTGTCAGCCTCTCAAACTATTAGCAAAGTGCATCTATATTGTGTGGAAGTTCTTTAAAATTTAAAACAGTTCTTTATACACACACATCCGATTCCCAAAAATGGTTCTTTAAAGCAGTGGTTCTCAAAGTGGTCCTCAGGGAGCCACAGATGGTCCAATGTTTGCTCCAACCCTACTGGTAACATATGGGGATGGAGCAAAAATGTGGATCAACTGGGGGTCCTTGAGGACCTGTTTGAGAGTCACAGCTTTGAAGAACCAACCAGGGCCAGGTTTCCAAAAAGGATCTTTAAGTTAAGATCATCATAACTAGTAGAAAATGTTCACTGTGTTCACTGTGAGGCTCGCTCTACCATGTAAGAATCATCTTTGTGCTTAGATGCTTTTGGGAAACCCAGCGCAGTTCTTTAGATAAAAGTGGTTCTTCTGGCTTTGCTCCACGGAACCTTTTTTGGCACCTTTTCTTTTAATAGTATAGTAGTCTGATACCTATCAAATACATGCTTTGGATGATGATGCTTCACCAAAACTCCTTTTTTATTCTTAGACTTTCTTATTTCTGTTTATAGAAAGCTGTTAAGCTCAGTTGCTTTCTATGAGGTTGCTTTTTATGCCAGGTATGATGAACATAATGATACATACATACAACCCCATTTCCAAGAAAGTTGAGACGCTGTGCAAAATGTAAAAAAAAACAAAATTCGATGATGTGCAAATCATTTAAACCCTATATTTAATCGAAAATAGTACAAAGATAACAAGTCAAATGTTGAAACTGAGAATTTTCATTGTTTTTTTTTTCAAATATATGCCCATTTTGAATTTAAGGCCAACAGCACGTTCCAAAAAAGTTAGGACGGGGGCATGTTTACCACTTCATCACCTCTTCTTTAAAAAAGGTTTGGGACCTGAGGAGACCAATTGCTATACTTTTGAAAGTGAAATCTCTTCCCATTTTTGCCTAACATAGAATTTCAGCTGCTCAACAGTTCTGGTTTTTGGCCTTGTCCCTTGCGTACAGAGATTTCTCCAGATTCTCAGAATCTTTTGATGATATTATGTACCATAGATCATGAAAAGCAAACGTTCTTTGCTATTTTATGTTGAGAAACGTTATTCTTGAATTGTTGCACATTTTGATTGTGTAGTCTTTCACAGAGTGGTGAACCCCTCCTCCTCATCTTTACTTCTGAAAGATCAGCCTCTCTGGGATGCTCATTTTATACCCAGCCATGTCCTTGACCTGTTGCCAATTAACCACCAGGTGTTTTTTCAGCATTACACAACTTTACCAGCCTTTTGTTGCCCCCGTCCCAACGTTTTTGAAATGCGTTGTTGGCATCAAATTTAAAATGGACAAATGTTTTCAAAAAACAATTAAACTTCTCAGTTTAACATTTGATATGTTGTCTTTGAAGCATTTTCAATTAAATGTAGGATTTGAATGATGTGCACATCATTCCATTTTGTTTTTACTTACATTTTTCACAGCATCCCAACTTTTTTAGAAATGGGGTTGTAATTATATGTAGGACATACCTTAGAAATGACATTACAGTTGTATAAACACTATATTAGATTCCAGACTTTATTGCCTGCTTTGGGTATGGAGTGTTCAAATCTCCAGTTTGACACAGAATAGTTTAGTCTATCTAAATACGACCGAAAATATCATCTATATATATGCCTGTTATCTGTATATATCTGTATATGTAACAAGGTGTGTGTGCACACTTAGCATGTGTTTGTCCTGTATTTGTATCTGTAGTTGGGGTTGGAACGTTTCCATGGAGTCGGTATTCTGGGCTTCAATTCTCCTGAGTGGTTCATCGCAAACATTGCCTGTATCATGGCAGGGTATTTTGGAAATTCTGTTTATATATTTAATGTTCTATGTTCATTCTTATCTATAGTGATTTGCAGGTTAAGCAGGTTAAAAAATGAGGAAACTGCATGATGTAATCAATGGTAAAAGTATACAAGATCTGATCACTGTTTGTTCTCCAGAGGACTCGCTACTGGAATCTACACTACCAACTCTCCAGAAGCCTGCCAGTATGTAGCTCATAACAGTGAAGCCAACGTTTTGGTTGTGGAAAACAACAAGCAGCTTGTGAAAATCCTCCAGGTAGATAACTGATGCCTTAATTACATTAGTTAGATACATTAATTAGTTTGAAAGACCTGCTACTGGGCCCCATTTCACAAATCTACAAGTGTTACATGATGTGAAGAGGTGCAGTTCTCACTCTGAAAAATCTCCCTAACAATTAAGACAATCAAATCCATGATGCCTTCTGTTTCTTAGCAACCCTTCCAGCCTTAACTCAGTTTATTATGTTACTTGTTGTGTTATGCAGCATTCGTCAGCATTATTTTCCACAGCCTCATCTAATCTTCTAATCTAGCGAGTCATTTCTGTCATTCGAGTAATCAGTTCTCTCCATTGTAATGATTTGAAGGTAGTTAACTGCCACACATCATCAAAAGAGGGTTTGCCTACTCTTTAAACTTGAACATATCACTGTAGAGATAACTGCGGCATTGCTGTAGGAGACGAGTAGACACATTTACAACAGATGTGGCAATTATTATATACAATTATTATATTTTTACAATTATTAATTATTACAATTGATTATTGTAATAATTGTATTATTACAATAATACAATTATTATATTTTTTATTTTGGCCAAAGTGTCTCTTTAAAGTTGCTGTTTTCTTTTTTCTACTTTAGGTGAAAGACCAGCTTCCACATTTGAAGGCAATTATTCAATACAAGGGTGAACTGGAGAAGAAAATACCAAATGTGTATACGGTAGGCCTCCACCTCTAATTATAGGGCAGTTCCACCAAAACTTGTTTTTGATTGTCTGCCTTTATATCATAAAAGGCTTTGACCTTCAAGCCAGGACAAAGATAATAAGTGTTCTTCCTGGTTTTAACCTTGTCAACTTTTGGCAAGTATGCAGACAGACTGAAAAAGTAGGGGTGGGATTTCATTTTAATATATGAGATGGCTTAATTAATGGCTGCCCCAGTGTGAAGACATTTTTAAATGTGATCTGTTTTTTCAGTGGGCTGAGTTTATGAAGCTTGGTGAAGGGGTTTCAGATGCTGAGTTGGATGAAGTGATTAAAAGCCAAAAGGCTAACGAATGCTGCTCTCTTATCTACACCTCTGGAACTACGGGAAACCCAAAAGGAGTCATGCTCAGTCATGATAATGTGAGTTAATTTGTGACCCTGAAATAAACAGGGTTTTTATTAAAGAGTATCGAACTGGCCTTTTACATCACATTGTTAGTATTGACATTAGAATAGGTCGATTAGACACCTGTGAAGAAATCTGTGTATTTAGTGAGTTGGACTTTCACAAAAAAGCTATATAAAAGTGAAACTTGGTTAGATGTTCTAGGCCATGTTAAAAATAGTAGCTCAAGGTTAATCAATACAAATGCCACCTTTTTGCCCTTCTCTGGTCAGATCACATGGCTCTCGAATGCAGCGGGTCTTATGGCCAGTGTGAACATGGCAGAGGCGTCTTTGGTGAGCTACCTGCCCCTCAGTCATGTGGCAGCCCAGATCAACGACATGTGGATCTCCTTGAAGTTTGCTGGAACTACCTACTTTGCAGAACCAGATGCACTGAAGGTTAGCGCTGTCTTCATTTATGAAGTAGTCTGATGTTTTTCTTCCTGACAACAAAAATAAAATGAAAGAAAACAAAAGGATTCTTTAAATTGATGCCATAGAAGAAACACCTTTGGTTCCCTAAAGAACCCTTCAGTGATATGGTTCACTAAAGGGCCATTTTGTTAATGAGATGTTTGAGTATGAAGCACCTTTTTTAAATGCTTAGAGACTTAGAGGCTTAGAGACAATATGGAAAGTTTCTAAGCTTGGAACCATTTAAGAGCATTTAATTTTAGACAGAAAGCAGTAACAGTGGCGTAATTCACTGGCTTTGGTTAGACTCTTACTGTGATTGCTTGGTAATTAATAGTTCTGATTATTATATCCTGATAAAAATATGCATCTTGAGACGTGATGAAGAAGCCTATTTAAGTCTGCATGTATAAATATCATACTGTAAGTTTATTACTGATGGTTATGTGCTGTAATAATTAGAACCTGGATATTGTGCTTCTCTAGGGTTCTTTGGCCCACACTCTGAGAGAAGTGCGGCCTACGGCCTTTCTGGGAGTTCCACGCGTGTGGGAGAAGATGCAGGAAGCGATGAAAGCCGTCGGTGCAAATTCTTCCGTCATGAAGCAAAAAATTGCTGCTTGGGCCAAGGGTATAGGACTTCAGGCCAGCTATAATGCCATGAATGGGTGTGTATTCTACCAACACTCCTCCTGGAGATCTACTTTCCTGCAGAGTTTAGTACCTGTCTGCTTTTAACATGCTACCCTGTGTGCTCCCAGGGTTGGTGGCCACGGCTTTAGACAAATTAGTAGTTCATAGATTCAGAACTAGTTTAGATTTCAGCCTAAAGCAGTTTAAATTCAGGGCTAAACTGCTATTGGCTGAATAAGCAGCTATAATATAAATGTGTCACAAAAACAATGAGTTGAAAATGAACCGTTTTTGCTGCTTATTATTAGTATCTGGGCTGTATGGACTGGGGAGTGAATGCTTCATGTTGCCAACTGAGGAAATTTTCATAATATTTCCAATTTCCATGATGTGAGCCCTTTAAAGTGCTATTGTGCTTTTTAAAAATATGTTTTATGTCTTTCATTTTCAGATATAGCAGACTTGTCTTTATTTATATGTTGTTATATTTAGTTTTAATCTCCCCATTAAGGCCACTTTGTGAGCACCTACTCTACATAAATAAATTATTATTACTCAAAGCTGAATCTGAATGGCTAAATGCTCCTGTGCTTTGTTTCCCAGGGATCCCTCTGTGCCCTGGGGCTTCACGCTGGCTAATAATCTGGTCTTCAAGAGAGTGCGCGCTGCTCTTGGGTTGGACCGCTGTAGGCTCTATTTCACAGGCGCTGCTCCCATCACCAAGGACACGCTGGAGTACTTCATGAGCCTCAACATTCAATTGCTTGAGGGGTATGGCATGAGTGAGAGCACGGGACCACACACCATGTCCTGCACCAACTGTTTCCAGATCATGAGGTCAGCTCTGTTCTCTTTCTGTAGTGACTGCATATTGTTTTTGGTTTGGGTTTTACATTGTACATTGTTTTAAGTTAGCATAGGTGTTGCCTGTCTGGTCTTGTGCAGCTAAGAGTCATTGACAAGAGCTTTATCATAACAAATAGAGAAAAGCAGGTAACAGTATACTGCAGGGCAGTGTTTATTAGGCTACATGACACCTACATAACCCCTTCATGACATACACCTACTTAAACATTTATAAAAGCTTATTCCAATAGACGTCTTTGTTATGAAGGATGCACTTGACAGCTCTGATGATGAAGTTCACATAACATCTATGTAAGATGACTTGTTTTTTTCTAATTTTAGGTTTTGTCTCGGGTGTAATGACATAGAGTTTCTAGCTCAGTGTATGTCACAGTGGCATAATGCTAATAATATGACATAACTTGCCATTCAGGCCAGGTGTGCATTTCTGAGGCCCTTAAGTAATGTGAGTTTCGTTTTAGTAGTTATACGATTTCAGCCGTGTCACAAAGGGTCATGACCCGACCCAGTGTCAGAAAAATAGGTCACCTGATATAAGTATTATGTCAAATTTGATAAAAACAGCCTTAATAATAGACGACGCCTATTACAACTAGCCTTTATAAATATTTGTCAGTTCATGATGAACTTGTAGGTGTCATGTACCTTATGAACACTTCAGTAAAGTGTTACCGAAAACATGAGTTTAAGACCAAATGGTAGATTCACAGATTGATCCACAACAAACAAGTGTATCCAGGATGTGGATTCACAATTCCAGTATGATCCTACAGCTGCGGTAAGGTGATACCAGGCTGCAAAACCAAGCTGGTCAAGCCAGATGCTGACGGAAATGGGGAAGTTTGCTTCTGGGGGCGGCATGTTTTCATGGGCTACCTGAACATGCCTGACAAAACCGAGGAGGCGCTGGACTCAGAAGGCTGGCTGCACTCAGGAGACCTTGGAAAGCACGATAAAAATGGCTTCCTGTACATTACAGGCAGAATAAAAGGTAGGTTTTAGTCTAAAGCAATAAGAAATTCATTAAGAGGCTCAAAGACTAGACTGACAAGAAGAGACAGGTGATAGTATTGAGTGTGTCTGAAATAAAGATTAAGTTTACTAATGTTTGACTTACATAGGACCATAAAGCGCCCATAGGACAGCCTACCTACTGCACACACAAGGCACAGTGAAACAACAGAACTGTCAACAAGCTCGAAACAAAAGTAAAATCAAAGTTTAATGATAAAGACACAGCTGTGTTGATAAATAAAGTTCTTTCCCCCTAAAGCATTCCACATAAACACATAAAGCTTGCGTGTATTGCTGCTACATCATAGCGCATTTTGTTCTGCACCTTTTCATAAACATACTTCTGATCCTGAGCTCTGAAATAATGTTTCTTTTGGTAAATATTGTTTGAGCATATTATCAAGGCTACCATTGTCAGATTAAATCTCCTACTAACAGTCCTTTGAAACATGGTAAACTTATCCTTGATGTTAGAAGTCATTTTAAAAGCAAAATACATGTAAAACTGACCACTGCAAGTTGCTCAAACGTTAGTAAATTGAGCAGAATATGTAATTAGCCACAGATCCAAGAAGCCTGCCAATTTTCTGCACAATCCTCACACTTTTTTTTTGCACAATCCTCATTCAAATACATATGCATGAAGAAGAGAAGTGCATTTTGCATTTTTCCACGCTCTTGACCTATAAACTATGTGTTTAGGCTTTTCTGCCAGTTTTATACAAAACACACAGGCAAGATAAACTTGAGATAAACTTGGATGATAGAAAAATGGTAGTAAATTGCTGCTAGCTTATCATTTAGAAACGAAGGAGCAGGAATACACTGAAACTCAAAATGTTTGTTGTATGTATTTCATAGAACTGATCATCACTGCTGGAGGAGAGAACATCCCGCCAGTCCCCATCGAGGATGCTCTTAAAGAGGAAGTGTCCATCATTAGCAATGCCATGTTAGTGGGAGACAGAAAGAAATTCCTGTCCATGCTTCTCACTCTGAAAGTAAGGCAGTCCACCATTTGCCCTTTACAGCTTTACATCTTTAAAAATAAAGGTGCTGAGAGGGGTTCTTTGAAGCATTACATAGAAGAACCACTTTTGTTTCTTTGAAGATCCTATAACTGGATGGTCCTTTTAAAGATATCTTTTTTTAAAAGTGAGATGCGCGAGTGTAAAGAACCATTTCAAAGGATTAAAAAAGCTTCTATATAATATAAAGATTCTGTACCACTGAGATTTTTGTAGAATGGTACGTCCAATCAAAGAATCATTGAGGAATGCAGTGTACTTTCAAAGGATTGCTTCAACAAAAATGCTAATAGTAACTGAACACTAGGGGTACAGTAGTAGCATTCTGGATTAAATACAGTACTGAGCAAAGGTCAGAGACTACCCCTCATTTATTTTTAATTTAGCTCTTTAATTTTAGCTCAGTTGTTAGGAGTCCAGTTTTCTTTGTATCTTTTAATATTTTTTTGAGCTCCAGTTTTGGAAACTCACTTGGATTGTCTTCTGTCTCATTTCCTCAGAAATGTCTCCTGAAAATAAGTAACTTAACGTGGAAATTAAATAAGTGGTCACTGACATCTGCACAGTACTGTATTACTAAGGCAAAAGGCCAAACACTATTATTTACAAGATTGAAGCCAAAGTTTTTGGAGTTATTTTGCTAGAGATTTTCAAATAATGAAGTAAAACATCTTGTATTCCTCAGTGTCAGGTTGATGAGAACGGAGATCCCACAGATAAGCTGAGCCCACTGGCTGTGCAGTTTTGCCAGCAACATGGAGTCACCGCCAGCAAAGTGTCTGAAATCATCAACAACAAAGAGCCAGCCATTTACAAAGCCATCCAGGAAGGTGTAGACAAAGTCAACGCCAAGGCCACTTCCAACGCTCAGAGGGTTCAGAAGTGGATTCTCCTACCGCAGGACTTCTCCATATCTGGGGGGGAGCTTGGTAAGGTTTTTTTTCATGTTTTCTATTCAAAAATGTGTACGACTGAGCCTGTGAATATTAAATAACAGAAGCATATTTTGTAACAATATGCCTCAACTTAGGTTGCGCTGGCGTCTCTGCAGTTTGTTATTCTAGTAACAAACAGGGTGTTTTATCTAAAAGTACGCTTGGTGTAAACATTATACTTGCCAAAACGCCCTCACTGTTGTTTAAAGAAGGCATTTACTGAACTGTAACCCAAGAGTGAGACTGAAATAGAAGGAGAATTTCACTGACGCAGAAACGCTGTTAGACAAAAGTATACTGAAAATACTTTACTGTGAAAATATGTGAAAGAATGTAACAGTCTAAAAAAAGTTTCTATACATATTCACCTTTTAGGAAGTAGCAAACTGCAAAACGTAGATCAACTGAAACATGGTGATTCTATATATACCACAGTGAAGAAAAAAGGTTAATTTGTAGTGGAGTTGTTGTTGTTGTTGTTGTTGTTGTTGTTATTGCCATTATTATTATTATTATTATTATTATTATTATTACTACTACTACTACTATTACTACATACTGCTAAATCAATTCTGGCTCCTGGCAAGCAAATACAGTTGTGTTTCTCTGAAATATCTTGTATTCTCTGCTTAATTCAGAGAATTCCTCTAATTGTCTCCATATATGTTGTTGCTGCCTGTCCTCTTCCTTCTTTACCTTTAACTGTTCCAAGCTTAAATGTCTTGTCCAGTGGATATGAGTCCAAAATAAGAGACATCAGTTTGTTTATCTCTGTTTTGAGTTAGAGATAAGGCTTGATTTGGTCAAGGATCTGTTTCTTTTTCTTTGCCATCAAGACACAGTTAGGTCTGAAATGTATTACTTAGTAAATGTCTTCAACACAATTTGTTTTATACTATTGAAAGCAGTGACTGAGCGTAAAATGTTTATTTTAGTAGGAATCACTCACTGATTCTTTTTTTTTTTTTACTAGGTCCCACTATGAAGCTCAAGAGGCCAGTTGTCACAAAAATGTACAAAGAAGAAATTGACAAGTTTTATGGGGAATAAACCATCATAATGTTGGACTTTAACCTGAAGGTGCAGTGTGTAAGAATTAGGGGCATCTTTGGCAGAAATGGAATCTAGTATACAAAACCATGTTTTCATTAGTGTATAATTACCTATAACAATGAGTCATTGTGTTTTTGTTAGCTTAGAATGAGCCCTTCATATCTATACCGTAGCGGTCCTCTTCCAACATGTTGTCCTGCCATGTTTCAACAGTAGCCCAGAGTGGACAAACCAAATACTGGCTCTAGAGAGTGCCTTTCACGTTTTTGCATTGAAGTGGCTGCTGGTGTTGGCCAACCATGTTGTATCGTGAGAAGTTTGAGAAACCAAATTTTGAGAAATGGAGGATCATACTTATTATTTAGCACAAGAAAAAGCAAGGGAGGGTGAATCCTCACCATCAAAGAAGCGAAAACCTGAAGAACAAAACGAAATCAGGACACACGACAGCAGAAAACATAAGGCCACCATAGTACTACTACTAGATGCTTGGAAAGAAGATGGTGAAGGAGGGGCACTTGGTTGCAATCTGCAACTTCATCACTGGATGCCACTAAATATTACACACTGCTCCTTTAAGAGTGTGGTAAACTGGACAAATACATCCCTGTCTAGTTAGGTTTGAGTTGCTCAAACGTATCAGGTTTTGCTCACTCCATCTCACAGACAGCTAACAGAACGCTGTTCAGCTGTCAGTGTGTGTACATAGCACTTAATGATGAAAGCACTTTTTGTACATAATGGGCTCAATCATAGCCATAGCTGGCACCCACAACATTGCACTAATCTGTGTTAACTATGTTGTATCTATAGCAAACATTTGCTAATTTAACTGCTGGACCAAAGTGCTTTAATATTGTCTTATGTCACTTGATAACTGCCACTGTTGGCTATTTGATAAATGATTACACTACATATGAAACTATAGGTAGGTTTATATCACTCAAAACCTACAGATAAAATCTAGAATGTGTTATTATTGAAGTCATGCTAACTCATTAGCTGAAGTTTATTGTTAGCCATTTCTGCACTTACAGCTGATCTGAGCTCAGACTTGCTGTTTGACTGAGATGTAAGGAATCTAATAGGACATCAAATTTGCTCCGTGTGACAGTTAAGCGTCTCAAAGTAGTGCAGTAAGAAAACAGCCTCAGGAGTGACCGCGTTTCTCTAGTCACAGTTCAAAAGCAAAAGTGCTATGCGTAGTCCACATTAAATATGTTGTGCAGTTCAAGCAATGCTATGATTTCTCAGATATGGTTTGCAGTCGCTTGTTCACATGTTTTTCACAGAATGTGCAGACATATGTCTCTTCTGTTCTGTAGAGGATATAGATATTTATGAAAATGTTTATCTCTTAACAACAAAACAACAATTCTTAAAATAAATTGAAGATGGACATGTACATTAAATAAGTGATCGTTTTTTTTAATGTTTTCCTTTTTTTAAGACTGAATGAACAGAAATGAATGCTAATGAATGAATAAATGTTAACAGATAAAGATGAAGGAGTGGTTCTCATGCTTACTGGGACATCTTCCACTGCAGGATAGCCTGCACACTACAACAGACCAGACTGCGCTTTCAGGATTAAACACTACATAAAGAAACTAGATTATATTGTGTTCTTCTACTTGAGTTGTTTGTCTTTAACTGCAGAACCAGTCTCAGGTTTATAATCCCTCCATAAAAGAGGTTCTCCTTCATTCTTTATGCATTTACAGCATAACTAGGATTAGTGTTGCTCGGGTTTCACATGTTGCTTTCACATTAAGACAAAATTATTAGTGTCATGTTACAGTATTAGAATGAAGGAGCAAATGGACTGTCTTTAAAACTGTCCTTAACACTTGAAATACCTGCATCTGCTTGAAGGAAGGAAATCCACATCAGCCTTCACCTTTGTACTTGGAAGACTAAGATAAAGAATGGCTTAAAGGTAACACAAGAGTAACACAGTGGTGAGGAGAAGTGTGTGAACGTGTAAATCATTAATCATTTTTATATTCCGTTGTAATTAAACGTGCAGTTTGGCTGCAGGTAGAACATGTTTTGCACCAGTTTTGATGCATTAAAACCAGAAGTAGAACATATCAGACAGGAGCTTTTTTAATTGAATACAATTATATGGTAAGGAGGGTTAATTATCAATTAGCATGTTTACTGCAATGCTAGACACCTTTTTTACCCTGAACTTCTTTGTTACATCTAAATTGAGCTCAATGTAAAAACATTAGCTGCCTCTAGAGCAAGAGTAGACAATCAGTTACACTCAGTTATTGATATGTATCATTTTTTGTTACAAATCTGGCAAAAGTATGAGCAAATCTTTCAGGATCTCCAAGGCAACACACAGTTGCAAAAGATGAGTTGCCTCATAAATCCTCTTTCTCAATACTCTGGTTATGGTTCTGTTGATTAGCCAATGTGCTAACTTGCAGTTATGGACACAAATGCCCTCTGATCATAATCTGCAGTGGAACTACAGACAGAAAAGGCAATAGACTGAGTTTCGTACTTCGTGTCTTTATGACCTCGTTTGAAAGGAAAATGGGGAATCTACATAGTACTAATTGCTGGTTGTGCAGCTAACAGCAAATAGCTAACAGCTAATTAACACAGTGCACGGAAACAGAGGCAGCTTTGACCAGATGAATTATGAATGATTGTAAAATTGTAACCTTGATTGTGTGATAGTGATTCACTATACGGACAGCAGACACTGTAAAAGGCAATTTGTCATATCACTTAAGGAGGCTAATGTATTTTAAAGAAAAAGTGTCCAATAAAAAATCGAGTTGATTCTGTACAGAGGGACAACTGAGCTGAAAAATTAAAAGATGAATTCCACCAATTTATTTTTTAAGTTCTGCATAATTAAATGGTTAATATGTAAATATAGTTGTTCAGAGTGGTTTAATGTGAAATGTTCTGTTCTAGAGAAACTTACGGAGTCAGAATTGTTCACAGTGGTGGTGATAGGAACCAGACATCTGAAGCTATTATGTGAAATGGTTACTAATACACTAACTGATGCGAGACATACAATTTTGCTGTACAATATATATATATGTATATGTATATATATATATATATATATATATATATATATATATATGTATATGTATATATATATATATATATATCAGGTTCTGCTGGTGTTACTGACACTTATAAGATTGGGCTGCACTGGCTGAAGTGCAGTCTCCTGATATTCTCATAACTTTTAAGCTGTTTCCTGATAGAATGTAGAAAACATGTGATGGTCAGTGAGACAGGATACTTTTCGGGTGCCTCTGGTAGAGATTCTGAACAGATCTACCAACAGCAAGAAATGAAGGACTATAGTACCTAAAAAAAAAAGGGAAAAGACTTTCTGGAGCATTGCAAATGCAAATTTAGAATAGTCATGAACATGAAAATAGTTGATTTAATATAAAATATTATTCTCAATGTTGTATATAATATCAGATTTATTTTCTGCTCAGTTCCAGCTGCACTAAAACGAAGTATTCCCCCCCCCCAAAAAAAAAGTGGTTCAACTCAATAATTAAGTTACATTTTTGCATGGTCATATGATTTAAATAGAAGTTTGTGCATGATTTCTTCCCTCAGGTAAACCCAAAGTATAGCTGAGTTGGCATGGAATACAATTCAAATGTTCGAATGTTGTAATACTACTGGTACTACAGAGTTGTACAACTAGTATTACTACTAGTATCAAATTACTTGTATGGCTGAAAGCCTTCACAGACTTTATGGTTCATTTCCAAATGGTCGTGCTAGTTTGATTTTGTTTTCCTCTATATTTTATATCCTCCCTAGTTTCTATTACATGTTGATCTTAACACAGACTTTCCCTCCTCTGTAAACATTTGTTTGTGTCAAATTATTTTTGTCTCTTATGCATTGTTGTGGACTCAAATTGTTCTTTTCATGAAATGGCTCACTTCAGTGTCTGTAAATGTGCTACTGTTGAATCATGCCAAGACAGGAAATTATGTGCTGCCGCCCCTTAGTGGTCACTAGTCCAACTTCCACAGGTTACGAGCTTTAGATCCTTCCAGACAGGCCTAACTCGAACAAATCTCTAGATTATGATTCTTCCGCTACTTTAGTCTTGAACTGTATCCCTGTGAGTTTTCACAAGGTTTAGTTTTAAAGTTTTAGAATGACTGAATGAAGATTTAGATTGAAGGCTGAAGATTCACTGTGTATGTTTACTCTACGCATGGTCCATCAGAACTCCATGAGATTACATTTAAAACCCTGTTGTTGACCAAGTGAATGTGATCTACTTTACCTTGAGCTGAAGAACTTTATCAGATAATGGTGCTGCTTTTGTGAATCTTATGACATCTTGACAGCCTTTTCAATCTATGACCCCAAACTGATGTCGGAACAATCTTTAGAGTACCAACAACAGCATTCTGTCCACAACTAAAGTTGATCTGTTTTATAGTGAAGATGCATCATGCAAAAGGCTGTGCAGCAATCTGCTACTTCTTAGGTGCCAGTTGTTTAGTTGCAGCTTTGTTTTTTCACTTTCTAAACAAATCTGCCAAATAGAGATGCACCGATACCACTTTTTCCCTTCCGATACTGATACAGACACCTGATCCTTTAGTATCGGCCGATACAAAGTATCGATTCCAATACTAATTCTGTCTAACCTAACTTACTTATAGGTCCTGATAGTTATACAATTTCAACACTTTATTTTGGTAAAATCTATGTTCTGCGTCACAAATAAAACACACTCAGCTTGGCTAAATGGTATTTTCTTGTTGGATTATATTTATTAGATGCTTAAGAAAACTTATTTTTGTTTATTTAATGTATGTATTTACTATTTACTATTATATAATAAGTAATAAGAACCATGTTTAATAACTTAAGTAAATGTAAAATATCTTTATTCAGCAAAACAGTTAAAAACAGCTGCACACAGCAGCTTCTCTGGCTCAAAAATGGAGCTGAATGTTGTTTCACATCCAAAGTCATTTGTGTCATACGTGCATTTTGTTCACTCATGCTGCGTCATTGAGTGTCAGTTCAGTAAATATCACTGTCGTTCACGCTGTTGGTATCAGCGACTTTGTGTTTTTTCTTGCTTAGTTGAAGCAATACGCTGCAAGACCCCGCTGCTGAGTGGTAGAGCTGATTGACAGAGGTGCACCGCAAGCTGGGGGCTAGAGGACTCTATGCTAAAGGCTAAATCAAGGCTAAAGGCTATCATCACACTTAGAGTCCAACTAAACCTTCCACTCCCAATAACAATAACTCAGACTGTAAGCGACCACACAGCGGCAGATGAGTGATTACTGAAAGAAGCGGCTCAGCCGTTCAGGTAAGCAGCTCTGATAGTGGGTTCTTAACTCCAAAAACTGCCATTACAGATTCTGCCATGAGCATTTTTACTGCTGCTTGTCATCCCACATGCCGACATGTTGTTAAGTTCTGTCATAGGTATCGATATCCCCATCACTGATACCAATACTGCATTTAAGTGCCAGTATTGGCTCTGATACTGACACAGTATCAGCAAAACTACTGTCAAACTAACAGGTTCTTTGGAACGATACCATAGAAGAACCACTTTTGGTTCTCTTTCGATGGACATTTTATTTAAAGAAAACTTTTTGCACATTTTTAAAGTATGAAGAAGTCCGCCTAAGGCCAGATGTTAATTATTAAGAGTGAATAAAAACTTTGAATACCTGATCTTTGTAACACATTAGATTCATGAGCACAACAATCTAGGACACCACCTGCTTCCAAACACCATAACCCCCCACCAACCCCTTCTCAAGCATCTCCGTCTGAAGGCTTTATGAAGTCTTGGTGTTGCCTTATTATCAGAATAACACACCTCAGAATATGTATATGTTACTTTTCCTTACCTGCAGCTTCATGAACAACAAAAGTTAATGTTTAATTCTTTCTGCATGTGTTACATACCCCTGCTTTATCTTCTGCAATCATATGTTCTCAGCTACATCATAAACCATCTGCTTTCATAAAAAAAGAATCCCTTTTAAGTCAGTCTCCTTCTCTTGTAGTTGTTCTTCTTGCTGAAGCTGGATTATGGGGAACTTTGTGAGACGATTGTGGGATTATAGAAATTTTCTGGTGGCTTTCCTGACACCTCTGCTGCTCCTGCCTTTACCACTCATTGTCAACACTTCGGTAAGAATATGTGTGTATATGTGTGCAGATCTGGTCCTGAAGACTGTATATAGTGATGCATGTTGTGTCTGCAGGCTTCATAGCAGCTGTGGTAACTGAATTTTAATACATGCAATTTTAAGAGCACTTTTATCCAGCTCAATTCTAGTTATTCATTCATGTACTAAGTTGTCTTATTTGCATTTAGTAATGCACTGATAATATGCACTATGTGATAATATGGCTGGTCCCCCAGACTTTCTCCTGGAGCTTGGAAAACGGCTTTTGTATTAACAAGCTACTTCCAAAATGCACTTCCAAGAGCACTTTTTAAATAGCGTCTTTACTGTCTGAATAAAGGTTCTGTGCAGTTCACTTTTCTTTCATCAAGGCACAAACAGTCTAAATGGTACCTTAAATAAGTTTTTCCCAAAGGAAGAACAAATTTGTACCTTTTCATAATCTAATGATTTAAAACAGAACAATAAAATAAAAAGCCTGGAGATGAGACAGTGTGTGTGGAGACATTACAACAAAAATTTAACTGCAATGAATTTTAGTACAATTATGTTCCCTAGATAAAAGTACTGAAGATGTACCCTTGAGGGTACCACCCCAATGACGAGGGGTACCACCCCAGTTTATTCTGAGAGTGTTATTCACACCATAAAATACAGCAGATTGTAGATTTTGAGCAAAAAGTGTCTAATCTCTCTCATTATTTTGGATGCCACAAGCTCATCACTGCAATGCTAATACGTAAGTAAGTAAATTTTTATTTGTGTAGCATTTTTTCACAGAAAAGTCACAAAGTGCTTTGTAACAGAAATAAAATAGACAGAAAAACAGAATATGTGAAATAGATAATAAAGAAACGAGAGAAGTCTCAAAAACATGCACATAAAATAAGACATAGATACACAATTTAAAGTTCAATTTTTACTTTTCTGCATAATTTGAGCTCATCAGCTGTTTTTTACATTATCTACTACAAAATTGCTTCTAATAAAATCTCTTTACATTAACTTGCATTGAAAGTAAAGAACGTTTTTGCCCTCTCTTTTAAAGTTACAGTTTTAAAATACTTGTTTTTCTTTGGACAGCAAAGATAAGCTCTTTAACCATAAGAAGAAAAAAATAAAGGATATAAGATGTAGTTGCAGTGCAGTCAGTGGCATCATTTGGTTTTTCTTGAGTTGAATTGAGTTGAACTGCTAGCATTGTGCTACTTTGTGCTAGCCGCTGAGGGATTTCTTACGTTAACGCCAAGCTAGCAGTGGTTACTATTCACATTTCATGACATTTATTTTAATTTCTAGCTTAAACATGGACTTTAGAAACTTATAACGGACATTCAGGTAACACGTTATTGTATGTTGTTTTAAAGTGAATACTTCAGTAAAGACTAAAAATTAAAGCCTATCTCTGATTAATATTGGAGAAGTGTGTTAGCCTGTTAATCTGCTGAGCTGTTTAACCTACTCTAACAACGAGGGCAGAATATATTCAAATAATAGAGAATATAAAGTGTATTAATTTATTTAAATATTTCATTTACTCTTTTGTAAAATATTTCCTCCATGGAAATTTACTCAGTTGTCTTCAGTGTTGTTCCATTTATTAAGTGGTGAATGCTGGCATGAGTCTGAATAAGGCCTAAGGCAAGTAGGCCTTTCTTAATGTGTTAGGCTTTCTGAGCCTTTTGAATCATTTGCCTTTGTGGAAGATGCCATTTAAACCTCTTTAATGCATTAGGCGAGAAAAAGTTCAGTGATTTGTCTACAATTATGGCTAAGACAATGTCACCAACTACAGTTTTATTTGCTCTGTGAACTGGTCACACAGTTTCAGACTCATTAAAAACTGACATTTCTTACAGACATTAACTTGCAGCTTTGTAACCTGCAACTTTGTGTCTAGTATCTTTTGGCAGATTGCTTAGCCAGGAAGCCTTATCTGACAATCAGGTTTTTTTCAGAAACCAGTTTGAGTGGCTTTTCACTTTCATTCACCCTCTTGTCATGATAGTCTTTGTTGAACTATGACATACTCTGCCGTACGTTGTTGTTATAATAGAGTGCACAGCTCTTTCTCCAGTCTATTACCCTGCACAATTACCTTTACTGTTATTATCAGAGAGAGAAGCACTATAGTTATAATAGTAAATTGAAACTGGGGGGGAGGGAGTGGGGATTCACTAGAAGCCCCAGAGTGTGATACTTGAACCACCATATGATTCTTTTGAGATTTTTAAAGATTTGTGATATGCTGAGCATTGCAATTGAAAACTCTCTGTGTTATCTAAAGGAAAACAGAATTGGGAAGCAGAAAAAATGTGCATATTAAGCTGATGCACTTGTCCAGAGTGGCTTACAGTGGTAGGTTTCTTTGGACTAAATATACACTCTTAAAATGATGGTTCTTCAAGGGTTCTACATAGAACCATCAACAGCACATTTTCCATCAATCTGAAGACCCTCTTCATAATGCAAAGAATGCTTTAATCATGCAAAGGGCTCTCTGAATGTTTATGGTTTCTTTACTAAAGAACTCTTAAAGAACCATCATTTTTAAATGTGTAGTGGGAGAAAGTACCATTTGGGGCGAATTTTTCAGTTGTGGATTTAACTTCATCATAGACTAAATTGCAGTGCCAGTGGTGCTTCTCACTTAAAGGTCCAGTATGGTCTAGGCTACCATAGGCTAACCACTCCTACTACCACCACTGACAGAAGCTTTGGTCTCACCAGAAAGGAAAAGGACTTTTCAGCCCTGTCTTATAGACTACAAAAGAAACAAACTTTGTCTATTAGCCTAACAATGGCCTAAAAATATTATTAATAATGATAACACATAGATACATCTGTGTCTTGATATTGACAGATTTTTTTGCCTATAATATCACATGATGTAAATGATGTATTGTTTTTAATCACACCCCACAGTTGATAATATAGAGTCACTGGCCACATTATTGGATATAAAATTTTCTCTTCATCCATTGTGCATTTTTTCAGGTCCGTTTACCATATAGGTGTACTTTGTAGTTCAGTGGTTGCAGGTTGTAGTCCATCTGTTTCTCTACATTATTTGTTAGCTTTTCTTTACTCTGTTCAATAGTAGTCCCACAAACAATCCCACAGGGCCACTGAGCAGGTGTTTATTGGGGTGGGGGATCATTCTGAACACTGCAGTAACACTGACATGTAGTGATACATTAGTGAGTTTTGTGTTGGTATGCAAAGATCAAACACAGCAGTGTCCACTTACTGTCCACTCCATGAAACACACCTATTTTGTAGCTTCACCTTATAGATGTAAAGTTAGAGACGATAGCTCATCTTTCTGGTGCACAGTTTGTGTTTGTCATCCGCTGCTCTATGGGATGCTTTTGGCTAGATAATTTTAAATTGTTTAACTCAGAGTACTTTTTTACACTATGTTGTTGTGCTGTGGCCATTGTGTACTTGTCAGTTTGTGGTCACTCTTCTACACACTTTAAATTCCAGGAGGCTAAATGTGGCTTTGTGGTCATCCTGATGGCTCTGTACTGGTGTACAGAATGTGTTCCATTGGCGGTGACTTCACTGCTCCCCGTTATCTTCTTCCCCATGATGGGCATCATGAGGTCTGAACAGGTAGGAACCCTTTACCCAGCAAATCCTGGTTCTGTACACATGGGCCTCCAGCTGAGTAACTAATGTAGTGCTTCCTCTGCAGGTGTGTCTGCAGTACCTCAGTGATGCTAACATTCTTGGCGCTGGTGGGCTGATAGTGGCCATAGCTGTGGAGTACTGGAACCTCCATAAACGCCTCGCCCTGGGCATACCTCTGCTGCTGGGGGTGAAGCCAGCGCTGTAAGAGCCTTTTCTACATGACCAAATGCAGCTCAGATTAGTTTAAGCAATAGAACACAACATGACGTTTACTGTTCTATTGCTTTTTTTAACAGTTTAGCAAAGTAAGGAAAGTTAAACCAAAGATGCCCTATATTGCCTCAAATAGGATTTTTATAATAATAATATAATAATAAAAGAATAAATTATTATTATTATCATTATTATTATTATAATTAATAGATTCAAGGTCATGGTATAATATAGGGCATACAGTCCAAATGTGGAAACTGAGCTGCAAAAACAGTCCATTCCAAATTCATTGTTTATGTGATTCCACAAAAACCAACACACAGCCAGTCAGAACAGAGCTCATTTATTTTATATCAATCTTAAATGCACAAAAAAAAATAAAACAGCTTGTTTATCTTCTAAAGGATAATGAAAGGTTGGAAAATCAGATCAGATCAAAATAAATGATGAAAAATACAAGAACAAATGTATGATTCGGGCCTTTAAAACACAACATACAGTAATGTGCAAAAGTTTAAGGTACCAGTGAAAATTAGAATTAAGACACTATTTATCTGGGCAGTAAGCATTTATTAGTTCCCAAAATACTAATATTAAAATAAATACAACATTAACTTAATAATTATCAATGTATTAACGCTTATCATTAACTTTACAAATTGTTGCTGTCTGAGCAAAACCTCTCCAAAATAGTAACTTCACAGAAGAAGGAAAAAAACATTATTAACTTGTAATGGAAGTTAATGTAACAAGATATATTTACAAGTAATTTTGGACCATTTGTATTGGTCCATTTATCATCTCCAAACCTCTCCTTGTGGCAGCCCAGTATTATATTTAGTGGTCATAGTACCAGGTTTGGCTAATCAGTACTTCATTGATTTTAATCAGGCATGCTGGTGTTGGAGCTCAGTTTAATAATCTATGCGATGGCTGTTGGCGTCCAGGAGAAATCTGGAACCAAACTTTGTTTTGAACACCAGCTCTAAAGATATCAACTACTTTTTTTTTCAAAAAAGTACACTCATGTTTCTTTGTACTGTATTTATGTTAGTTTGCATTGAACATGTGCAAATAAACATATGCTAATATTCTAATCATATTCTGAAGGTATATGGTGTATTTACAAGCAAAAACACACCTTCTGCTGTGTTCTGAGGTGCCCAAGACTTTTGCACAGTTCTCTCTCTCTCTCTCTCTCTCTCTCTCTCTCTCTCGCTCTCTCTCTCTTTCTCTCAGGCTGATGGTAGGGTTCATGAGCATTACTGCCTTCCTATCCATGTGGATCAGTAACATGGCGGCCACGGCAATGATGCTGCCCATCGTCCACTCTGTGCTGGAACACCTCAGAGAGAGTGAGTTTCAGGCTGAGGAGCGTGAGCTGCAGAAGAAGAGAGACAGTCAGGCTTTACACATCACAGAGACCAAGCACAGCACTGAGGATGCTGGTATGTGGGTGGAGGGACAAAATGCAGTTTAATCACAAATCCTAAGTATGTGTATTATCTATATCATTTGAGCACGGCAGCTCAAATATACAATTCCTAAGAAAAGCTGTGATGTCATTCATTTTGGTCCTAAGAAGATGCCTTATAGATGCTTACTGTACTCACATTCCACTAAACATCTTTTAAATTCATCTTAACTTTTCTCTAACCTTAAACCTAACATTGACTCTAACCCCTAACCTTAATCTTAAACCAAAACCTGAACCTAAACCAAACTCTATCACTAGAAAACCTAAACAGGACTATCAAAAGAAAGAAAAGAAGCATAATTTCCAATAATTTTATAGATAAAAGTACAAATTAAATAAAGAATAGTTGGATCATATCAGCAAAACTTTAAAATCAGTCACTGAGACATGACATCACTATTAATTGTTAAGACAGTATTTCACTTTAATATTATTTCATATTATGAAAAATCAAAGTGTCCTCTGTTTGATGCTGCATGTGAGACTCCCTAGTCCATACATAGAAATGAAGCTGCAAAAACAGCTTGTTTTGAATTCATTGATTTTGTGATGTCACAAAATCCAATGCATTTATATATCCACCTATTCAGCCTACTGCAGTTTAGCCCTGTCCATTCACACTGAGGTTATAATGAGTGTTTCATCATGATTTTTGCTTTTTGAATGAGGCACAATGTAGGACAGAAATTAGAACATTGCTTGGCCATTTGCATGTATCAGTCTTAAAGTGACAAAAGTCTAGAGCCAGTAAAAGCTAATGTTATTATATAATTGTGCAATGGAGAATCAGGTGACTAGCAGCAGATCTTTTCTCTAAAGTGGAGGAGCAGAACCCTGAAGAACCCTTCAGCACTGAGCAGAGGAGGCTGAAGCATAATCAGAAGTATCAGACACTCAGCAAAGGAATGAGCTTATGTGTGTGCTACGCTGCCAGCATCGGAGGCACAGCCACCCTAACCGGTTCCATCTCCAACCTCATCCTCAAAGGCCAGATGGAAAAGTAATAGCACTTTATCAGACATTCCAGTGACGGTACACTGAAAAAAGTGATGCAAATGAAAAAACGTTATTCAAATGTGCACATAATTTCCAATTCAATTTCAATGCAGACTGTTTCCTGGAAATGGAGACGTGATCAACTATACCAGCTGGTTTATATTCTCCTTCCCCAACATGGTGCTGATGCTGGCTGTGTCTTGGCTGTGGCTGCAGTTCATGTACATTGGCTTCAAGTAAGTCAAAAGGCAGCATATACTGTGCATGAGTTAATCTAGTGTCACATCATCTTTAGCGTATTTCAATTAAATATTTTAAGCCTGTCGCTTGATTGGCACAGCTCTTATTTGTGAATGCACATGGAATTTAAAGTAATTGATTTTACTGGAACTCTTTAGCTGAACCTTTTGGTCGTCAGTTTATAGCAGGAGTGCTCATCTGCTACCACGGCTTAAAGGCCTAAAGGAAAATTACAGAGATAGAGAGATTTGAATTTTCCAGTTTTTCCAAAATGTAGTCAATCAGCAAAGACATGTTAAGTGTTCTGATGTTTGCGTCTTTAGTTTTGTACCAGAAACAGGTAATGAAAGCCCACAACCACCAATTATCCTCATGCAAACTTCATAAATAAATCATAACATCATATCATATTCGACAGAATTCCCAGCTTTAAGATGATTAGAAACAACACTACTGTTTTAGTGAAGCAGTATACTTCCGTCCATTTTTATAGATAACAGTATGTCATACAATGTCAGAAACCACATAATCAAGTTTATATAAGAGTGTACCTTGGCTTATAAGCTTCCATTAGGCTACTTATTAACAACATTAGCCTCCTGGCTTCAGTGCAAAACTAAAGAAATAAACTTTAGACACCAAACATGTCTTTAATGATAACATCTGCGGCAAGAAGAAAACAGTGCAAACAATTTTTTTTTAAACTATTTCTTTCATTACACGGAATTAGGTGAACAATGTATTTCCTGAGCAAGTGGTGTATCTCTTATGTTCTTATTAAGTACATTTATTTCTGCAATATGCACAGGACGTCCTGAGGGCATTCATCAGATCATTTTTATGTTTTCTACCATTTGTAAAGACCAGTTTCTCTTTACTTTGTGTGGATATTTCATGATGAATGGACCAAAATAAAGTCTCATTACAATAACTTACATTAAAATTTAAGAACGTTTGTTCTTCCCCCAAAACGTTTCCATTTCGGAGATAAAAGGTTTTGTTATGACAGCAGTGATATATGTATAGGAACATATTATCACTGTTGGAACAAAACTTAGTATCTGCAAAGTGGAAACTTTAAAGGAGACTGAAAAAACTTGAAAGTAGGAAGTTACTGTAAAAATATTTTTTTCAAAAGTAATTTTGTAAAAGTCATTTTATTACTCCATACATCATGAATTTTTACACAATTCAAAGGGTAACTGTATTTTTTTCTATAATGTTCAAAAGTAACAAACAGCAAAAATGGAGATACAAGGTTTTTGCATGACAGTGATGTCTGTATGTTGGTTATCAGTGAAATTAGGATCAGTGGTCAGGAGATATGAGGTTTTGTACTGACAGTGACGAAATGTCTTCTCTCTCCAGTGTGAAGAAAACATTCGGCTGCAGAAAGGCGAGCAGCAGTGAGAGGGAGGTGTGTGCAGTGATGAAGAGTGAGTACAGGAAGCTGGGCAGAATGAGCTTCGCTGAGTGGTGTGTCTTGGTGCTCTTTTTGCTGCTTGTGCTGCTCTGGTTCACACGCGAGCCTGGATTCTCCACCGGCTGGGCCTCACTGCTCTTCAACCAGGAGAGAATGTGAGTTCACACCACAAACCACACATATTCCACCAGACAGGGTTCTACAGCAAACAAGGATAGTATATCACCATGTTCAGCCCCAATATACTAGGAGCAGTGGTCATACACTACTGTTCAAGTGATGTTTTTTATTATATAAAACCAAAGTTGTAGTTATATTTAGGTGCACGACCGTGTATAAAATAATTCTAATGTGATGTCAGTACTCTAACTTCACAGGACCCAAATAATTTGTTGAAAGCTGTGAAAAATTAAGATTTTTAGATGTGCTCAGAATGGAGAACAGAGTTTTATCTCTTTATGTGTTAACGTTGCACACACAGGCTCAAAAAGAAGGTTCAGCTCGATGTTTAGGTCAACATTATGCTGATGAAGATATGTTGACAATAGTAGACAGTTCACTAAAATCCTCAGAAGACACATTCTTCACTAGGTTTTGACTGAGTTCACAGATTCATCTGCTTGGGGAAAAGGTTCAAAACATGACCAGTGTTACAAAATGTTCTTCTGCACATAGCTTGCAATTACACATTTCCACCAGAGAGGTCTCCAGATCCCCAAAACTTATATAGTGTACTAAATTATATAACTAAATTATATTTTATCATTTGTAATTTAATAACATTGAACAACTTTTTGTTCCCAGAAAAGCTTGACATACTTTTTAAATTTTTTTAAAAAGACAATCAGGTGGCTGGTTTGTAATATTTAAATCTACACTGTATAAGTGATAACGTATAATGTATAAGTTATTAATTATTCCCATTTTTTTATGTAGTGTGTGTGTGCCATTTGACATTGTCATTCCAGTGAAGTACTTTGGGAGAACAGTCCCAGATCACAAGATTCACTGACAAGATAAGAGCTCCATAAACATGATAATAAGTAACTTTTGTTTCAAGGAGAAATCATTTACTGAAGAACAATTTGTTCAGTCGAAACTTTGTATACCCATGTGATGAGAATTTTAGGCTCTGCATTTTTAGATGTTGGTAATTACCAGTATTTTGCTTTGTGTTTTAGGTTTGTTACAGACACCACAGTCTCCATGTTTGTCTGCCTGCTGTTCTTCATCATCCCCTCCAAAATTGAGTGCTCATATTGGCATTCTGGTTCTTTAGACATAAGTGGTATGTCCTGCTTCTCTATAACTTTCCTATAAAACTTTCCTGACGGTTTCAGTCAGACAGGTTTTTAATATTATTGGAAATGAGTAACCCTTGCCAAACTCAACTGACCACAAATGAAGGTCTATTCATGAGTACTGTGATTAGATATTCTGAATTATGCCGGAGATTCTTTCCTCTTGGACCTCATAGCAACTGACACTTGCCTATGTCATTACACAATTAAACACCTATAAACACTTGTAGTACTTGTAAATCTTTACAGCTTTATTTCTTGGTAGTAGGGTTGCCTCCTCAGCAGAAATAAGATATAAAAATGCTCATATTCCAGCAATTGTGTGAGCAGGAATAGAAGTAAACAAAATCAAGGGTGCTCTAAAAAAGTGGCAAAGTGGTTGAGTGGCAGGCTTACTTGGTGGTTTAACTGTTCACAATGGAAATGGAAAAAACAAACCAACCAAGCAAATAAGCAGCCACAATGAATTCTTGGACTAAAACAGCTCTCTAGAAGGATCCTCCTGAGATTCTGCAGCCTCATATGAGGACACCACATTTTGGAACTAAAACAGACAGATTTTGCTGCTGTCTAATTGTATTAGTAGGACAGCATCTGCTGCTGTGTTTAAAAAGACGGCGCCTATCTTAGCAAACCCGTCTTACAGGAGCAGCACATACCAAAATATATCACATATACCACAATATAAAATAAAGTTGTAATTAGTTTGTTTACCATCATCAATGTTGGTAGTTTGGTCTAATGCACTAATTTAAAGCTTTTAAGTAGTGATGAGCTGGCATTAAATATTAAATATGTGCTGATACAGGAACAGAGGGACAATGTTTGCAAAAAGTTTATGCATGAGAAAACCACTAGTAGCCTAATATACCACATATGTTAAATCACATGACACATCTCTATTCAGCCTGTCTGTGTATTTTACTTTACATTATTTTGTTTTAAATTAGTGTAACACTGATCATATACTGTGTGGAGTGTTACGTGCTCCTGTGCTTGCAAAGTGAGCCCAGCTGATTTCAGCATTTCTCATTATATATCAGCTACAGAACTGTGGAATGGTAACAATATCCTCTACAGAAAACAAATGTCTGCATAGTCTAATACACAAATACTGTTTTTTACTAAATTTAACATATTGGAAAAAATGTAAGCATAAAATGTCTTTTTAAAGCATAAAAGTTATGGCACATTTTATATTTTAAGTTTTATGTTGTCCAATATGTTAAATTCAGCAAATAAATAAAAATTATACTCTAAAATTTGCAGAAAATGTCATATTCATATGTAGAGGATGTGTTAACTTATTTTCACTTAGAAAGTCACTAAAACGTATAGTTTAACAGTCCGAATTTTGCATACGACTGTATTTGTATTATGTAGGCTTTACTGAGTTCTGCATGCTGTACAGATGTAACCAAATATGAATCGATTATTCACATAGAACATATGCATTCTAAAGCATTCTAAACAGATACTAATACAGATACGAATACGTGGTCAAATTTGCTGTTGTTCAACTGCACAGGTACCTCTGAAAGTTTTTATCTGCAGAAAACAGCTTGCAGCTTCATGTCCATGCCAGCTACATGCATTTAATGTTCAAGTAATTTTAACAAGGGGAAATGAAAACTGTGCTAAACAGCGTGGCTTGAGTTTCAGGAGAGTATGGTAAACAAATGTGATGGAGAATCTGATGCTATCCTTTGCTCAGTCAGATATAATAAGAATTGTTTACTCTTTCATTGGCAGGTAGGAGGAAATGGAAGGCTCCCCCAACTCTGCTGCACTGGGAGCTGGTGCAGAGGAAGCTGCCCTGGAACATCATGCTGCTGCTAGGAGGTGCCTTTGCACTGGCTAGAGGCTGCGAGGTGTGCACAACCTGTCAATGACAGCCCAGAACACAGAAACTTTGTGACCAATAGCTATATTTTATCTGTTTATTCAGTTGCTGTACAATCCCTCTGTATATGCAATATACGAGCACAGTCAGCAATAACTAACAGAGCAGCAGTCATAACAGTGTTAACAGCTGTAGAGAGAATTACACACTTGGGGAAACTGATAAAATTAACAAGTCAAACATCACGATAAGCAATGTCATACTTGTGTAATTGAATCCAATTACATAAAGCTGAAACATCAAAAGATGAAATTACGTTTTTCTTTTTGTGTCTGGCTGTCTATTTGTGCCTAGGTATCTGAGCTGTCTTTGTGGCTTGGTCAAACTCTGGAGCCCCTGAAGAACATCCCACCAGTTGCCCTCTCTTTCCTACTCTGCTTTGTGATTGCTATGCTCACTGAAATCTGCAACAGTGCAGTAATCATCACAGTTTTGCTGCCTGTTTTGGCCTCTATGGTGAGACGATTGTTTTTTTGAACACTTTCAAAACATTTAAAATCATTTAAAAGATTGTTTGGCAGATTTGTCTACACAGATGAGGCAAAACATTATTGTTACTCACAGATTAAGTAAATAACTTTGGTTATCTAACAGCGGCGTCAAGGCCTGAGATACGTTAGATGGTAAGCAAACAGTCGGTTGTTGACAAGGTCCAAATCATTATAGCCAGCCGACTGGGTTGGAGCATTTCTGAAACAGCAAGGATCCTGGTCAGCAGCGGTGAGTACCTACCAACAGTGGTCAGAAGAGGTACAAATCACACACCGGCGACAGGGTATTGGGTGCCCAAGGCTCATCAATGTACATGGACAATGAAGGCCGTCCCTACTGGTTTGAACTGTAGCCTGGTCAGAGTGTGCATGCTAACCCCTGTCCGTCATAGAAAACTATGGGCATGCAAGCATTGGAACTTGGAGTAATGGAAGAAGGTTGTCTGGTCTGGCAGCGGGCGTGTAATGCTCTGGGCAACATTCTACTGGGAAACTCTGGGTCTGAGCTTTCACATGCAAATCAATTAGACACGTGGCTTTTATCATGGAAAACCATATTTTTCTCACTTTTTTAAATACGTGTTTAAATACTATGTGAACATTTCAAAACATACCCTACACTTCACAGTGAACAGTACAGTCCACATATGAAAACTAAGCTGCAAAAACAGCCTGTTTTGAATTAATCATGGTTGTACCAACAAATGTACAAATGACCGTGTATTCAGTCTAAAATAGTATGGCCTGTCATGCTGCTGCTGGCTGAAGGAAAAGCATCATTGCACCCTTTCAAAAGATTAAGATTTCAGAAAAAAGTGGCTGAAGTTTCAAATGTCAACCCAAACATTTTGTTCCTTATAATTAAGCTTAGGCGTCTTTTTGAATGAAGTGCAATATGGGGCAGCTAATTTTAACAGATGTCGTTTACTTAGATAAGTCTTAAAGACGTTAACAAAACAGCCTGTTTTGTTCTAATAGAAATGGAGGCTGGAGTGTCATAAACTACACTATCATTCTAAGTGGCTTTTAGGGAAAAAAATAAAAATTAAATAAAAATACAGAATATGGCCCCTTATATATTTTTGATGTTTTCTGCTCATGTTGCTTTACCAGGCCAGCACTGTTGGTCTGCACCCACTGTACATCATGCTCCCGACCACCATCTCCACATCCCTCGCATTCATGCTCCCAGTGGCCACGCCCACGAATGCCATCGCATTCTCCTACGCCAACCTCAAAATCATAGACATGGTGAGGCCTCACTCTTTCCTCTCAGTCTTATGTTGGGAACATAGTGCCAGGCAGTATTGATAAAATTTTATACCATATTTTTCAAATATATCTCAATATCAGATGTTTAAGTGTGCTCCTACGCTTTCTGAGGACTGGTACCTTATTGTAAAAGAATGTTTTACAGCTTAGTCTTGATTTAACTGTTAAATTCTGTCCTGCGTCTCTTGACACATCACCAGAGAAGTTACATTAACCAGACAGAAAACACATTTACAGAAAGCAGACCTAATATATATATATATATATATATATATATATATATATATATATATATATATAAGAAGCATGCAGCTAATTTCATACATCTAAGTTTGTGTTATCAACATTGCCAAGTGGCACCAATTCCAGTAAACTGGTATATACAATATATCATCCAGTACTTCCATTCAGTTCAGTGGCTTGTATGACATGGACTCACGGCTGTAACTTCATTACAGGTAAAGCCTGGCTTTGTGCTGAACCTGCTAGGGATCCTCTGCATCAACTTTGCGGTCCACACTTGGGGCACTGCTATATTCCAGCTGAATGAGATTCCCCCATGGGCCAATGTCACTACCACCCCCACCCCTTCAATGTTTCCAGCGACTACTCCCTGAGCGCAGGAGAAGAATGAAAGAGGACAAAACAGTTAACACAGTTTAACAAAGCCGGGGACAAAACGGGGAAAGGTCGAAAACACACAACTGTCTCATTTTTATAAGCTGCAGCCAGCCTTGGAGCAGTATTATTCATATTCAAGTGAGGGACACATATCTGTTCAGGTGTGCTGACTCCCTTTAGCTGCGTGATTTAGCAAATGGAATAGGAACACACAAAAGAGACTGAAATCACTCCACTTTCTCTTTTATAGTTAAAGACATACTCTTACATTTTTCAACCTAATCTAATCTATCTGTCTGCTTTATCTGCAGTTGCACTGGGGATGAATCACCTGCCCATTGACTTCTATAATAAGTGTGTTTTGAATCAATGTATTTTATGTTCAGGGAAGCATTTTCAGAATTCTTGTCTGTCCTAATCTATATACCATAAAGATGCAAAAGGTAAGAGATAGAATTTCTACTTGGATGCTTTATTTGAACTATTTTTTATGTTATACTTAGCAAATACTATTTGTTTTTCGATACTGCTTAAATACATAGTAAAAAGGTGTCATATGGTTCTGTGTGCACACTGCACAACACCTATTAAATTCTAGATCTGTATTTTCTTATACCAGTATGAGTTATGCAAATTGTAATGCAAATGAAATCAACAATTGAAAAAGTGTTTATAGACGGTATAGAGGGAAACACCAGATCATGCTCAAGCTGTTTAGTGCCACACTTGTACCTCCCAAATGTGAGTAGATAGGAGAACTCCTTTAGTATTCTTTTACTGTACGAGTGTAAAATAAAACAAACACTTTGTGCATTTTTGAGACAAGGAACAAAAAATGGATGTTTTTGTGCTGTGCCGATGCTGCATGGCTTGTATTAGTATTGTTTACCGTTTGAAAATGTCATTGGTCCTCTTCAGTACCGGCCCGAGGACCACCAAAGCGTGCTTCATGGCCTACTTGTGGTCCATGGCCCAGTGGTTGAGAAACCCTGCTGTAAGGTACTTTTCATAAGGCTATGAAGACATGAATATGTGTGTCATGTAGCATGAACAGTGTTACAGATCATTTCAATGAATGGTTCTTTCTCATTCTTTTGTAAATGAGAATCTCCACATAATATCAAGGATCTACAGCAATTACAGTTTTTTGTTAGCACCATAGCAACCATGTGTGTAGCATGTTTTGATTGGTTGAGAACAGAAGAAACCTTGTAACTCACCTTTAAATTCTACCTTCATTGTGGGTATCCTTTTTCTGCAGGCCCTCTCAGTGGCCATTCTGCTTGGATATTTTTAATTAATATAATCAAATAAAATATTTTCCCTGTAAATCTGTCATCAGATTAGTCAGGACACTGTTGGCTCTCTGTGTGTGAAATGTTGTAACTTGGTTGAGCTGCTAGTGAGCAATGAGGGGTGAAAAGGGGAGTATTCTGCTGTGACAACAACTGAAGCTTTTTTCACATCATGCGCAACTGTAACAGGAAAAAAAAGCATATGAACACCATATTTTGACTTGCTTGCTCACCTACAAGGTTTTGAGAATCATAAACATTTCCATCAAAATATATTGATTGAATGGAAAAAAGGCATCGTTTTAACAGAGAGACCTCCAAAACAGGCAGAAATTATATTTTTTGTCTACTGTGAAAAGGGTTAAGTCACTAGTGTAACAGTGTAACCTAACAGTAGTGCTTCAGTACAGCTTCAGAAGGCTGCTTCATATTTTCAAGAAGGAAAGTCATCTAGTGGACATTAGGTAGAGTAGAAGGAAAGGCAAAGATATTCTATGACTAAGTAATATTTATACTTCACAACTAGACTAGATAGACTGTTGACAGATACTGGGACAAATTTGTGAAGGTTCTTCAGTAGTGGTTACACCTTACATTTTCATTGATAAAGCCCCATTTATAGGACTGTACTAATGGACATTGTGGCTGACCACACCGAAGACTAAAAGCAGGCAATGCTAAGAATATATTTATTAGTAAGAACATACAATCCTTTAATAAGTAACACATTGTGAACCCTGATTGACAAAGTGCTGTGATTGTGTACTTGAAGCAGTTGTAGAAGATAATCCATTGCTTTGGAATAAAAAAGGAGTTTCCTGCAGTAACCAAGACTCCTCTACTCATTAGTTATTTTACCCTCATTACTTAAAATGCACTGTGAAGAGCTTGAATTGAATGTTCATAAGGCATTGGCAAAAAATATTTTTGGCATCTGGTTATTAATATAAACCGTCCCTTATAGTTAAAGATTATGTATAAACAGTGATGTTTACTGAAAACAAGCGTATATAGGCAACATGTGGTAAAGGCAATAAACGAGAATCTGTTTTAGTGTTTAGGTGTATGTGTTATGATTTGGTGATGATGGCCACCCCTTTCTTTATCCAGGAGTTGGTGCCGAGCAGAGAGAGCATGAAGCGAGCGACGTCTGCTCTGGACACGCTCTGTCCTATAGGGATGCCATTCTCATCAGGGACATAGTAACCTTCGTGAGTCAGGATCTCTTTTTCTGTAAAGAGAACGGCAATAATAAGAGAGACGATGTTTTGTTTATTTAGTATCTTTAAACAGAGCCTTTCACAAACACAGCTGACAAAAGGTTTAAAAATGTAATCAGTAACATAAGCTAAAAAATTAAATGTGTTTCCAAATCCTGAGTATAACCCTGAACATACTGGTATGCAGGCTTTTATGATCGACCTTAAGCAACTTCATTGCTCACATTATAATGTTAAAAGGCATTAACAGAATGTGCCTAATCACATTTGCAACAGTTACATATCCAACTGACGCTCAGTCAAATGCTTGAAATCGTTTTATCCAGAATCTCCCGTCAGCTGCATCATAATGATATTGATTATGTATTTTCAGGATTTTCTATTTGGTAATCTTTTTTAAAGGATGAAACAGTCCAAAAGCTGAGGTTCATACATTTAAGTCAAGGCTTTCACCCAGCTCTCATTTTCGGATTTTACGTTGACTTTAAAATAACAAACATAAAGTTAATATTCTTTAACTCACCTGTTACAGGTGTATTCTGGAGTCCAGGTGGCCTGACTACAGTCCAGTTGATGTCCTCAGTTTCCTGCAAAACCTGCTCCATCTTGTACATGTTGCTCAAAACGCTTCCAATCATTGGCAGCAGCATGTAACGGATAAAGAAGGAAGCTTTGTTGCCAGAATTAGCTGTTAAATTAAATTAATTAATTAAATAATGCATATAAAACATACATTTACAACAGTTTTTGAATGCATAAACATCAAGCCTCATGATTAAAGTGCTTTATGAACACAGTATTAACTGAGGCTAAGATACTTACGTTCAGTGTACCATGACGTCATGGTGATGTATCGATTCACTCTGGCCTCTCGCATAGCGCTGAGCGTTGCTGTTATAGACTCAGTGTAGCCAGTGACTCCAGCCAAAGGAGCCGGTGGAAACCCAAGACATGACATAACAGCGTCCTGGCCTTCAAAGTGTGGTTTCAGGCTGTCTTTTGAGAAAATATTCCCCTCAACCACCTATCGCGTGATAGAATATGTGTTAAAAGGAAAGGAATAGGCTGAGTTTTATGCCGTTTGTGCAAAGTGGTTACTGCCTGGGCTCATCTTTGGTAGGTCAAATAAAATGAACTATTTGAACATTTTCTCTGAAACGGCTTGAGCCCTGAGAGAGCTGTTTGATGTTAATCACATACAGCTGCTCTATGTGCATGACCATCAAAGGGTAAATTCATTATGCAGAAGAAAGAGAACCATCATCTGATGGTGTCAAGCTACACGGATTCAGACAGAGCTATAATTAATTTTCATGCATTTCTTGTGACTTTAATGGTAAATTTAGTGTTTCCAAACACCCAACAATTTTTTCCGTAGTCATTGTTTTTTGTCTCTGACCTTTTAGAAGTGGTGTAATAAAGCCTGTTGAATTACCTTGAGGTTGTCATGAGTTACAGTCAGTTTTCCAAGAGTCCTCACAACGGCTGTGACTATGTGCCCCTGCTGTAGAGCTTGGCCAACCAGCTGCTGCCCCGTTTGCCCTGTGGCACCAAGAACGGCGATCTTCATCTTGAGGCAAGTTCCTCTGCATGTAAAGAGCACAGACAAATGTTGACAGGTAAGATAACCAGTTAACAGTTTCTACATGACCCAGACTAGTGGTCACCCTTATAGCTCTAACCCTAATAAACCCTACATTATCTATCTAATTATGGACTTCAAAAGTTAGTAGAATAGAATATCTATAATTAGAGTATTGTCGTCACTGGAATATCAATATTATCAATAAAAAAAAATCTATAAAAAAGATAAATATAAAAAACCTTTGCAATACTGTGCAATGTGTACATTTAAACAAATTTAAGACAAATCAGTTCAATCAAAACAAGTTATGTGAGGTTTGTTAGCCATTCTTTCAGCAGAGAGTAGCACTCAGGAAGCACTGATTCATTAACTTTATTAATGCAAACTTAAATACCATCTGATACAGTGACATATTTGAAAAATATTATACTGTTGAATTTTATCAGTTCTGCCCAGCCCTATCAGAAGTCCTGATTAGTAAATGAGGTGTGGTAGATTTGGGTTGGAGGTGAAACCTGTAGGAACACAGAGCTCTAGGGAGAAGGTGTTTAGCAAAACCTCGGAGACAAAAACACAGCGTCCTCATATCTCTAGTCTGTAGCACAGTGTTGGGTGCTGATTCTGAACTGCCTAGCAACCTACTTATTAACATATTTATGCCCAAAACCTAGATTAAGTTCAGCATGAAGGAAAAATGCCACAGAACTTGTTCTGACCGGTGATCAAATCTTGCATATTATTACCTTGAATGATCATCTAATAGTATTTTTAATGCATTTTTCATATTTTATTCCAAATCAAATTTGGATAGTCTATTGCTTTGTTAAAACTCAGTAGTTTCATGTGGCCAAAAGACTAAATTCAACAAGAAAAAAGCCTTATAATTACAAAAAAAATTTTTTGATTTGTGCTTAGTCAAAGTTCAAATAACATTCAGACCAAAGGAGATTTCAGATGTGGCCATTATAAAGGGTTAATGTAATACTAGCTCTGCACAGAAGAGATAAAGTGCCCTCTAATGTAAACATTAGCCATAAATCCGGAATTGTGTCATAAAACGCTGTTTATATTCACCAAGAGGTGACAGTCAAACTAAAAGGCCCTGACTGGACACTGTCAGGCGATCATTCAGGAGATTTTATTTGATATAACACAGTTTCAACGTACCGTTCAAGCATATTCGCCTATTAGACTATAACACTGTATATAAACATCATTCCCCTGAATGTGTACGCATACACCATACTGTGCCATATTTAGCACTGAAATAGCTCAAATATATCAGATTCATTAGCACTGCAGCGACTTACAGGGACTACACAGGTGCGTGAACGTCTTGCAGATGTTTAAAAAGCTGTCCGTGTCCTTCCGTGTTTCTGGGCGAAGAAGATGGTCTTGCAGGCTTGTCTTACGAAACTATAGGTCCACCCTCACACTGAACGAAAACAAACGTTTCCAAACGCTCAATATCAGCAGCACAAAGAGAGAGAGAGAGAGAGAGAGAGAGAGAGACAGAGAGATAGACAGAGAGATACAGAGAGAGAAATCTTCGATTTGACTCTGCTGAAGTTATGAAACAGCAACAAATGGCGCATGCGCAGTCAAACAAAGGTAAGAAAGGCAAAAAGTCGCTCTCTCGGTGTCCACATGAGGAATATTCAGTGTGGATAAATATGAACATGCATTGACTCCATTATCACGCTGCGAGGCACTGTTGGTGCGTTTTTCCTTTCAGAAATGTCGTCATTGCTGTTTGCTTGTGTAAATGTTTCTGTATGGAGGACCAGATTTGAAAAATAAATAAAATTAAAAAATAAATGGCTCAGTAAATGAATCAATAAATAAAAAAACTAAATAAAGTATATATTGCTTATTGTGATTGTAATTATACACATATTTCCTTTTTCTGCAGTTATATATTTCTCAATTTATTTATTTCTGTATTATTTATTTTGTTTTATTAATGCCATTTTTATATTTTTCCATATCTATATTTTTAACAATTGTTCGCTTTATTTTTTGATTCATGTATTCATTTATTTATTTTTTCATTAATTCATTTATTTATTTCTGTATTTCTTCGTTCATATGATAATGAGGGGGCGTGTTTTTCACGTTCAGGCTTAGCAATCAAGACCAGGAGGAGAAGAGCTGATTAAACTGTTCTTTCGCTCCATAAAGAACTGCACGGACAGACAAACCTGCCGATAAACAACTCTCGATGGCTTCCACAGGCAGTGTGTGAGAAGGGCGTCCAAATGTCTGAGTGATCTGTAATTTGCAGGAAAAGACGATGAACCACCTCCTCCAAAGTTCTGAACACTACGGGTCGACCTCTGTATCAGCAGAGGCAGCAAAATGGATCAAACTGTCCCCGCAGCCTCCACACGAACGAGTAAATAATCCGGACCTGCATTTAGGCTTTGATTTATGTATCGTGTCTTGACTGACTCTATAATGTGCAGACCTGACATCGTGTTTGCAAAGGCAGTAGGTCTGAAAGTGTTAAGGAGCATATAAACGTGCAACATATTTAAACACTATATGGACAAAAGTATTGGGACACTTACACATTATACCTACAAGAGCTTTTATGACATCCCTTTTTAAATCCATTGGCATTGATATGAAGTTGGTCCCCTTTTGCAGCTGTAACAGCTTCCACTCCTCTGGGAAGCTTTCTACAAGATTTTGGAGTGTGTCTGTGGGAATTTTTGCCCGTACATTCAGAAGACCATTTGTGAGGTCTGATGTTGGACAAAAGGGCCTGGCTTGCAATCTCCATTCTAGTTCATCCCAAAGGTGTTGGATGGGGTCAAGGTCAGGGCTCTGCGAGGGCCAGTCAAGTTCTTCCACACCACCCCACCCAATCATGCCTTTATGGACCTTACTTTGTGCACTGGGGCACAGTCATGCTGGAACAGAAAAGCGTCTCTGTTTCTCTCAATTCTACACAATTCTGCGCAATTCCACACCAGTCATATCACCAAAATGCATTTCAGCTGCAGTTCAACCAATTTAAACACCTAACATCAGCTCAGCAGCTCAGAAATCGAGCCCAAGTCTTAATGAACTTGCAGTAAAGAAAGGATGCCAGGTGTCTAGTTCAAGTAAATATGTAGGTTTAAAAGACCAAGCGCCTGGGGACATTTAAATTTTAAATATTCCAAGTGTCCATGTAATATTTCAAGGTCTACTACAAGTGTCTGTATTTTGCTATTTAAGTTTTTGCATATTTTGAATAAACAATGGCCAGTTGGGGTTATAGCACAACATTAATTAAAAAAGAAAAAAAAAACATTTTTTTTCTCTGCCCCACAGGTTTGATGAGATTTTTTAATATGGCCTTTTTACTGGTTGACACCCCTGGTCTAAACTGAGAAACCATTGTTTAAAAAGCTGCATATATGGCTGTCTGAGGGAAATATTAAAGAGCAAACAGAGAATGAATTTTATTATTAGAATTAGTTTTATTCAGTTTAACTTGTACACATCATTCTCATATCCAGAGAAACAGCAGTGGATCCAATAATCTCAGAAAACAAATGAGCTGAGGGTTCATACCACTTAGATGGAGCATCTAGCTTATTTGGCATTTTATGCATGATCTGCTCAACCAGATTTCACATTAAACTGGTGGTGTGATAAGGTGACCTTGATAAGGAGGATTCAGAAAACTCTGTGTCATTTGAGGTTATGTTTATAGTAATTGGACTGTTTGCAAAACTGACCTCCATTACAGAAATCTAGAAAATAAGAGCCTGTTAACACAAAATAGCTTTAATACATCAAGTTCCAAAGACATTGGATGACGAGAGTGGAGCCTGTTGTGGCGTAACATGCTGGAGTATAGGGTGCCCCTGCCCTCTCACATGTGCGCTTCACTATCACCTGTGTCACGCGATAACATTGTAGTCAGTGGGGCTGTCAAAGGGGGGCCCTCCCAGTGGCTCCTCTTGGCTCCTCCCCCCAACCATCTCAAAATAGCACAGTAGATCCAGGGTCAGGCTTATCTCAGTCACTGTGTGGTCAAAAACACTAGTCCAGAAATAGCGCTCCTGAACAGAGCTGCTTTGTGAATATCACCCAAGGTGTGTATATGTAATCCATTGGCTGTATGTATGACATAAATGGACATGAATAAATGGATCTGTGTATTATAGTGTCTCTCATATTTTTCCATTATAACAAACGATGGTGGGGCATTCATGAAACCTAAGAGCACTATTGTATAACTTTATTTCTGAAATTTTAGTTTAATTTGCTTACACGTGATGTGGTCTGAGACACAGGCCAGTTTACCAGTTTTTGCATAACTGTGTGCAAAAGTTCATTTACGTGCAGGCCTACATGTCACCACACCAGTGTTGAAATTATGAACTGTGTCCTTTTGCCCTCTTTCTTTGGTGATTCTGGCATGGGTTAGAGACCTACTACACTGGGAATTAGTCACTAAACAACTTGTAAAAAACCAACCTTCACTATCTAAAGCATAGTCAGATTCTATGCGTTATTATAAACACTCCTGGTCTTGTTGAACTGCATTAGCTATAGGCTACCCTAGATGGCACCAGAGGTTAGGGATTATGTTTATCGTGGACGTAGTACAACATAAAGATGAACTACTTTTAAAGAGTCTTCTCATTTTAAGTCTTCTGTCCTTCACACTGAATGGCAATTCAGCAAGCAGATATGGGTGAAAGGCAGCCTGTTGACATTGAAACATACTGTGCCAGCTAACAGCTGCTTTCATCACTCTTCTGATCCAGACTGGCCATTGGCACGCTTATCACAGAATTTCAGTGTGTTGCAAGATCATGGTCTCATATAAAGGCTACCAGTGGAGTTCGGACTTAATAGGGATAAAATACATTACAGGGAGCTCTGCGTCTAGTTAAGCTTAATAACCCATCTTAAGATATTTTACCAGTTTATGTTAACTGTACTTTTTAAATCTTGTTTTTTCTTTGTTTATAATAATCAGATCACCTTTTTTCTTTTCCGTTTTTAAGAGTTTTTTCTCTTATCACTCACTGAGGACAACCCAATCATTCCAAGGGAATTCACACCATGGAAAACAATGCTGAGAGGTATCTAGCCCTGCATACAAACACATATAGATTTTAGCTCATCCCTGCTTAACAACCACTCAAGAAATAACATGGATTAGATTTCACGCATTTGTCTTCAAGTACGCATTGGTGTTCATGTTCTTTTGTTGCTTTACTGCTAGTTTCCCAAAGGTATCTGGCCCTATCAAAGATACTCAGGCACTCCAAGGCTCCAAAGCACAGCTTAATGGCAGCTGTCTGACTTCTTTAATTGGTGGTAACATGAACCACATGGGCAGAAAGGTACTGGAGGTCTCCTCAGCAGATGATTCTGGGATTGACAGTCCAACTGTAGATGCAGATGCTGAGCTTTCAGAGGAGGTGAAAGCTTTATCGCTGTCGGGTTTTACCATCAAATGTCAGGAGGCATCTGCTGGGAACTTTGAGGAAGGTAAGATCAGATGATTTCTCCTAAAAGAAAGGTCATCAGCAAGCAATCACTCACACTGTTTTAGAATAAGATCTCAGTCAGGATGTCATGGAATTAAAACTGCTTGTGGGTTGGATGTATTGGCTTTTGTACAATTCTGGAATAAGGTACATTTGGACTGCAGAACAGTGGCCCCACCAGTAAGGTTCAGTTCTATAATTAGACAAACCTTGTTTGTTTTACCTTGTTTAATCTGAAAATAACCACATGCTGACTGTCTTCATTCCCTGCCTTGGCTTCCAGATAGCCATCACCATCACATTCTTTTCACAGACAGAAACCTGATTGGTGTGATTTGGCATTCCATAGCCTGCCAGTAACCTGACCTAGATCTTCCTCCTAGTTAAGCACTCAGGTTTTAAAAGGGCTTGAGTGTATGTAAACAGTCAGTGCAGTAGATGCATGGAAGGATAGACGGAGGGATCTTCTGTCACATTGAAAGGCTGCATAAGCTTGACCTTTGACCATATTTTCAAAGCATTTTTAAAATCCTTACTAATCATGCCGAGTCCTTGTCCTCAATGTTGTCCTGGTCTGCCAGAGGAAGAATCGATCTCAATTACGGGTGAGGTGCACCTTGCACCGGCCGAGCAATACTGGAGCACTGAAAGGGAAAAGGCAGTGAAGCTGAGGATGGCTGAGTCAGGTCCAGGCTCTGAACCTCCACTCACCATTAATCAGATGTTCCAGGCCACAGTGGATAAATTTGGAGACCTGCCAGCCCTCCGGTGGAAAAAGGATGGGACTTGGGCAACACTGACTTACAGGGAATACCGACAGCAGTGCCGAATGGCAGCCAAGAGCTTTCTCAAGGTACTTGGACTGACATATATATATATATATATATATATATATACACATACATATATATATATATATATATGTTTAGTTGAAAACGAGATGTGAAACTTTTTTGGCACTATTGCTTTTAAGAGTCTTACATGTCTTAAGATTATAACTCTGCAGATTAGGGTTAAATCTCCCTGAGAAAGACGTCAAGTCAGTGATTGTCTG